TTTAGATTTATCATTCAAGCCTTTAGGATTAGATATTGATGTTTAATTATTTATTTTATTCTGTTAGAAATGAATATCTGGTTTATTAAATTTATCTTATTCATTATTTTATATTATTTATTAACAAATTATCTAAGGAATAGATTAAGATGCTATTTTAACTATTTTAATTGATTATTATTATTATTATTATTATTATTATTATTATTATTTTTTATGTTTTTCCATAATGATCGATTATTAATTCTCAGTTTTTTTATTTATTGTATTATCTTTTATTTTTCTCATTTCTTCATATGATAAACTAATATTATATTAAAATGAATACTTTTTTTATTTATTTAATTTTATGATTTCTAAAATCTTTTTCATCTCTTTTAAGTATTTTTCTCTATCAAGATTCATTTCCTAAAATATTGATACTTCTAAATTAAGTATAGATTATTCATTCACCTATTTCCAATTTTTATACTTATTTAATATTTTCTTAAGTCTCTCCCTAGATATTTTTCTCAAATCTTCCCAAACATCATCTGCTTTAGTTGATTGTTACTGTTTATTCTGAATTTTCTCTTCTTTCAATTATTTCTTATTTTATTTTTCTTAATTTAGAATTTAATTCACATTTTACATACTTTCTTTCATCCAACCTATCCATTCAAAATCATCTCTTAAACTCTTAATATTAATTTATATAACTTACATAATCTATAAATTTTAAATCTGCACTATTCGTATTCTTTTATCTCTATTTATTAATTAATCCCAATTTTTATTACCATTCCTCTCCTCCAAAAGTTACTAACATATCAACTTCATTAAGTCTTTCTTACATCTAATCATTGTTACTTCTTTATTTCAAACATCTTAAAGATTGTTACTTTATCATATTATACATCAATTATAAACTAAATCCTTTAATTTTCAAATAACAATGACAATAACATGTTCGTATTTTGAATAATTATTAAATATATAGATTATTATCAGGTTATTTCTGTACTAGTTCATTATATTGAAATAACACTTACTTTACTTCTTAAAGATCATCTTCTAACTCCTTTAATTTCAGTCCTTGATATTATTTTGCTTAATTTTAGATTTCACTCATAATTTCAGCATCTGGTTTATTCTCCAAAAATTCAAAGTATTATTAATATGTTTGTAAATTATTAATTAATTCCTTGTTTCTTAACCAAATAAGTCGTTATTCTTAATATTCTTTATATTTCTGATTCAAATTCTCATAAATTTTAATATTTTCTTTTAATTTATTCAATAATTGATTATTTGTTTTAATATTTGCAATTTGAGCACAATTAATAAGAGTTTTCAAACTTAGAATATTGGCTTTTGATTCTAAGAATTCCTCAGCTTTTTGCATCCAAAGCATCTGAATATAAAATGACCATAATTCACTTTACATATTTGGTTCATAATAATAATTTTTATTAATTAATTGGATTAGTAAATATTGCTCTGGAGCTTTAGAACCCTATAATTACAACTCAAATTCTTTCATAGTTTGTAACCAAATGTCATATTAACATTTTATCTTTTGCATCAACATCAAATAGTAATGATCTTGTATCTATATATCACTATTCAATAATTTAATCACTTAATTTATATTGTACTTCTTTTTTCCATTTTATGCTTCAGAATTATTAGATTCATTCAATAATTTCTGACATTCATATCTCCATTATATTTATCTAAAACTCAATACAATTTAAGATATCTCATCAAAGACTACTTATGGTATAGTCACTTATGAAATAATTTCATTACTAAAATCTAAATCTTTAATTTCCTTCACTTTTTATAACATTATCTGTAAATTATCTTGTCTCTTATAAGCTATATAATAGAATTGCTTAATGAATTCTATTTATTATTGACTTTATTAAATATATAATTCAAGTTCACCAGATTTTAGATATCTATATTAATCTAAACAATCAATAATATTAGGTTTACTTTGAATTATTTCAATAGCTTAAATTAATTCTTTCCTTCGAGATTAGGTATCTAATTCAAAACCATATGATTTACATTCATTATCTATTTATTCCAATTCTATAATTGTTAAAATATCTTTTAATTTATTATCAAATTCTTTGAATTTTCTCAATTTTATTTTGTAATTCTCTAAATATTCATTTGTAAACAAACACTTATCCATTAAATCTAAAATATCTGAACAAGATTAACTTGTTATTTTTTCTTAGTTTTTACATCTATTTTAAATTTCAATTAATTAATCAAATACTCTTTTAATAATAGTTGATTCTTAAGCTGCTTTTTATATATTATCAAAACTATAAAGTCCTTAATAATCTCTTTCAGTTAATCTACAATTTTTCTCTATTTTTGATTCTAAATCTGCTTTAAATTCTTAGATCAATTAAGATTCAAAATGAGATTAAATTTGATTCAACAATTTTTCACTATTAAAAGGAAATTCTATAATTTATTATAAATTAGTTTTCATATTTAAATCTTCCAGAGTTGTACTTTCTTATATTAATTTTTCTATTAATTTAATACATCCCATTGTAATATTACTTTTAATAGCCATCTTTTTTAATTCAATTAATTTATCTACTAATGGCTTACTTTTCTAATTTTTCATTATTATATATTATTTATAAACTGTTAATTCTAATTAATTTTCTATATATGGAATATCCCATTAAAACTTAGCTCCTTCAAAGAGTTATTTAAATTCTTTTTTAATATTTGATGATAATATATAACGATTAATTAATTAAAATAGAGTTTCATTAGGATGGATAAACAATTTATGTGCATCAATTATATTTTCCTCCAAAAGATTAAATGTAGTTTCTACTAAATAACCATCATTAATCCCTTTTTCAATTTTAAATTTCATTTATTTTCTTGACAATATAAATGATTTTAAAATCTTTCTTTCTTCTTTATCAAAAGAATATCCTTTATTTCTTAATTATTTTGATAATTCTTCAAAAAATGATTTATTTTTTTCTAATTAAATAGGAAGTAAAGATAACATTTTTTATTTCAATTCTTCTTATAATTTTTACTTTAATAATATTTTATCTAATTAAATTTCTGCAGACGGTTTAATTGGCATAGAAGCTAAAAAAGATTTTATAAGTTTCAAATTTTTATAATCATCTTAAGTTAAAAGTAATCTAGGTAATCTTCTCATAATTGCTTCCATATATAATAATAAAGGTAATACATCTAATAAATAAATTTTATATATTTCTTTTGGAATAATTAAATCTTCTAAATTTAATAAGATAGGATTATCTAAATCAATTTTTTATCTTCTGTTATTCCATTTTTTACAACCTTCACATAGATAATAATCTTATTTAATTTATTTCTTTTTTATACATCCAAAATGAAACCATTCATAACAATATTCACATTATACCATTTATTAATTATCTAATGAATTTCTACAAATACAAAAAATGACATGACTTTCCATATGAGATTAACAATAACTTTCAATCTTATTATAATCTGACCAAAATTATTATTTTTTAATAGGCAATGTATAATTATTAAAAATAGATTCTAAATTTAGTAAAACTTCATCCTTTAATTCTTTTGCTGATTTCTCACTTATTTATGGAACTTCAAAAATATTATCTATTGTAATTGAAAAAGCCTCTTAGATATCATATAATTCATTTTTAATTTCTTATTAATCTACATCTATAATATTTGGATCCTAATTATTGCCATGAAACTTAAGATTTAAAATCCATTATTCATTTTCAATCTATTCCAACTCTTTCTAAATTTTCTCTTTAAAAATACAATGTGGATGTGCAACAGCTTAACAATCCAAACATTTTATTGATGCACCAATCTAATCACAATTTGAACATTTTTCCTTTATTTTTTTATCTTTTTAATTTTATAAACTAAATGACATTGTATGATAATCTCTCACTTATATATAAGGATCAAAAATAGCACATATAACATGTACATACATTTCATTATATCCAGAAACTCTCCTTAGTAATCCATTTTATCCACATATATAACATTCAGGTTTTTAAACATTATCTTAACATGGATCACAATATTCATCTAAATTATTATACCCATAACAATATCTATGATATTTTAATTTACATTTTTGACATTCCTTCAATTAACAACCTTTGTCTTTTCTTAAGAAGTTCAATCCACAAACTGAGCAATTCATTTATTATTATTATTTCTACTCTTTAAATACTTTTTATAATACATGCTCAAATATTACCTGCCATTGTATCAAAATCATTATTCTAAATCAATCTATCAGAATCCATGATTATCTATACAAAGGACTTTTAAATTAACGCATTTATAATCACTTTCCAATAGTCAATATTAAATAACATATACCTATATATTATTAATTTATTCTATGTCCCAATTTGCTTATGTATTAAAAGAGTGGCTTGTTAACATCCACTCATTATATATTACATTTAATTATAATATTATATAAAAATAAGAAAATAACCATCTCCTTTAGCTTTTATAGTGATTAACAATAAAAGATAATTTTTTCACTTGTTTATTATAAATTTTCCATTTTACGAAATTATTCTAAATTTCAAAAAGGTTTTTATATAAAAGTCTAATTATTTGAACTTTATAACAAAATTTATTTAATATTTTATTTTACTCTTTTACCAATAACATTTTTTTGGTCAAATTTAATTGAATTAGCTCTAGTTAAATCTAATTTTTTAGTTCATTTCAATTTTTATAATGACTAGAGTAATTTATTAATAATTTAATTTATGTCATCTTTATCAGTTAATTGAAAAATTTAAAATTTTCATGTTTACAATGATTTTCATCAAATTTGAATTGTCAAAATAATTATAAATATAAATTATTTGTCTATGTATGTTGAAAATGTAAGAAACACTTATTCGATAAATAATTTATTTTATTAGTTTCTTAGATTCAATTTAAGTTAATAATATTTATATTTAATGGCAAAATATGAGTAATTAGATTCTCCATATGCAAAAGTGTTTTTCATTTTGTAATAATTAATGAAAGCAGAATTAATTACTCAAAGCGAAAAGGATCATATTAAAGGTATATAGATATATGTTATAAAGACTTAATAATTCAAAACGACTAGTCAATATTGAATTTAATTGTAGTAGAAAGCTATCAAGAACTATTTGAAAAAGTTTAAGAATTTATTAATAAAAAAAGAGTTAGTTTAGAAGGATTATCTGATTTTGAAGATGATGATTCAACTAGCAAAAGTCTAAGAAAGTATTTAAGAAATAAATTAAAACTGGAAATAAAACAGAGTAATTTTAATTTGTTAATTAAGAAAATTTGATTACATAATTAAATGTCTAATATTTATGCGATTACATATATAAATTGTTTACATTCTTTTAAGTAATCTCATGGTTACAAGCCATTCTACAACAATTAATTATTGTAAAATGTTGAGAATTCATTCCATTTATTTAAATAGTTAATCTAATTCTAATAATTTGATTAACATGGCAACTAATATATAAATTATTATTATGGAGAAATAAACCCTAACATAGGGTTTGTCATTTGAATCACTGGATATTGATTAATTACAAAGGGTAATTATGGAATTTTGATATGCTACTATTTGTTTTGTTATAGATGTTGAAGTGAAATTTATTCTTAAATAATTTTTGGACTTGATTAATTCAAGGGTATATTATTTATTTGTTATTAGATTATATTAGAATTGATGATCATTGAGGCATCTTAATAAGGTTGATAAGTTTATTGAGGAATTTAAGAATTAAAATTATTGTGATCCATTTTTTTTAAATTTTCTTCTTTGATATTTGTGACTTGATTATTCATATTAGAAGTGACATTTTAGCATCCTTTTATGAATATTGAAATAAAATACCTATAATATTTTTAATATTTTGATTCTCATTAGAACTGACTATTTTCTAGCTATTTTCATCTTTTTATTTATTCACTTTTGATCTTGTCATTATTTGACAATTTTCTGAACAGGCTTCTTAAATTTATATTCTTTTTGAATTTAAATCATCATTTTTTGGTATAGGTAATTTTCTTCTTTTTTAAAGTTTAATTTTTTCATCATTGGATGAAGAAATAGAATCTTCTTCAAAATCATCATCATCTGAATCATCTAGATCACACTAATATCTTCTCTTTAGATTGGCATAATATCTATTTTTCACCATGTTTTCCTATATCTATAAAAATATGATAATTACAGGCCTTCCTTTTAAAAAACTTGATATATAACTCCATTTAGTTCCGAATTTCCTATATAATTTCAGAATCAACTTATCTTCCTCTTCTGTCCATTTATCTTAATTTATTGTCCCTTATAATTGATTCAAATAACGCTCTCTAACTTATTTTCCTGTCCTCCAATCCATTACTGTACAAATTTTACTCCATTTTTTACCAAACTTTTAAACTAATTCTTTCAATTATTCATCTTCTTAAGATGTCCATAACTGTCTTGAAGGAGCCTAAGCTATTATTCATATTCTACTTAATTTGGATGAAGCTATTGCCATTTATGCATACATTCTAATGGTGTAGGACCATTTAATAATATGCTAATAGATTTCCAGTTTCCTTGCTACTAAATATGGAGCTCTTTAAGTTTCTCTTAAGTTTATGGGGTCCATTCAAATTTTGTCTGAAATAATATTTATGCAATGTAATTACTTCACTCTAGGTCTAGTTGAGTACATTTTCTTATTTAGAGTCGAATGTAACACTCATTCTATAGGCAGAAATTATTTTAAATATATTATCAAAAATATCATCCATCTTCATCTATTTTTATACATTAAATATGACGAAATAATATAATAAGTATCTTTATTAAACTTATCTAAATAAAAAAGCAAAACAAACTGCAATCTATCAATATGCAACCTTAATATATCAATTTTCTTAACATCGACGTTAAAGATTTGTTTTGCCAGTGTTAACTTCAAAGATCTAAAGTTTATAACTCTTTTTACTCTAATAGTCCCTTATAAAATAATAATTTAAAATCATTAATAACAATATGTAAATAATATATATATATTTCTTTGCCGTTAAATAATAGAACTCACCATTCCATTTTTTCTCAATTAAATAAAATTCAAAAATTAAAATAATTTTCATATGAAGTTAACTAGATTATTTACTTTTATTTTTTTACACTTACTCTCTGTTTTGATAAATTTTATATAATTTTATTATATTTTTATAATATCAATTAAATACATTTAACTATAGTATTAGTAATGATTTCTTTGTCTAAATTATATAATTCAATCTTAAATCAATAATATTTAACACTAATATAACTATTTTGTTGATCTATTCATAATTGGAATATTCGACATTATTATGATTAATACATTATTTTAGTGTTTTATTAAGACTCTTTTAAATATTTATTTAATACCTAGAGTAATCAATTAAAGTATATAGATTATATTTATAATATTGTATTCTTATAACTGTTACATTATTTCAAAGTATTATAATTTGTATTCTAATTTTTATAAACCTTCTAATATATGATTATACGAAAATTAATTTGTTAAACTTTTTATTTTCTTCATGATCAAAATGGATTTACCCATATAATAATTTAAATAATAATATAGGTTAACAAAGTGATTTTTATCCTAAAGGAGCTAATTGTCATTATTTCATAAATGTAAAATATTATTATTATCTTAGTAGCTAATATTAATCAATTACTTTCTAAGAGACTATTTTTAATTACACATTTCAGTTATCAACTATGTAGTAAAGGTTTAATTAGAAGGAAAATTATCAAAGGATAAAAACATATTATATAATAATGATATAATTACAACATAAAATCTAAGTAATAACATAAAGTATTAATCTTATTATATATAATTATTTTTAAGTTTTTTATTATAATTTATTAATAAAGGATTTGTAAAATTTTTAATATAGAACAAATAAGATATATACATACCTTAATCAGAATCTAAGTTAATGCATTTTTAGAAAACTTCTGAATTTTATGGAATCAATCCTCTATTATTGAATAAGCTTTACAATAAATACTATTATAGAACATTCTTAATTACTAATCTTCTTTTTATATATCTATTTTATTTGAAATTCAGTATATAAAATTGTAATAAATATAATTTTTAAATAAAATTGAGTTTTATAAATCAATCCTCTAAGTACTTATCTGAGATTTAAGACATTAAATTTTATATTTAATTTGCCTATGAAGAATTTATTTACATTTTCTAGTTTAAAATAGATAATACCTAATAAATTTCTAATGATTTTTGATAGTCAATATAAGCTTATTTATATCGACCTAATTCTTTATGACAATCTGCACAATTTTTAAGGGTAATAGCTAAATTGCCATGCATTTTACCACATAACTATGTATATATTTTAATAGATTCTTCAAAGCAATTTACAGCTTCTTCAAATTACTTTCTTTCATAATAAGATCTTCCAAAATTATTAAGAATAATTGCAATACTTGCATGATTTTCACCATACAATGTTTTTAAAATATCTTGAGATTTTAAAAAATACTATTCGAATTCATTAGAATTTAAATTTTAAGATTGAATTTTACCTAAAGAATGATAACAATCAGCAATATCTTAAGATGATTCTCCAATTATTTTTAAATTTATTTCTAAACTTTCAGTAATAAGTTTTTATGCACAAGATAAATCTAGAATAATTAAATGTTTCTACTTTCTTGAGTATTTTTCATTCTTAGATAGAGATTACCTTTCAAATAAATGGATTTTGCTGTTTTAATATGTTAATAACCTAATACTTCTGTCCATATGGAAATAGCTTCTGTAATTGTATTCATTGCTTCTTCAATTTTTCCTTCATCTGAAAATAATTATGATAATCCATGTAATGAATCAGCCACTTCCTTTAATATAAATAAATAATACAATTGATTATCTTGTATATAATTCTTCTCTAATTTTGATACTTTCAAATAACATTTATTCTGCCAAATCATCTTAAAACATAAATCTATAATAATTTCCCAACAATGTTAATGTCATAGCATAAACTCCAGTTTATTTTAGATCATGCTTAATTAATAATTAATAAGCATAATCAAGATATTTGAATGTTTGTTCATAATAACAACAATAAAAACAGCATCTTCCTTAAATTATTATTATTGATTATTACCAATTTTAGCATAAGAGTTGCATAATCTTAAGATGCTCTCTTTATCATTTTAAGTTTTGAAAAGTTCTTTTTCTATTTTTATCATATTAATTAAATATTGCATAGCACGATAAACTTAATTGATATCAATAAAGATTTAGGCATATCTCTCATAAATATTGCTTTAAAAAATCTTATAAATTATTAATAATACTAATTCTGTCACAGAACATTCTTCAGGATTATTTATTTTAATGTTCAATTCATTTTACAATTTTTCTAGTTTGCTTATACATTTTTAGAATTACTATTTTCTTATTAGTATATCAATTTTCTTAAAATGTTCTTCCATTTATTTTGTATAAATAAATTTTATTAAATTTATTGAATTTATTTTTTGAATAATGAGCGCAAATAAATTAAATCAACAAAATTTAAATAATAAGTTAAACAAATTAAATAATTTCAAAGTATTAAGTCTCTATTAAAAGAGATAATTTCATCAATATCTTAAATGAAATGTATTTCATTTTAATTTTATAAATTACTATAGTTAAAAAGTTTAGAGATAAATTTAGAGATTTTCTAATTATTTATCTCATTAACAAGATGATAAAATCTTTTATTTTCATAAAAATTAATAATTTCTTCATTATTCAATATTTATTAAGTAATCCTATAATTAAATTATAAATATTTACAATTAATAAAAAACCAATCCACAATCCACAAAATCTTTTTCGAATGAGAATCCTCCAGTAGTAAATAGATTCATCTCTGTATAATCTTAAGTAAATAAAGTTTTTATTGATTTAATGTGTCTTTAACTAGTAATATCATTTGTCTTTTATTATCCAAAATCTATTAAAGTAATTTGATCCATCATTGAACAATAAAAAATATTCTCTAATTTGATATTTTGATGGTTAAATCCTTCATTATGTAAGTATTATACTACTTGTAATAAATCCTATTATAAAATTTAAATTTATACTTTCATTATTTTTAAAATTTAATCTGTATTCAATATATTTTTCTTAATATATTTATCTAAAGAAGCTCCTTCTATGAATTCATATATTATATAATTATGGTTTGATTCGATATAATATTCTTTTAATTTTGGAATAAATTTATGCTTTAAAAATTAAAGTGCTACTACTTCATTTCGAAATTCCTAAAATAGATATAAAGTATACTTTCTCAAATTCAACTTTTCCTTATTTCAAAATTTTACAGGTTACTAACTCTTCATTATAAATACTCCTCATACGAACTAACTATAAAAATATAAAAAAACAATTATATACAGAACCATAATTTCTTTTTTAAATATATTAGGCTATCTTATAATGATTATTTATTCCTTAAAAACATACTTTTCCATTCAAGAACTCTTTCAATAGGTTTCCAATATTAGAAGCAAATTTATAAATAGACTTTTTTTTATTAAGGAACAACTCAAATGAAATGATTTCAGAATTATCATTTTAAATCCACATGATTTTTGGTTCAAATGAATTAAGTTAAATTACAAATGAATGTTAATCCTAAATAAAACTATAAATATACGTTGGATAATTGAACCTCATCTTTTAACATAAAAATTTTGTATTTTTGGATCGAAAAGAAATTACTTTTGTAGCAGATCATGTATATTATTTTATTATAAGATAATAATAAATATATCTAATATCCAACTTATTCATATTAATAATCGTTTATTTCCTTAATATTTGATATATCGGTTTTTTTGTGATTCTAAGTTGTGTTATGAGATGTCTTCGAAATAACAACAATTAATTATATTAATATAATCAGATTGTACATAGTTCAATAATCTAGTTTAAAGATTTTAGAGTCTAGCACTTTGAATTGTCTATTTCTTAACACAACTTAACATTATTTTAAGTATTAATTATTAGAACAAATAATAGAGATAATAGAGAAATAACAATTACTAAATAAATATAAAATAATTGTTATTTTAACATTCCATTTTGAAATCATATACTTTAAGGTTTCATTTTTTTTTTTGAAATGCTTATGGTTAATAATATATATATATATATATATCATTTAATTAAGTAATAAAAAATGATAATTCAATCATTTAAACCACTAATTACTTTACTTAAAACCATTGATGTTTACCTTACTTATTTGGATATTAATTGCATGGGACCAAGTTTTTATTCAATTTATTCAATTTCATCATGAATTTTGAATCGTTTCATTGGAAGAGTTTACACAGATAATTTTTATTCATCTTCACCCATTCCCAATTAGGATTATATTTTTTAGATTTATTCTGTTTCTTTCATAATCTTATATTTATATTATAGTAGGTTACATTTTCACTAATACGATTAATGGATTGAATCTCATTTTATAATAATAGATTTCCTATCATGTCTGTTAAATATACTAAATCATCGTATAATGATAAATCAAATTTATCTACTATTTTTTATTCACCAAAAACATATTGAATTTCTCTTACACAACACATTTTACTTATATCTTAAAAGTCTATTAATTCATCTCCATTTTATTTTAACATTACTTTACGTAGATTCTTTCTCAATCCAATTAGTTGTTTAATTACTTAAAATAATTTTCTATCATTATTTATATAATCCTATAATTATAGATATTAATACTTTTAATTTGCCAAGATTATGAGTTAGTTAATATATCTGTTAACTAAATTTGATATAAGATTAAGATTATGGATTTTTAATATTAAGAAATACAGCAATTGATTTCTTTGAAGTATTTTCTTTTACTCTCTTAAATTTAACATCTCCATATTATACAATTTCTGTTTCTGTTCTCACTTTTTTGAATTTAGTTTACTTTTGAGTATTTCTTTGAGATCTTAATGTATTAAGATGATCTAAATAATCTTTCATTGTTTTTTCATCAGATACTGATGATCTAACAGTTAAAAGAGGTAGTTTTGGTCTTTCATTAGAATTAGATTTTCTAATAGGAGGTAAACTAAAATCATTATTCTCAATAAGACTATGTTAAACTGGAAGAATTTTTTCCAAGAGTGTTCTTTAAGTTATTTATGTCTTTTGAGATGATTTTAAAGTATTGATGCTATTGGATTAAGAGTTTTGAAATGGAATAGTTTCATTTAACTTGAATTCTGGCAATATTAGATGATGCTTATATATAAGACTCATAAATATATTAAAATGATTTAAGTATTTCTTTATTATCATTGTCAATAAATCCATTATCTCTAAAACAATTAGAAACTGTCTTACACAAAATTTTAGTTATTGAAATGATATATTATGATTAATATGATTAATTAGAATAATTCTAAAAGTTTTGTAGCTGTTAATCGAAGTCTAACAAACAAAAATGTGTAAGAGTTTATTCGTTAAGACTTAAAAAAACTAAGACGTAAGAAAAAGAATTTGGATTAACTTTTTTAAGAAGTAGAAGAAATTGCTTAGATTTCTTTATCAAAGAATCATTCTGAAGAAATAATTGATGAAGATGATTAAGACACAATTGAATTGATTAATTAGACTTATTAATTAAAAAAATAAGAACTAGAATAGAATTCATCATAAAATAGCAGTAGAATTTTACCAAATGTTTTAAGTAAATAAAAATCAGATAGATCATTAAGAGAATCAAAAGATATAAGTAAATTAACAAGTATTACTAAAATACATATTACTTAAAATGATGATTCACTTATAAGTGATAAAAGTATTAAATTAAAAAAGACTTCTTATACTCAACGTAATATAAAAACAATTAGACATTCTGATTAACACTCTAAAACATAACCAAAAGTAAGATTATTATCCAAAAAATAAGAAATCTAAACTACTTAAAATGATGAAAAAGATAAGTTACCTTTAATTTGGCAATAATATTATAATATTTAACCAGAAACAGAAAAAGTTGAGGTGAAAAACTCCTTTTTGAAATTAAATGATCAATTTAAAAAAATGAGAGAATAAGTACTTGAACCTTTCTTAAAAGATCAAAAACTAAAAGTAAAATTAATGACACCACTTATTATAAGAAAAGATAAACCATATTTTGTAGCTGAAAATAAAGATAATAGTATACTAATTTTAATAATATTATCTAGAGAATCTAATTGATAATATGAAAAATGAAAATACGAATCTAAATAGAGATGAATACTTAATTGTTAGTTATGAGCATATCTTAGATTATATATGAATTATTAAATCATGAAACATTATGAAAATAATTATTACACTTTGTACATTATTTAGTTGCTTGAGATTTCTCACATTAAACTATATAATTATATTTTTTTAATTACTTGTCAAACAACTTGAACAAGCATAAGCAATAGGATTCGTAACTTTATTACAACAAGAACAAAATGATTTATATTACAATTCACTCAATTTGGCTTAATAGAAACCATAACTATCTCCAGGATTGAATGATGATAACTAGTTCTATTCATCTATTTACCAAAATTTCTGCTAAAATCTTATTAAAATTTTTATCTTATTCTACTCTATGTACAATTCCTGATGTCAATTATACTCCTAATTTCAATCCTTCATTCCCTAATACATCTTATTTTAATTCACTTTGAGCTTAGATATCTATTTGTAAAAGATCTAAACGAATTTTCTCTTTGCTAGCATAAGTACACAATTTTAAATATTTATTGTATGATTCTTACCCTAATTGAAAAAATTAAGATGTTATAAATGTAATCTTAGAATCTTTACATGTTTATCTATCCTTATTTATACGACACATTATTTAACTTAAGCATTTTATTATTTTGGATTCCCAAACATCATCTACTCCTTTCTTCGATATGATATCATACAATGTCTTTAAGACCTTTTAAAATTCATGATTGTATTCAAATCCTGAATTCTCACCACTTCTGTATAATTAATAAATATCATATGTATCTATTACATATATTGTAAATAGATTATGAAAATCTGTACACAATTATAATCCTAAGCTGGTCTTAATACACTATAGAATTCCTACGAAATTCTCTTTTAAAGGTTTCAAGAATTTAGTGTTTATGTCCAATATTAAATAGAGCTAATGATTTTACATTAATTAATTAAGATAATTCGAATGCAATAAGTACAAGCATTACCTCCCTAGTTTTTCTAAACCTTAAAAATCTAAACTATCTTGGGTTAAGGACATGATGCTAAAGTTCTTCTAGCACTTGAGACCAAAGAAACTGGAAACAAAGAATACGCCTTGAAGTGCCAAGCCCAAAAAATATAAGACACCGCTATTAACTTATTCGTATTACTTCCAATAACTTGAAGTTACTAAGAATGAAATACAAATTCTCATCCACATCAAGCATCCCCATATTATTGAGCTATTCGGTTACAGCCAAGATTATACATGTCTAGTCCTTCAATATTGTCCTTATGGTACCTTAATTTAATTGATTAAATCCTCTCCATTACCAGTTAGCATTGCTTCCTCACTTCTATACTAGGTAACTCTGGCTCTAAATTATATGCATGAATAAGGATTTACTCATGGGGATCTTAAATTATCGAATATTCTTATAGACAATTAATACAACCTTAAATTATGTGATTTTGGTTTTGCAAGATGGAATGGTAAAATGGCAATTGAAAAATAAACTATTGCTGGTAGTGAAGGATATACTGCACCAGAAATATGGAAACCTAATCCTAATTACATGAAGAGTGATATGTTTTCGATTGCTGTCATTTTTTTCATTTTAATAACTGGCCATCCTCCATTCGAATCCAATAATCCAGATAATCATGATCCATGGTGGAATTTAATAAAGAATAATTAATGGGACACCTATTGGAAAGACATAAGAATAAATATAGATTAAGAATGCAAAAATTTATTTGTTTAAATGTTCAGTATCCAACCTGAAGAAAGATTAAGTGCAAATCATTTAAATGAATGGTTTAAATTAAAATAAACTACTCAAGAGAATTTGATTCAAGAAATAAAAAAAAGGTTAGCTGAATTGTGAAATATAATCAATGATCTATTATTTAAATCATTTGCCTTTTAAATACTCAAATAAATTTAAATTTACTCTAATAATCATAATTAGTTCATCATATTTCTATTCCATTTTGCAAACGTAAATTATTATATAAATTCTTCTGTTAAACAAGTCAATCTAATAATTATTTTTTTTATTTTATTCACTACGTTAAATCAATTTTCTATGATCGAAATAAGATTTAATAAAATATATTGTTGTTGTATAAATATATAAACAAAAATTTATAAAATATTAATATAAAGTAAAAATATTATTCTTCGTAATGGCAGATGTTTTTTTTTATAAACTTATTATAATTTATAAAATTGTAATCAAAAATTTTATTCTTACACACTATTAACAATTAATAGAATTATATTATTTATATATAGTTATTATCATATCAATATTAAAAGTATCATAATTATTTTCAACTTAATTTTTTTTCCAATTCTTTATAATCTTTAAACTTTACTGTGGACTATGTTAATCTTTCAGTTTACTATATATGTGTTCGATTTCCTTTAACATAAATACTCTACTTAAAAAATGTGAGTTTTTATTGTTACAAAGATGGTATTGGACTTTATAAGGAGGTTTGATTATCTAAAGGTTTTGGTTCAGTTGTTTATTTTCTTCTAGTCGTTGCTCTTGATGTTGGTAAATTTTCATTATTGATTTTATGGAAAAGTCTAAAGATTTTGTTAGACCATTAAATTTTGAGTTGTTATTCTGAAGGTTTTTTCATTATTTCTTATTTAACATAGTTTTCAAAAAGTTATAATTAAGTTGAAATTCTATTGTATTTAATATTTTCATTAAAGAATTCTTCTTCAAAGAGAGCTTTTATCTAAGAAATTATTTATGATATAAAAAAAGAAAATTCTTCAATAGAATCAATTTTTCTATTAATTTGTTTCTTTAGAATATGTTAGTCAAATAACCATTCAATAGATTATTAAATTTCATTAAGATCATATAATTAAACATTTTATTACGAATATGATTGAATCTATTATTTTAATAATTTTCCTTAAATTATTTATGAAATTTACAACATGATCTATTTGCTTTAAATATTCAATTATTCAATGTATATTTATCTTCTATCTATGATATGCTTTGATATAATGGAAATATATGTTTCAAATAAGAGATTACTTACAATTTCATTTTAAGCTTANAATTTACTCTAATAATCATAATTAGTTCATCATATTTCTATTCCATTTTGCAAACGTAAATTATTATATAAATTCTTCTGTTAAACAAGTCAATCTAATAATTATTTTTTTTATTTTATTCACTACGTTAAATCAATTTTCTATGATCGAAATAAGATTTAATAAAATATATTGTTGTTGTATAAATATATAAACAAAAATTTATAAAATATTAATATAAAGTAAAAATATTATTCTTCGTAATGGCAGATGTTTTTTTTTATAAACTTATTATAATTTATAAAATTGTAATCAAAAATTTTATTCTTACACACTATTAACAATTAATAGAATTATATTATTTATATATAGTTATTATCATATCAATATTAAAAGTATCATAATTATTTTCAACTTAATTTTTTTTCCAATTCTTTATAATCTTTAAACTTTACTGTGGACTATGTTAATCTTTCAGTTTACTATATATGTGTTCGATTTCCTTTAACATAAATACTCTACTTAAAAAATGTGAGTTTTTATTGTTACAAAGATGGTATTGGACTTTATAAGGAGGTTTGATTATCTAAAGGTTTTGGTTCAGTTGTTTATTTTCTTCTAGTCGTTGCTCTTGATGTTGGTAAATTTTCATTATTGATTTTATGGAAAAGTCTAAAGATTTTGTTAGACCATTAAATTTTGAGTTGTTATTCTGAAGGTTTTTTCATTATTTCTTATTTAACATAGTTTTCAAAAAGTTATAATTAAGTTGAAATTCTATTGTATTTAATATTTTCATTAAAGAATTCTTCTTCAAAGAGAGCTTTTATCTAAGAAATTATTTATGATATAAAAAAAGAAAATTCTTCAATAGAATCAATTTTTCTATTAATTTGTTTCTTTAGAATATGTTAGTCAAATAACCATTCAATAGATTATTAAATTTCATTAAGATCATATAATTAAACATTTTATTACGAATATGATTGAATCTATTATTTTAATAATTTTCCTTAAATTATTTATGAAATTTACAACATGATCTATTTGCTTTAAATATTCAATTATTCAATGTATATTTATCTTCTATCTATGATATGCTTTGATATAATGGAAATATATGTTTCAAATAAGAGATTACTTACAATTTCATTTTAAGCTTAATGCAATACTTAATTAATAGTCTTATTGATTGCTGATGCCAATTATTAAAATGGATAAAGGAGTATGTGTTATTCTGAAAAATGAGTTTTTGATAGAAAGTTTGATAAAGACTACAATAAAATAATGCTATTATTTTGAATGTATTTCAACATTAATAAAGTTTAACCATAAATTTTAGAAATAATATCATCAGTTACTTTAAATACATTAATAGATGTTTATAACGAATCAAAATCACTTGAATTTCTATTTTCATCTAATATTTAATGAATTATATTATCTAATTAATTTAAATATACACTTGTCATTTAATTTAATTGATGAATATTTTAATGAAGTTTTATAAGTTGATCTTAAGTAAAAATATCAGAGAGTATTTTTAGATCTTATTTACATTTAACTTTAAGATCTTTACTACACATTTCTTCATTAAGTTAAATTTATTTAGTATTTACAATCTACTCAAATATATTAATACATATTTTTGTTTTTAGTAATTTTATAATTTATTATAATTGCTATAGATTAATGTGGTCATTATAATTTTCAAGTATTTCATCGATATTATTAACTATAAAATTAGTTTAAATGGATAAATAAATATTTTCTATTAACTTCATAGTGAATGAATCATATAATGTTGCAGAAAATTTAGTTTTATATTTTTATAATAATGACAATTGTCTTTATGACATTGTATCATTCACTCTTTTATCAATGGAGGAAAAATGTTAAGTAATTTTACTTTTAATAGATATTTCTTCATTAATTCTATTATCATTCGAAATAGATTACACATGTTTTCCAGGCTTTAATAAAATTAGAGTAGATTAACGATGATTAGGAAGTTTTTTATTAATTGTTAGAGTTGGTTAAACTTCTGTTTTCTATTTTAATATTTAGTATTATTAATCTTTTTAGATGAATAATAAACAAAATTAACGCTTTATTTCTTATTTATAGACATCTTTGATTGGATAATTTAAAAATTAAGCAATTTCATTTTTTTCTGCTAATCTTGATTTTACAATATCATGATATTTCTATATTTAAGAAAGTTCTTGTTAAATTTTTTCTAAAAGATTATAACACTGCAACCTACTTAATTCACTATCAATTGAACTAGCATAAATCTATACTTTAAATTTGTTAATTAATTATTGAATGGATTTGTAAGTTACAACAAGTTTATGGCATTATAAAATCATTATTCTTAATTTTCTAGGGTCAATCTGTTCTTTAATTGTTTCCAAATCTTTTTCATAATTTTGATAATGCTACAATTACTAATAATGTAGTTTAGAGCTATCCTAATTATAAATAAAATCTTTAAGCGGTTAGACAGAAAGTCTTTAGCAAAATAATTCTAGATCACATTTGTCTATAACTATAAAAGAACCCATTTCTATTAATTACTCAGATATAATATGCATAAACACTTTTTCTAATAATTAAGAGAGATTTGATTAAATGAGTTAAGATTAAGAAAAATTTGTGTAACTTCTTCTATTAGAAGTAATAAGTTGATTAGTGAATAAATTTTATGGTTTAATACTTTCTTCATCTAGAAATTATTGTTATTATTAATCTTAATTATTGATCTCATTATCCATCATATATATTATTAAATTTTATAATTATCATAAACTTATGAAATAATCAATAATTATGCATAACTCTAGCCCTTAAATACAAAGGCTTACGTTTTAGTCTATGAATTTAATTTATAAATCCTTAGTAATTGTATTTTCAAAGAAACATTACTCTTTTCTCTCTCTATACTTAGTTATAATATTTTTATTAAACTTTTGTAAATTGAAAATATAGATATAATCATTCCATTTATCTTAATTAAGACTATTCAAGAGTTTTAAAATATTATTTAAGACTCTTAGAGGCATATCAAATTATTTTTATATTGTATAGGATAATTTATTTATTTGTATAAAAATAGATATATATTTTTTATATTGGATTTGATTTAGATCTTAATTTCTGAATAAAATACTTAGATATGTTGTTAATCATTTTGATTTTGTTAATTATATATTTTAAATAGGTTTGCTTAAGAATTCAATTTAGATTGATTATGAATAATTAATTACAAAAACTAAGAAATTCAAATATCTTAGAATACTTAGGACTCCTATTAGGAATCTTTAAAATAATAATGACAAATTAGATATCTGTTAATGATACGATCACTTTTTAAAAATCATCTAAATTCTATCTTCTAAAATTTGAGTTTTTTGAAATTAATTATCACATTGCATTAGAAATAAAATATATTTATTTCCTATTATGAACCCTCTATATATTACTTAAGATGAGCTTCATCAAATGTTCTAATCTCCAAATTAGACCAAACGAAGCGCAGATTCTATAGTTACACTCGAACCATAAACAGTAAAGTTTTAATAAACATTTTCAAACATTCAAACAAATATCGAAGCAATTGATCAATTGAAAAAAGAATTAGCAGCTAAAGACAAACTTATAAATGATTTGAATTCAAGAACTTCTTAATAAATTGAATCACTTCTCTATTAATAGGAAAAACTAATACAAGAAAATCTCAATCTCAAAAAAGAGCTCAACAATTCAAAAGCTCAACAAAAACACTAATAATAAAAACTAGAACTATATATGACCGAAACAAAGACACTTCAATAACTTCGACTGCAAGAAAGAACAAGATACTAAAGGGATATTAGAAATATCGAAAAATTCAATTAATCACTTACTAAGTGAATAATAACATATTATATTTATATTAAAATCAATTTCTGAATTAAATTGAAGAATTTCAAAGAAGAATATGTAATAATCCAACTTTTATTTATGATTATTGAAAAGTGATTAAATGAAAAGTCAATTTATTTTTTAGAGTGGATTCCATTTATCTCTATTTCTAAATTGAAAACTTATATGTTTAATAGGAGTTTTCAATAAAGGAGCTTTAAATTATTTTTTTTAAACAGGTTATTATTATGTTTCTTCTTTGAATTCTTCCTATTTAAGACCAGGCATATATATTAAACATGGTGTTGTTCTTAGGATTAATCCTTCACTTTTTCTCTTAGATGATAAATTATGATATCCATTATTATTATTATTAATATTTGGCATGCTGGATCTATATGATTGTTTTGAACTAATCTATCTACTCATATCCACAGAACTAAATTTAATAATAAATTACCTTAGAGTTGATCGTTATTAATTAAATAGAAATGGTTCATTTTATGATTCCAATTACTATAATTCTGTTTAGAATCTTGCACTTAGTGTCATAGATTATAGGTTTTTACATAATCTTGTATTTAAACTATTACTTTCATTAGTACTTGGTCTAACAGAATGTTTTGCACTACTGATCAACATAAAATAATTATTAAAATATAAACAAAATAATCTAATTCTAATTTAATCATACTAATTCCTCTATCATTTTAATAATATTATCTTAAATAAATTCATGTTACTTATTTGTCTAAATATACATCATTTCAAATTTAATTGTATAAATAATTATATATATATATATATCTTTTTTTCCATTATGATATTTTTAGTTAAATAAAGTACATTAATAAGTAATGAGATATGTATAATAAAATTGAGTAAGTGATATTATGAATTTGATCGTTGAAAATGATTTTATTTTAATTAAATAAATAAAATGAATAGCACCTTAAGTTCAGAAGATTTAGATAATGATATACGAATATAATAAGTCTAATAAACTGCCCCTGATGCAGTACAATTTTATATTACAGAAGAGTATAAGAATTTCAATATTCTTATTAGGCATTTTAATAATGATCCATATGATATTATATAATAAAAGGTAGCAGCATTTTAACCAATTCAATCTAAAGATGACACTAGATGTGATCAAGCATCTAAAGATGGTGGAAAGAAATTCGAAGATAAGAAACAAATTAAGTGTATGAGGTCTGTAGGGACTTATGTGATTTAGCAGATTGGACGTAAAATTTTATCAGGAGACATGAATCTCACTAAGATTAGTTTTCCAATTAAGGCTATGATTGCAAAATCAGCTTTGGAGAAAAATTTATAATCTACTATCTTTTTTCCTTTATATATCAACAGAGCTGTTCAGACAGTAGATTATATGGAGTAATTGAAATTAGTCATAACTGCTACAATTGCTACATTCCACATAAATTTGAGTTTTCATAAACCATTAAATCCTATCTTGGGGGAAACAGTTGAAGGTTATCTATCTGATGGAACAAAGTTATATGCAGAATAAATTAGTCATCATCCCCCAGTAAGCTAATTTTATGGGGTTGGTAAAGATAATTAATATAAATATTTTGGGTATCACCTTTTTATATTATAAGAAATTATTGGTACGAAGCATCTGCTGGACTTAATTCCATCACTCTAAAAAATAAGGGGAAAAGAACAATAGTATTTAATGGAGGATAAAGAATTGATTATAATTTTGCTTATGAATTATATAGTGGAACTATAATGGGTTCAATGAAAGTTGAAGTATAACTATTAATAATTCATTAAGACTCTTGGGGTTTCTACATATTAAACTAATAAAGGATTGACTGCAACTTTAAAATTTGGGAAAGTTAAAAGAAAAGCTACTGATTATTTTGAAGGAACAATAAATATGGGACAATAAGAATTATGTAAAATATATGGTACTTATATGGGATACATTGAATTTGATGGAGTACGTTATTGGGATCATAGACATATGGTAAAATAATATAATTTGTATTTAGTAACCACATTAAGTAACTATTAAACCTCCATTTTTACCATCTGATGCATAATTGAGAGGGGATTATATAAATTTATCTGCTTTAGATATAGATAGGGCATAAATAGAAAAAGAGAATCTAGAAAATTTATAAAGACATGATGCTAAATTAAGAACTAAATTTAAGGAGATCAGAAGAAAAAAGGAAGAGAAAAAAAAATAACATGATCATGATTGATAAATTACTAATTCATAAATCATTAAAGGTCTAAATTTTCAGGGATTTTTTTAGATTATATTCAATCCTATTTAACTTATTCAATCATTTTTGAATATAACATACTATCTTCATTTTCAGGATTTTCTATATCCATTTTAATTCTAGAATTCATCAAACTTAAATTTTTATTCTCAATTTATCCAGTTGAATAATCTGGGCTTTAAACAAAAGATTACTCTTAAATAGGAGGTAAATGATTTTAGGTTCTAAATTATAAAGTATTCTACAATTATTATGATTTTTAATAAATCTATTCTCGCTCATATTGTAATTCTTATTCCTATTATTTATAAAAAATGTAATTAGCATCTTATTTAATTTAAAGAAATTTATTTTCATAATTAACTTTACCTAATGAAAATTAATCTGATATAAATTCAGTAGTATCAATTTAAGATTGGTTGAATTCTTTTTTTGAATTGTTGAAATGAAAACAAAAGATCTTGGATATCAAAGTAAAAATAATACTGAATAAAGAACTTAATGCATAATAACTTAAAAAAAATAGTAATACATATCCACAAAAATTGTAATAAGCTTCTATCATAAAACAAATAAATATAAAAACAATATTATATGATATCCAAAGAGCAAAAGATTGAACTTTATTATAATAAAAATCTTTAATCCTTTCATTTTCAAAGTTGTTATCAGTGTTTATCCTTTCATAAAATCTCATTCCAAAGTTTATCATTAAAAAGTAAAATAAATAACTTAAGTATCCTCTAATAAATACTTAAATATGTGATAAATTAAGTAACATCTTTATTGCTTTTTCTAAAATCACTATTAAAATACAAAAACATATTATTAATTTATATGTATCTCCAACTTTAAAATAGTAATTGTATATAATATTTAAAATGAATAATGCCAAAAAGAATATATTGAAAATTGCCATCAAATAAAACAATTTGGAATATTATTCAGTAGCTTCTCCAATTTAATTTTAATAATTAAAACAAAGTTCTGTACACTCTACTTATGCAAAATATTCAATAAAACCATTCTTTCTTACTTATTTAGCTTTCTATTAATTTTTTGTTTATTATATAATATCATAAAGAATATTATTTGTTTCAAATTAATTAGCACAATATACATTTTTCCCTTAATAAAGAAATAAATTCATAACTTTTTAATTTGGTGAAGATCCTAAAAATTTTATATCATCAAATTTTATTTGTATATTATTTCTTGTTATGGTGTATTTTTCAAACTAGTATGAACAAGAATTTACAAGTGGACTATGAATTATATGTAATATTAAATTTCCACTAATTAAAATAGGATCTTTTATTGTTTTTGCTCTTGCTATTTTATATTGACTTCTAAATAGAATTGCAAAAATTAAAAATATAACTGTACAGAATAAAAATAATGCTGGAATTGACAATTACAATATATAAAGATAATAGTGATTAAATGCTTTGCCAAAAAAATCATAAGAACTTTAAGCAAAAATAAATATTATTGCACTTATACAAAAGTAATTATTCAAACTAGAATGTATAAACATTAATTTTAAAGCTATTTATTAAATGAATCTAATAAAAAAATTGATCTACCAATTAGAACTTAAAGATGAATAAGAATTTAAAAATTAGTTATATGTATATATTTTTGAATTCTTTCTTTTTCTTTATTCATTCATAATCTTTGATAATTAATGATTGCAAGATGCTTCTCCTACAATATTCTCTGATTTACCAAATAATAATCCTTATTCTGCAGCCAAACTTGGTAATATGTAATTTACACCTTACACAATTATATTTTAAACATAATCACACTCTGATTTTATTATTTTTTATAAATAAGGGTCAATGAATTCTTTAGTTTTTTACCAATTATAAAAGCAAAAAAAAGGATTATGATCCATAACAACAGAAATTAATTTATTTGTTGTTATATTCTCAAGTTGATCTAATGTTTGCTCTAACAAAAATGTATTAATAGGATTTAATGGATTCCATGAACAGACTTTATTATGTATAATACTACTAGTAAGTGCACATAGGTTTTTTTTATTAATGACATCTATTTAAGTACTAATAGAATTATTTGTTGAAATTAATGAACATGAAGTTACATAAAAGTAATCAGGATCAAAATGTTTACCTATTCCATTATATAACCACCTTTAAATATCATAATTTGACGATTTAAAGTATTTTATAATAAATATTACTTTAGGTAACTCTTTTTAATTACTTTCATATTATAAAACAAGAGCATTATTCACTGAATATTGATTTTTTGATAACTCAATTTTTATTAAAGTTGATTTGTCGCAATTCATAAACAATTTTTATTTTACTCCTATATCTAATGAATCAACACCATTACAAAGTATAACCAAATCGACATTTTAATTTTTAAAAGATAGAATAAAATCTTCTATTTAACATAAGTTTTCATTTTCATAAATACCACACACTAATGTTTTTCTAGATTTATTTTCATATGGTTTTTCTTTCTTTCATATTATGAATAAAATATTACCTTTATTAATTGTTAATTTTAATCTCTTAAAGTACCTATCATACTAAATTAGGCTACATTTTAAGTTCCTTACATAATTCTACTATGTAATAATTCCTCTTAATTTTAGATTTATTAAGTTTTATAATTTAAACAATTTTCTTATTTTCTCTTTTTATTTGTTGTTTTTAAATATTAGGTACCCAAAAATATTTTACAAGTAGCCTCATATCTTTCCTCAAAATTTTAAACATTATCATATTCTTATTATAATTAAACCTAAAAATCTTCAATATCATTAGCTAAATATTTAAGATTTCTATTATTGATAAATTCAAATAAAAGTTTATCCTCTTTAGTTATTGGTCTTTAATAGGTCTGAATTATTTTTTATTTTTACATTTAATGCTAATTCTTGACTCTCACATTTAACAATTACTTTAAATGGCTAAAATAATAAGTGATTATCATACTATTCGTTCTTAATCTTAAAGTTATATTGTTATGGGATCAGTTGAAATGGTCTCTAAATTGAGTTTCATATATAAATTTTTAAATATATTAGATTACTTCATTCAAATTAAAATTAGATATTAATTAAAAGCTCTTTATTCTATTTGATTTATAAAAAATAAGAACTATAATGTAATTATTAACATATAAAAAAAAATAAAAATACAAAAGTTATAATGACTTGACTAAATTAACATTATTAAAAATTGTCTTTAAATCTAAGTATTATATTTATTTTAATATTCATAGTTTTTTTCTAAAATTTACAGTATTGGTTTAAAGTCCATCAAAAAATTTACTATTGCTTTATAGATCCTACTTTCTTAATGTATTAATTGATTCTTTTTATTACAATTATGAAATACAATGTTCAACTTCATCTAAAAATTAATTAGAATTAAATATTTACATTTTAATTGCACAGCCTCCATATTGCCTTAATCAATTTCCAGAATTTTCTTATAACATACTAAAGATTATTAGTATTTTTTCATTAATTTTAAGACTTCTCCATATCCAAATAATCCTTTTATATGATTAGGTTATAATTCAAGAGCCTATTTATATTCAACTGAAGCATCATAATTAAATTTGAGCATTCTAAGTGCTTCTCCTTCAAATTTAAAGTCAAAAGATACCTTTGCCATAAAGAGATAAGAAATGTTTTGGATGATACTTTAGAGCCCTATCAAAATACACAATGGCCTTTCTAAATTTATCTTACATTCTTAAAGATTCACCTATAAAATATATAAAAAATTAAACCTTTTCCCCAAATGGAATTGATATGATTTGGTTTTAATTTTATGGCTTTATCATACCATTCAATAGCATCATCATAATTTTCAATTAATCTAAAATATTAGCCTTTCTTCTTTGAAAATTTTTACCTTTTCCAAATGTACTTTATAAATGATTTGGATCCAACTCTAAGGCTTTATCATAAATACTGTTGGCTTCTGCATATTTTTATTGATTTAATAAAATATCACCTAATATTAATTGAAATAATACCTTTTGCTGCATAAATATCTGATTATTTATCATTATTATGACTTAAAATAGTTGGTAATGATAAGGCTTTATTTATAATAACTTCAGCATCATATTATTTTTAGAAAGTATTTACACAGAGACCTAAACATATTATAATTAATATTATTACCTTTCCCTGTTAGTGCTTATATCTAATTAGGTTTAGTCAATAATGCCTAATCAAAGTACTTTTAAGATTCTAATTCTAGTTCTATTTCCTACTCTAATTCAATTTAATGTTTAGGTTTAGCTAAGTTTGTTAAATAAAAATACATTTTCCTTGAAGTAATGCTTCAATTTTATATTAATGTAATGCTTTGGCTTAAGATTATATTAATTTTTATTTTACCTTTATCATTTAATTTAGCCTCCAATTATTTATTAATATTAATCTTCTCTAAATTTATAAATTTAATATAATACCTTTCTCTTTAATACGAATATCTAACTTCTCTTTTGTTTGATCTTCTAAAAAACATACATATTCATAATGTAATACCCTTTTCTTTAAATCGCTATTCTAATTTTTACTTTTCTAATTAATCTAATGATGTAATAACATTTTTTAATACCTCTTTCAAAGAGACTAGATTCTGTTTTCTATTTATTTAATACTTTAGCTATATAAAACTTAATGATAGTAATACGTTTGGCTAATTTATTAAAATCTAATTCTAATTGATAAAGTGCTTTGGCTATAAATTATAAGTATTAATTACCTTTTCCTACTAAACTTGGTACATGATTAGGTACAATACTCAATGCTCGATCATACCATTATATGGCTTTCTAATATTTATCAAATTACTATAAAGCATCACCTTAATTATATAATTGAACAGTTACCTTTTCCACATAATGAATCAACCATATTAGGATCTAGGCTTATTGCTGCATCAAACCAATAAAGTGCCTGATTCCTTTTTTATTGTTATAACAGTTTTTAACCTAAATTAATAGAATGACAACCTAATGCTATCATAGATTTAATGTCATTAGGATTTCTTTTTAGAACATCTTCATAATCATATCTCAATATTTTAGACATTATAAATTTTATTATACATTATCAATCCTTTTTTATTTTACCTTCTTCTATCAACACTGGGATTTCAGCTGCCAACCAAGGTGCTAACTATTAATATTTATCAACTTTAAATATATTACAGCCAATTATAGAGCATGAACAATACCAAATTTAGGAGCGTTCTTCTACCATAAAGGAGCAAAATGAATATCAATACAGATCTTGCCACCTCTGTACATTTTAGGTGTTAAACCATCTAATGATGGAATTTCAATTTCAATAGGTGCCAATGGATATGTTGGAGGAATCTAAATAATAATGTTTTGCTAATACTTCAAATTAAAAATCAAATTCATATCTAATCAAATTATGGACCACCCAACATTTACCTTTCCAACTATTATATTATTATTAATTTTAATTACTTAGTACATTCTTTATTTGCTGGTTCCAATTTTACCCAATCATTATCTTCACTTTTATTATTTTTAATATAATTAATCAAAGCACTATATTCTTCTTTGAGTCTATCTATCCATTATGGATCTCTGGGTCCTGCACTGATTGTAATTGAAGCTTATGGTGATTGAGTTTACATAATTATTTAATATATAAATATTTCATCTCATCAAAATTACAATCAAGAGTATTATAATAAAGGGGAAACAATACAACAATTTTAATTTAGAGAATTTACTCTCAATTTTCTTTTCGATTATTTATTTAGATACTTTTGGAGGAGTATTTTTTTAACTTTTGATTGGAATCACTAAAAATAATCATATTGAAATTTTACAATATTATTGAATTGCAGAATTAAGTTTTTCTTTTTTTTCATTCTGTTTATTATGTTATGTTTAATGATTCAATTAATTCTTCACTTTAACAGATGTTTTAATAGTTTATAATGTATTAGCACAATCTGTAATAATGGATTGTTCAGTCACTTCACTCTAAATTATTTTAAAGAAATTATTACATCAGAAATGGCATTTTTAGAAATATCTGAATATTATGTCACATATCGAACTCCAGGTAGTGCTTTGAATGAACCTTTTTTTTCATTAACTGTGATATCTGTACTTTTTTATTAAGGATCATCTTCTTTAAATGTTTTCTATCCTAATATTAATAATTTTAGATTGGAATTTTAAGATCTTAGTTTCTTATCTCCTTTAAAATATTTAATTGATGGTCGAGATATTCTGGAGGGGACTTCATTAATCTAATCAAAATATTATTTAAGTTTTTAAATTAGGAAATGATTAATTTGATTAGCAGCAATTATTTTTGGTTTTATTTTTTCTTCTTCAATCTAAGACTAATCAAGATTCTCACTTATATCAATTGATTTAATTTCTCTAATATCTTATTTTTGATTACATCCAGAACTTAGATGAAATAGAAATGCAAATTATGCTTTTATCATTACTTAACTTAATATTCCTATTAATAAAGATGTACTGGCAAATTTCATAGCCAATTACTCTTTAGCACTCATCAATTAATTATTTATTTCATGTTCTTAGATATCTTGGATTGTTAATGGTTATATTTACTATTATTAGGAAAATTCCGAATCTAATAAACTTATTTATTGAGAATGAACATTGTCATTATATTAATATTATGAAATTGTTAGTAAGACTTCCAATTTTATTGATTTTATCTTTTAATTGGTTATTAGACTAATCCTTCTAAAGGACTTTGATTATTATAATCGTGTTTTAAGAATTTAAAAGTTTTAAGTTTGTTTTTTTCTGAATAACTGAAATAAAATGGTATTAAAAGATATTTGCTAATTTTTTTTGTTTTGATTATATAGTATTATATTGAAGTAAGTGCGAACACGTTTATTATATATAGATTTAATTAATAAACAAGGTGCTATTGAGTATTTTGGTTAAAACTTAACACTTTTCTTTTTTGTTGGAGGTGTCAAATATTAAATTTACCCTTATTAATTTTTATTTAAAATAGGTATAGGATTAGTATTTGATGTCTTGGTTAGAAGTAAAACATCAAAATAATGTTATAACCTTATAGATTTAATTTTATGACAGATTCCTACTATTTTATGAGTAGCAAGTACTATTTTCAATTACGTAAATCTCATGGCTAATTTACAGCTTTAATCTTCTCTCATCTCAGAATAAACTTTTAATGTTGCTTTGATTGCAGAGTTTCTTTAAGAACTTTAACTGCTCATACTTAATAGTTGATGCTAATCAGGATTAGTTTTATTTCTTCGTTCAGCAAAATTCATAATAATTTATATTTCAATAATTAAGGATACTTTTTAGGTCTTGCTATCATCTTACAGCTATGAATTCTTTTGTTTTGATGTCTGTCTGAGAATTGAATGGAATTGAGAGGACTATTGGAACGTAATTTATTTAGTTCTACACTATTATTTCTTAAATTAACTGAACAATCTTACTTTTAATCGAAACTAGTTTATGTTTAGATTTAAGATCTTCCTTATTCCGTTTTCATTCTGAAATAGGATTATTAAGTTGTTAATCTTGAAGTAAAATGATCACTGTTATTAGTTGGAATATTGTTAGACTATCCTTATGCAAATAAATTAAGAAATGAGAAGGAATTTTTCTTTAGATCATTCTATTTATAAAGCGAATACTATTTAACCTAATCATTTTATTAGAATAGGTCTGAAATAGTTGATGACAAAAGAGTTCCTTCTCTCATTGTTTAAGGTTAAACTCTTTGCTTCTTTTTGTTTTATTTGGTTAATTATCTACAAACTCTATCCCTTATTGATAATACTGAATCTTTGTCTAATGGAAAGATATTTAAATTTCTGAATCCACCCTAAATGGAAATAAAAAACCTACTCTTGATTAATTTATTTTGTTGTTGTATTCAGTTATCTCTATTATGCTTAATGATTTAGGAGAATGTGATCTAATATCTTAAGTTTTTGTCTTTATAGAAGTATGGAAGATTTCAGTAATAGATTTTCTTTCTACCTTTTGCCTCTCTTTCTAAATTAGTTTTGGCTTGTTAATAAAGTTATTCATTATCATTTCATATCTTATTTTCATATATTCCTTTAGTATATGAGATCTCTCTTTTAAAATCTTACAAATTTCTGGAAAGTTTCTTCTAATCTGATTGAATTCATCAATTTATATATAATATGCAACTGTATTATCAGCACATTAACAAGTTGATTATCTAATTGATTGATCAACTAAAAGAGTTTTATATTATTTATTATACATATTTCTTCTTATCCAACCCAACTGTTATCACTTAATTAACATAATGTTATCCTCACTTTCCCAATCTTTTTAATCAATTCCACTCTCCCTTTGAATATTAACATAAAAAATTTAGATTCTTCCCCTTCCTTCCATAATATACTTTAAGGTGCAAATTCAATTTTATGCATATACTACATAAATTTTGTGATGACAAATTTGCTATTATTTGGTAACATTCTCATAAAATATTCAACATTGTTATTCATATCCTAAAGTGATTTCTCACAAATTTATTTATACTCACTTTTATTCATTGTAATCACATGAATATCTTCAGATAATACTAATATACTTGCAGTTCTTGGTTTATCTGTATATAGAGATACATCTCCAAATGTTTATCCTCCATAATATGTATAAATCTTATTATATTTAAATATATGAAATACCTTTTAATACAAACAGACACCTCCTTCGAAATATCGATTTGATAATAGCCAAGGATCTTCTCCTTAAGCCAATAGCAATTCCATATCAATTGTACTCTATAATTTTCTACCTTTCCAAGCATAACTCCAAGGTTCATTTTTATTTGTCTCAAAAAGAAAATCCCTATCCATTTCTATATCATGATTTCCTTTAGGTACTAAAACTCCAACATTGCCTTTTAAGATCATAAAAAATTTATCTCCATAATCACCATAATGAAATATGATTTATCCCTATTTATAATACTCATAAGTTAAGGCTTTTCCAGCATGCATAATAAAATCTCTTAAACTTGAACCTTCAGGACAACTCTTTTTAAAAAAATCTATAGCCATTAAAGAATCAACAATCTGTGCCATCTGTGATTCATTACTCATCTTTATAAAACTTTAAAAACTCTATAATGCTGGTATTAATTAAATTTCTATCTTCTCTCTCTATTCTTAATCATTATTATTTAAGAAATTGATTGATGATCTTACATTAGCTGTTGATTTGTCCATTAACTTTGTACACTGTTATTTAATTATAAAAATAATAATTCATGAAATATATTCTTAAAAGAAGAAAATACTTTGAATTAAATTTATAAATCTACTTAATTAATAAAAATAATCAATTCTTTTTAAAATCTGTAATAGCATCAATAAAATTTGGGAAGTCATCTTTATGAATTTCTATCACTGATGTTTCAAAACTATCTTATCTAAATTATAAATTTAATTCCTAAACCTTTCTTATAAAATATTATCCAAATTAACTAAAATTATTAGAATGAATAGAAATACTTTTTCTCTTATCCACTAAAACTCATACCACCAACCACTCCAACAACCATGAATAATTCACCCAATTAATTTACTAAAATTACTGACTTATTTGATTATTTATATCCTTTTTCTTTATAGATATCCATAAGAAGTAAAGCTAATTTTTATAAACTTTAAGGATGTTAAAAGAATTTCTTTTGTTAAGGACTTTCATTTTTTAATATTCCATATCTAAAATGTTTACAAGGATAAAGTTCATTATTTTCTATAAGATTATTTGCTTCATCTACTAATGCTGCTTAAAATTCCAAAGCCATCTAAACTCCTTGTTAAAATAAATCATCAGATTTACTAATAAGAATATAATATATATTTGTACCTGCCCAAAGTGTCTAAGGCACAAAAGAAATTCTAGAATTTAGCTGCAGTTTCAGAAGTTTTTAACTTTTCAATAACTTCAGAACATTGATGTTACATTAATTATTTAGATAGTAAAGCTTAGGGATATTCAAGAATTGCATTTACAGCATAAACCATATCACTGGCTGCAATTTATATTTTAGTATCAGATTAACGAACAAATGATCTATAAAGAATATCATCCATTTAAAATTTAGATGCCACTTCAGCAATTTAGGATTTCAATATTTATTTGTATTTCTAATTCATGTATCGAAAATCCTATTTTGCTTCATTTAATGGAATACCTAATTTAGCCATAAATTCTTCTAATCTTTTATTGTCTCTATCTTTCCATAATTTGAGTTTAGTTCCAACATAGGATGAATAATACATTGAATTATATAATGATTATTATCTCATAAGCAAGAATTTGTATTCATTTTCAATAAAGACTCCTCCAATCTTTTTAACATCTCCTTAAGTTTCCTCAAAATGTATATTCAATCTAATGACTTCATTTTGTAATTCTTCAAAGATTATATCATAATTCTTTTGGTTCAAACGCATATGAATATAAGCATCTGTCAATCCAAGAATTGCATACCATAAATGATCATTACAGTCATGATTAATTTATTAAGCAAGTGTATAAACAACAGTAGAACTTGGTCTACTGTAATAGGTTCCTTGACTATAGTAATCTTCATGCATTTGAATGAGTTATTTACGAAGACTTCGTTACAATTTCTGTTATTATTTTCTTTGAATTTATGATGAATGAGATCCTGAGTCATCATCATCAATTGAATCTTCATCACCATCACTCATTTCTTTGATTTCCTCATCTGGACATTTCTCTAATTATCCCATTCCATCATCTATTATATATATACTCTTCTCATTATTCACATTATTATGATTGATTGGTTTGTGACTATCAAATATGAAGAATTTAATGTCTCCCTTTACAAACTCACTCATATCATACACATTTCCACAATTTAATAAAATAATACTTTTATACATATTCCCACATTTCTAAATAGCTTCAGTCATTTCAGAGTACCCTGATACTGGAATCATTCTAAATTATAGGTTCTCTCTATTCAATAAAGACTATCCATATTATTAATAAAATTACAGTGAGAATTCTTAATGCACATATTGCATCTACATCCAAAGATACTATAATGCATACAGAGGTTTTCCCAAATTCACTTCTCTTTAAGATTTTTTGGAAACATTCCTTAATATTGTTTAATAGGATTTTCATGAAAAAAGGAGGGAATTTTAATTATTATATTATTATTTTTAACAATTAGATAATTTGAATTAATTAATATGAATCATTTTATTTTATTCATAGAATCTATGTTTATATATAGTGAATTCAAATTTTAATAGGTATGAAGAATGTTTTTAATAATTACATTTTTTTTTAGACTTAATAGATTAGGATTATAATAATTAAATTAATTAAATAATTAAAAATAAGAGAAAATGAATTTAATACAATTTGATACTCTATGTCATGATTGCTGTTATTCTTAATCTGTTGAAGTACTTAAAATTTTTATTAATTTAGAAAAAATAAATAGCTGATTAAACAATTTATTAATTCATAGAAGATATCAGAAATATTGATGGATTATATTAAATTATAAGCTAAACTTAGTCAGGCTCTACATTATTTGTAATTTCTGAATTTATAGCTAAAATTATTGTTTCAGAAAGATAATTTAAAGGATTTTAAGTGACTGAGCGTTCCTCATAAGAAGTACAAATAATTGTTGGATAATGTTATACAGGTGATGAAGTGGAAATTTTATATTAAAAGTGTAGAGTATATGAAAATTTGGTTACATTATTCTGCTAAACTTTGTAGAGAGATTTAGCAATTCATGAATAAAATTCAATTTGTAATCTTGTTGGATTATTAATATAATAAATAATGATGTTGAGTGGAACTTAATTTATGAAATTCTAAGATCGATTAAATATATTTTTTGAAGGAAATTAAATATATAATCTTAGTATTGGTTTAAAATTGATATAGAATGTAATACAAAATATTTAGTAATATTCATCATATGATTCTTATGTCTCTTTTAGAAGAATTATGTTTGGATTCTAAAATTAAGAGATATTTAATTGTTTTGAAATAGTGTGTAGAATTGTTAAAAATAGTCCACCTCAATTATATAAATAGTCTTTGAGTACATTAAAGGATATATTAATGTTTAATTTCAATGTGAGTTATTTTGAATTAGAATCTGATTTTGATCCAAATGATTAAAATAATGTTAGTGTAAGAATAAATCTATGACTATTAGTTTCCAGATAAATTTGCTGATTATTTTACAGATTAATAATTTTAAGAGTTATTATTTAAGATAGTAGAGACTTATTGTAATAAAGATAGTTCTTTAGCATTATTAGCTTTGAAATCATTAAAAAGAATGGCATCATCTAAAAAAAAGATATTTGTAAACAAAGAAAAAAAGAGATTATTTGCAAAAGCATTATATGATGGTTGTACTTATTTATTTTAAAATGTACAATCAACAAATGAAGAAATCATAAGTGATATATTAGAATTGAATACTAAATTAAATAATTGTTTTGGTTTAAGATAAATACGATTTGATTTTGCTTTCTGTTAAAAATGGCTTTATTGTTTATAAACATTTTGTATTTAGATTCTGTAAAGATAAATGAAAATTAAAGATCCTCATATGTATTAGATGATAGAATTGATGAAAAGATTACTTAAATTCATTACAGATTTTAAATTAGATGTAACCTTTAAAACTTCAATATCATAAACAATTACTGAAATAGGAAAATCAATTATTCATCTTTTACTCAATTCTTAAAACTCCTTTTTCTAAGGTTACACTCCACAAAATCATAAGAAATTAAAAAATACTCTAAAAGAATTCTTTGAAAATCTATTTCCAATCTTATCCATTGATTTAGGTAATCATATAAAAATGATATATCATTCATTTAAAAATGCTGCTTAAGATTAAGAGAAATTCATAATAGAATTAAGTTTAATCAATTATATAGTGATAAATCCATTGATTTTGGATAGATCTACTGAAGAGATTATTTAAATGGTTTAAACTGTTATAAAAGAATCTTTGTAATTTTTATCAATTCCACAAAATAATCTTCCACCATTAGTGATTATGTCAGCAATGTCTCTTGCTGATAATTTGTTTTAATTTGCTTTGAGTGAATCAGATGAATCAATAGGGAGATAAAGATCTAATAAGATCTTTTTTGATACCTGTATAAAACCTATATAAATTTAACCATAATAGGCAACCAATCAATTGCTCTAATATATTATAATGCAATTATAAATTTAAAATAAAGAAATAATAGAATATGCTTTAATAATAATGAAGGAAACTATTGTAAGACTAAAACATCATTTATATAATGAATCATTTTAATCTTCAAATGTTGTCACTTAAATAAAGAGTGTATTACTTAATTTAAAGAATTCAGCTTTACAATAAGAGTAATTTTTTAGTTGTCGTACTTTGGCATCAGAAATTATATCTATACTTTTATTTGATTCAGCTTATGAAAATTATATAGAATCAATAATATAATTAAATTAATTATTAACAATTTAGCCAACATCTCAATCAATTTAAATATATTTATATGAAATGTTAGGTTATTTCAAACATGTTGATGTTAGTAAGATTTTTAGATTATTAATAAAATAACATTTATTAAAAATAGCTGATTTAACTAAATTTATTTTAATTGATAATCCACAGCAATTTTAACTTTGTAAATTATGTTTAAAATTGATGGTTGCTATTACTGATAATAAAAGTCTCAGATTTCAATATCATAGTTCATCTATTGTCTAAATTGAATTGGTTAGAACTTTCCAAGGGATCTTAACTAGTTATGTTCAGCATCTGATTGTTGCTATTTAGAATGATAAAGTTAAATAAGAATTTTCTGCTTAGATTTGTAGATTGGTAGGATTAGTATATAAAATAATGAATAATATACTTAAAGGGAAATATATATCTTAAGCTTGTTAATTGTTATTTGCAGATCGTAAATATTTAGATCTGTTAGTAGCTATTTTAGATATAACAAATAAGATATCCAGTTATATGATTGTAATTACTTATTTACAATATTTTAGCTTTATAATAAGTCGTGTTTTCAAATGATTCAAGTACTCCAAGTTGTCAGTTCACAATAATTATAATTATTTGAATTAAGTCCACAGTCTTTGTCAATATTAATGAACATAATAGAGAATCTATAAAAACATCTATTACTACAATTATCTTAAGAATATAAGATTTCAACATCTTCCTCATATCATTAACCAGCAGATAAAGTTTCATTAGATTAGACTACAGATATAGTTATTTCAACTTTAGAGTTTGTTTCAGAAGAATAATAACTTACATAATTAGGAGTTATATAATCATTTGTTTAACCTCTTGATCCTATTATTGATAACATCTTGAATGATTTAATTGTCTGTTTAATATAAGGCAAATGTTCTTAATAAACATTTAATAAAATCAACAGACAACTCTTTGCCATAATGTGTACATATTATCAAAATTTCGTTAATGTATTGAGTAGATAATTTGTAAAATCTGAATAACAATTAGGTCAAGCTTTGATTAATATCTTAAATAAAGATTTAGAACTTAGAATCAAATAATAGAATGAAGAATAGTTTAAAAAGAATATGCCCTTATTTTTATCTTAATTTGGAATATTATGAGAATATATTTTATTTTGTTATTAAACACATTCATATTCATGAACAAAAGATTTAATACTCAATATCCAATTGCACCTCCCATGAATGATATCTCAAACTTATACAAAAGAATCAGAATAGAAGAACAATTATAATTGTTTGATGAAGTTATCAAGAAAGTTAAAATTAAGAAACTAATAATCTAATCACCATAAAACAAAGAACCTTTCTTGGTTTAAGCTAAATCTATACAACTAAAAACAGAACGAACTCTTTCTGTTCGTTCACCAAGGATTCCTAAAATATTAAAGAAATAAGTTCTTCCTAAGCTTGTTAGATAGAAGCCATCCATTTCTGGTTGGGAAGTAAACATTCATAATGATTCATAAATGTATTATTGATAACATTATAATAAATATCATATCTACTCTCTTAAATATCATAATGAAACATCTGGTTCTTTTACTTAATCAAACTTAACTAATAAGAAATATTTCTTCGGATACATATGTTGTTATGTTATTAATATCTCTAAACTATAATGTATAAATCCAAAAACAATTAATACATATATAGTACTAACTATAAATATATATCAAAATTAATTTCTGGTGGCAGAGTCAACTTTTCTAATTGGCCGATCAAATTTAATTAGCTGTTTTTAATCTTATTATTCTTAATTCTAGATTTTTTTGATTTAAGGTAATGCTAAACTAATACTTATAGTATTTTTTAATATAAATCTAATTTATTTTCATCTTCTCTTTGATTTGATAACCTAAATATCATGTTTTATTTTTAATTTAATTATTATTGTTACTCTTTCTAAATTTCATTATTTACTTACATAAAATTATTGAATATCTTCTTATTTTTTATTTAATTATTTATGAATCACTTTTGAAAACTCATTTTATTAAATATCATGTATTTTATTAAAATAAACTAAGAGTTAAATATAAGAGTAAATAATAAAATTAATTAAGGGAACTATCATTTTTCTTCTGTCTTTGAATTCTTATCATTCTTTTTAATAAATGATAAACCTTTTTTATCAATATTTTATTGTTTTTATTGTTTATATGATTTTTGCATAATTAAAAATATATTGATTAAATTCAAAAATTAAAAGATAATATTTCATATTCTATAATTTTAAATAAAAAATAAAGCTTTGTTATTTAATTCAGACATATCTAAATTATGCTAACACTAACTTATAATTATTTGATTAATGATTTTATGGTTATAATAGTCTTATTAAAATAATCATTAAATTTAGTTTAAATTAATTACTCTAGTTGAGTTCAAAATCAGTCAGACTTCAATCTATATAACAATTGAATTTACAATAACATATTTATATAAATATATATTTAAATAAAGTATGTTTAATAAATCAAAATATGCAACATCCAGTACCACAACAATTTCTATTTTTTTCTATCATGCTTTTTTCCATATGTTCTTTGTTTAATTCATGCTATTTAGTTTTGAGATTTGATTTTGCTTTACTCATATTTCTTTATTAGGAAATATGGCTCTCTCTTAGACTGTCAATACTGGCATCCAAGGATTATTTTCGTAAATTAGATTATCTATTTTTTGTAGCATTTTAAGAGATTTTTTTAACTCCAAGCATTTAATCTGAATCTCCATTTGAATTTTAAACACTATTTTTGCTATTTACTAAATTTTCATTGACTGGATTGGACATGGACTTATCGAATATATAATATTAATTAATACTAATGGAGAATCTAAAGAACCATAATATCCATCAGGTTTATGTATAGGAATATATATGCTTTAGGCAGATCTAGCCTATTTTTTATTAGTTATAATAGGACTGCCCTTTTATTATTATTCAATCCATTATTTTCTAATGCTATATTGTTTTCTAAGATAATTTTTGAAATATCAATTACTTCATTTACAATTTAACCATAGATTATGTCTAATAATTGATTTCACTTTCCTCAAATTCTTGCCAATCACCTACATCACCTTCTGGTAGTTTAATAGGCATTCTTTATAAATTACTTTCATAAAATTTTAAATATCCTAGTACAATATCACCAAATTATTGCATGGTAACTATTTCATAATAACGATATTTAATGTCTTGTATTAGAGATGGATCTTAGTTTTTTAAATGAATATTATTAGATCGATTCAGTTGAATACTTAATCTATTTCTAGACTATAACCAAAGTGGATGCTCTTAACCAACTGTATCTAGAACTGCTTACATATCGGTAGCAGCACTCATGACAATTATAAAATCATTCCAGAGATCTTAAAAACTGATTTCTTACATTTATTTTATATTTTTCAAATAATATTAAAAAAGAACAAAATTTTGTTTTAATCATGGTAATTTTGTCTTATTTATGTAGATTAAGTAAAAAAACAGAAAAATAACATTGATTTTTTGCTAATAAGAAAATAAGTTATTAATTTATAAGGGAATTTAATTTTACTTATATTTATTGCTGATTTTATTTTAATAAAATGATTTGAAAATAGATTATATAATAAATAACTTAATTTAATTAAGAAAATGAAATAATCTGATTAATAAAAGACTCATGTTTCGAGATCTATGAGTTAACATCTATTGACAGAATAAGAAATTAAGAAGATATTTCCATATACTTAAAGTATTCATAATAGATATTTGGAATAAAATAGAATGGAAACAATTAGAGATTAATTAAATAATTAGTAATAATAATCTATCTCTTCTCATATTAAAGATCTCATAGTTAAGTAATGATAAATATTGAATTCTATATAGAGATCAAATAAAGCCTAGGTTATTATAACCAATAACAATGTTAGATGAAAGTTGTAATAGAGGAGTTAGAAGAATGAAGAAATTATTATATCATGATTCACAAAATATTAACCTCCACAATATTAATTAAAGAAGAGAAATGGTATAATTGGCATAATGGTTGGATATGATGGTAGAATAGGTTCATTCATAAAAATTAACAGATTATTAAGAATATTATAATAAATTGGAAATTGTTTTTCAAGGATCAGTTTTGGAATTAGAAAGATAAATTTCAATAGTTGGATTTGAGTTTGGACAATTTTTAAAGAAATTGTGGGAATCTTTTACTTAAGAAGTACAAAAAATCATTTTAGGATTACAATAAAGAAATTAATAAATAGAATAGAAATGCTTAGAAGACTTAAATTAATTACATAAGAATTATTAAGATGCTATTGAAAAATAAACAGAATCAATGAAGATGATGAAAGAAGAAGCATTATCTATTTAGAATACAATTATAAAAATGAAAAAAGAAAATGTATATTTAAGAAAGAAAGATAAAAGAAGAGAAGATTAATTACATGATATAATGAGTGAATTTTGGGAATAGAATTTATAATTAATTGAATATTAAGGAATTGAAAAATTTCATAATTAAGCTCAAACTGCTTAAGAAATGGATATTGTTTTATAATAGAAAGATATGTTTGAATTTTTTAAATAAAAGTTTGAAGTAAACAAAAAAGATATTGAAAATTAATATAAGTATGATTTTAATATAATTTAGAATTCTTACTTTATAAGATGAATATTATGATGGATCAACTCATTTAATAATTACTGAATCATCTGTTGATACTAGTGATCTTATTAAAACAAGAGAATAAAGTGAAGATACATCAGAATATTTTATTTATGTAAGTTCATCAACTCAAACTCCAAAATAAGCAAAAAAAGTAGATGAAGAAATTTAAGCATAACCTTTTTAAATTAATTAAGAATCTTAAATAAATTCAACATAATTAAGAAAAGAGAGAGTACCTAGAAATTAAACAGAATCAAAATTATTTAGGAGAGCAAGATTTCCTTTATCTGAGATTATTTCAGATTATAGTACTCTTTATTTTCCTGAATAAGAATTAATTAGTAATGATCCTTAATTTATTATAATTATGGCTGATTAAATTACTTAATTAAAAGATAGAATTGAAGATTTATTAACTGTTTTAAATTTGAGAGGAGATAATTCTAGTGAAGATATTTATGCAATCAAATAATATTTACACTTAAATTATGGCAATTTTAATTATTATTTTAATGTAGATTCTATATAAAATATTTTAGTAATGTTGGAATGTATTATAAACATAAATATCAGTTGTAATGGATGCTAAAATAGATAAAGAAGAAATGGAACTTGAAATGAAGGAAATTGAGAATAAATTTAATGAAAATATAGTATTATTTAAGAAATATCATAATAGAACTAAAGAAAAACAAACTATTGTATAATTATTATATATTATTAGTCTAAATTTTATGAAGATTCTTTAATAAAATGTATTAGATATGCTCCATAATTTTTAATTAATTAAATAAAAGAATAAGCTAATATATATGATGTGTTGGAGAATGTTGAATTTAAAGAATTTAAACGAAGATAAGGTACTAATATTGATTCTAAATAATAATAATAATTATCAATCAAAGATTTAGATTCACCAACTAGATCTCCTAATAAAACTTTAACAACTATCAATATTTCTAAACCTATAATGAAAATTTAAAAAATAGCTAGCTAAATTGAAATTTCTAGCAAAGATGATGATGATATTTATAAAAGTGATTCATCAAAAGGAGGATCAGGAGATGATAGTGATGTTTCATTTAGTTAAATTAAATTAGATTTCAAATAAAGCAAACCAAAATTAACAATAGAAAAGAAATTAAGAATATCTACTTGTCCAGTAAAATCAGCCTCTTATGCTACTAATTTATTAAAATAAAGTATTATCAATCATATATTATTTTAGTGATATCTAAATTCAATATTAATTAGAGAACTGGATTATATCAATAAAGTACTATCCTCTAAAATTATCAAGAATTAATTATGAAAATTCCAAATACTATTTAAAATACTCCTCTTCATGTACATATGTATGAAAATATTGTTGCACATTATGGTTAATCATAATTTAGTGATGCTAATAGATATAAGAGAACAATAAAGAGTTTTTTATTTTTTGAAACAAAAAGCAGTACTTGTCAATTAGTGGTAAAGTTTTTAAAAGCTGAATATGATATCTAGGATCTTAATTTATATCTACAAATAGTTTAATCATTATAAGAATATCCAAGTGTTTCATACTCCAAATTTATTGATACGTTACTCAAATGGTTTTCTGATAATAAGTACTCTTAAAGTGAAATTGATAATATTATATATGATATCTCCACATCAGAAGTAGCTTATATGTAGAGTTAGTAAGGACCATGTGATTATGATATCTTAATGTACTAGTTTTTAGAGATTTTTTAAAAATACAAAAATCGTACATCTATTAAATATAAGCATCTCTATACATCTATTGATCTAATAAATAAAGGAAGTATTGATTTTTAGTAATGGAATTTCTTATATGAAGTTTTATGTTGCATCAACTATTCATTTTCAATTAGACTTTTCTACTAAGAAGCTGATTATTGTGGGGATAATGGAAGGATGATGTCAAAATAAAGATTTACATTAGTTTGTGATGAATTAAAAATTTTTTAAGAAGATGATCAAATTAAATTATTAGATAGAGAAACCTATTTTACAATAAGAGAAAAAATCAATAATTAATGGATGAAAGAAAAGATAATAATGAAAATGTCATTCATTAAAGCAAACAAAGTAATAATATAATTTAAAATATATATAGTATAATAAATTTATAAAAAGCATTTTTGGTGCAATTGATTCATTTGTTCAAAATCCAAAGAATTGTTAATTTGAAGCAGAGACAATTTGTTACATGTACAAACTATTATAAAAAACCTGGAAGCCTTATTTTCTAGAATCATAATTAAATATAGGCATACCTGTAGAATTTTCGCTTATCAATACTACTTATAGAAAGTTGGAACTCAAGATTCTTAATAAAGATTGAAAACTTTATATAATCATTATCTCACATAAATAATATTTCAATATATTACTAATGATCAAATTTCTTAATAAAGGAATTGAATGATATCTTAATAATGTAATTTGGCTTTATGTCTTTGCATTTTCATAGTTTCAGTTAATATGCCTACTTATACAAATGGTCTTGGTTCCAAGTAAACATTTTTGATTTGTTCAAATCTATTTAAATTATCTTGTTTTCCCTATAGATAATATATTAATATATACTTATTAATTGACTAATTTTAAAACATAAGCTCTAATAGATTTATCCTTACATAATTATTGATGATCTCCTTAGACATTTAATTTATCTGCCCATTCTTTCAAAAATGTATATTCTGGAACAATAACTCCAACACAATAATCGCATATAGAATTACCAAAAATGACAACCTCAGATATGCCTTTAACTCTTAAATAACAATTTTCAATTCTTTCTGGTGATACATATTCACCTTGAGATAGTTTAAATAGATTCTTTTTTCTGTCAATCAATTTAAGTGCTCCATCAATTATCTCTCCAATATCACCTGTATACAACCAACCATCTTCATCAATAGTTTCTTTTGTTGATTAAATATTATTGAAATAACTCTTAATAATACTTGGTCCTCTCATACAGAGTTCTCCTCTAATTTTCTTTTGGCCATCAATAATTTAATCTATTAAGTAATCCATCTCTGGAACACTTACTAATTTGAACTCTTAAGATGTTGTTGGTCCACCAATATGCCCACATACTGGATCATAATAATCAGTTAGAAATGAAGCAGCAGTAGTTTCTGTTTAACCATATCCTTCAATAATTTAACAACATAATGTCACTTTTAAATATTCCAAAATTTATGCTGAGATTGGAGCAGCTCCAGTAATCATGATTCTTTATCTCCCACCAAAAATAGCTTTAGTCTTAATAAAAGCTTCATCTAATTAATCATGTGTAGTTTTTCCTGTGTTTCTATAATATTATATTTTTTCAGCTAAAGCAAGTTCAAACTTTTATTAAATATCAGAGGGTAAAGAATTTAATTAAGTCTAAATTCCTTCATAGAATCTATTAAAAATTCTTGGTACTCCACAAAAATAAGTTGGTCTGCATCTTTGAATGTCTCTAGCTATGGTTTATATGTTTCCACTAAAATAATTGATTTATGCTCCTCCTGATAAAGCTGCCAAATGCATTACTCTTTCAAAAGTGTGTGGCAACGGTAAATAAGACAAATAAACATCATCTTATGTAAATCCAAAGGTTTCTGAATGTTCAAATTGAGCTAGTCTTGAAGTAAGATTAAGATGAGTCTAAATGGCAGCCTTTGGTTCCCCAGTTGTTCCACTTGTAAATACTATTGTTAATGGATCTTATGGATTCAATTTTGGATATGGTTAAATATTTCCATTCGATCTTTAAATGAAGTCATCCCAAGTGATTACTTCTTTCTATTGATCTTTTAATTTATTTAAGATATGAGGATCTTGAGATCCTACAGTTACTATCGTTTTTAAGTAAGGCAAGTTTGATGAAGCTACAAATCCTATTGTGCTAGCTTATACAAAACATACGCTAAATATTAATTATATAATTATACCTTACTTATGTAAGATTCATTGAATAAGGTATGTTTTCAATTCCAAGAGTATCATAAAATGAACAAGATGTAAATCCATATAAGATACATGCTACATCTATTAGTGTCCATTCTCTTGTATTGGATAAATAAATTCCAACTGGTCGAATGATATTATTTTGCTAATCTCTTACTTCTATGATTGAATTTTGTTGACAAAGGGATGAACCTAATTATGTTGCAATTTGTAGCACTTCCTATAATCACTATCTATTTCAGACCTTATATGATATATGCTCGTAACTTTGGGTTTATTCATTATAAGTTCCCAAAGTTTTCTTATCATAGAACTTTTCAAATTAGATGAGAAGTTACTACTGCATGTTCATCTTTCTATTATCTAGTGGTAGCAAGTATCCATTCTAAATTATTTGTTTATTTTTACTTTAGCTTTTGGATGCCTATAGATTGGAGTTTCATTAATCTTAGCTACTGATATTGGGTGAAAATATTCTATTTTTATTTACATATCTGATTTAATAATGAATCAATATTTAAAAATCCATTCATTTAATACTTAAATATAAGATATTAACAATTATATATTTTATTAACTCTTATTATTTTTTATATTATTATTTTTATTAAATATATTTATGAGTAAATAGAAGTAAACTGATAATAAAACAAATGAATAAATTATTAGTGATTTACGATTTCTTTTTGAAGTCACTAGCAACAAACACAAGTAGGATAAAGATTTCTTGAAAAAATTTACATCCTTTATTAAAAAAGAAAAACTCACTGATAAAAAAAATATCGTGAATGAAATGTTCAATCTGTTTAAGTCAGCTTCCAATTCTAAAGCTCTTTATTTTAATACTATTATTGATTGCCTATTGCTTATATAAGGCAAAGACATAAATATTAATCTTGTATTGGCAGAAGTGATAAAAGGTCCTTGTTAAATTGATAAAAAATCAAAAGAAAATTAAGATAATGAAGAAATTAAACTCTTTTGTTTTTAAAAATTAGAAATTCAACATATAGAAAACTAACTAAATTTATCTAAAGTTTTGGTATTCATGGAAAGAGTATTAAAAGTAATTTCTACAAAAACTAAAGATGAAATTAAAAAAATGTTTTAATTCATGACTTCCATTTAGGATATCTTAAGTTAATAATTACAATTATAAAGCTTAATTTGTATACTTATACTTAAAATTGTATTAACTTTAAAAAAAGAATCAGCTCTACAAAAGACAGATATGAAAGTCTTATATTATTTAATTGATGAATAAAGTATTCACTTAGTTTTTAAAAATATCTTAACAATAGCAAAAACAACTTGTATATATATTTTTATTTCATAATTTTAGATGTTCATAAATATTATCATTATATATTTAAAAGTTGTTTTATGCTATTATGTGAAATTTGTATAAAAAATAAAATGGCTGTATACTTTTAAACATTTCTATGTAGTCCAATGAGTTAAACTCATCTAAAAACAATTTTTAATATCATCAAAGAATTTAACTATTAATTCTTTTAAGACATCAAAGATTTGGTAATTATTTTTTATTCTATTTATAAGCCATATTTATTTGAAAAACCAAGATTTCTAATAGATTATCTCCCTACTAATTTTTTATTAGGATTGCTTAATAGAAATCCAGGAAATTGGATGTGTGTGTAAAATTTTATTCAAAATCATATTTAAATTGATGATAAATACTTAAATTTCACACTTGCAAACTTAGCTTAAAGATAATCTAAAATAGTAGATCCAGGATATATCTTCTAATCAAATAAATTGTATATTATATATAATATAATAATAGAAAAAAGAAGAACATTATTTAAATAGATTAATTATTGATAGAATCAATTCAATAGTAATAAGATGTTGGAGATTATAATACTTATATTTATTGTTAATTACATTTACTTTTATATTTGAATTCTTATGATTTAACAAGTAATTACTTTAATAAAACATAAATATCTTGTGATTCAAGATTCTTTAAGAGATTATTCTTATTAAAATTGGAAGATAAAATGTATAAATCTAATATTTCATATTTAGTTACAAATATTAAGAAATTACAAGATTATCAAAACCTAGATAAGGGATTAATTAATACTTCACATTTTAAATCAACAAATAATTAAAACAATTAAAATATCCAATTGCATAAAATCAAATAAAAAACATATATTAAGATATCAAATAAATGCTTAATATAAATTATCATTTCTAATTCCCTTTCATATCTAAATTTTCCTCATATATCAAAGTCCTCTTTAAAGACCTTACTCAATAATTTCTAAATAATACTTTATTTCCATTTGATTATCAATAATATTTTGGTTTAAGTATGATTATTTTTATTTAAAATAGTTTTGATATTAAGTTCATATTCAAAGTAAGCTTTTCAAGCATTTATATTTTCCATTTTTAATTCATTATTAGCAATGAAAAAGCCTCACAATGTACATTAAGAGTTAACACCATTATAATTGTCTGCTTTAGAAGAAGTAGGGGTGATGTTCAATGAGATGAATATTGAAGATTCGATATTTTAACAAATGATTATTACATCTATTCACTTCTTTACTAATTTAGAAATTAAAAAGAATTCAAAATTAAATTAATTCACTTAGATATTAGAAAGATTAAAAATCTATTTAAGATTGAATTGGAAAAGTGAATAGAGTGTATAAAAATAATATAAATAACTTATGTTAATGGCAGTAGATAGATTTTTGATGTTGAATGGATTAGGGTAATTAATAATAATATATAGGACATAATCTTTAAAGAATAATCAAAGTAAATTTTTGAGATTTTTCAATAGTAATTTAGTAAACAATATTGATTTTATTGAAGTCTTGATTAAGTTAACTTAACATATCAAGATTTAAGAAGTGTCAAAATATTTAGAATATTTAGGAGAATGTTATTTGGGTAGTTTGGCAATTCATTAGTAGAATAGAAGTCTAAAATTTTAATTGTGTACTTAAGTATCTAAGAGGAATATATTAGATTTTATATCATCATAGAAAGAATGCGTTGATTTATTTAGAATAAAACATGAAGGATCCTAATCAACTTTATGAATTACTCTATTTTTTTTAGAGAGAGAAAAGATTGAAATAAGAACAACCAAATGTAGAATCAAATGGAAAATATTAGTGTAGAAAGAAATTAGTCTATTTGTTTATGAAAGAATCATAATTTACAAAGGTGCATTATAATTGTTTATTGAAATTATTAAAATGAAAAAAAAATAAAAACATATATGTTGGATCTGTTACTAAACAAATAGTCACAAGCGATTTAAACCATGTTATTGCAAAGGATCTTTGTCATATATTCATAGGAAATGTTTAAATGAGTGGGCAACAAAATAGTACAATCAAAACAATTAGATAATAAAATGTCCTAATTGCAAATATGAATATTTATTTGCAATAAAAGAATGTTATAAAGTAAACCTAAAGGTTATTTAAGTTGCGTAATTTTTCAACATGGCAATTTTGTGATTCAATAGAGAAGATTGTCTTAATATGCATGACATTAAGTTTAATAATAATATCTGGACTCGATTTTATGTCAGTGTCAGATTACTTGCAAGTTGATGAAAATGATAAATAAGAAGTAACAATGTTCAAATGGGTAAACAGAGTTCATTTTGGAACAGTTTTAATTATACTCTGTTCGGCAACATTTAATATTGTCCAAATGGCTGTGAGTAAAACTGAGTTAGAAATTTTGGATATACGATATTGATAAATCTACTATTTTTGTTGTTTATATAGATTTATAGTAATGCATTAGAAAATAATAGATCTAAATAACTAAACCATAAGTGAATAACATAAATAGTTAATTATTTATTTGATTTGAGAAATATTAAACAAATATCAATTCAATATAATGGAACCAACTGTTTTGTAATTATTTAATTCAATATCATCATCTATAGATTTATGATTCACTTGAATATATTCGTCTTTTATTTCGTCTATTTAACTGACACTTGTCTATTAATAATTATAATTTTTCATATCTGTTTCTCTATTCAATTATTTAGATGATGAATAAAAATATATATGATTTCCTATTTCATCTAATTTATCTATTTTCTTTCTTTATTCTTATACACTTAAAAATATTGTACTGGAACAGTATGGCTCTTTTGTTAAAACCATATTTTAATCAAATTATTCAAGCCCTAGTAATTCTTCTGATATTGATAAATTCTTCGATTTATCCTAATTCAAAGATAAAGAAATTGTATTTTAATGATGCTCTTGATTATAAGGATATAACCAAGGATGTAAAATGAATTCTAATAATAATTATTATTTTCAAACCTTTGGATGTTAATCTTTTCTCTGGTTCTTTTCTTAATAATCTTTTTAATAAATCCTATTGTAATTAGTCTAAAGATTCAAATTGTGTAGTGTTCTCTACATTATAATTAGGATCACATATCATTTCAATTGTATCTATAATTTAATCATTTTAAAATGGTAAATCATAACAAAATAATTAATAAACTATAACACCAATTGACCATATATCGACTATATAATTATTTATAATTACCTTTTTAATTGTATCCTCCTCCAGCAAAGATTTCTGGTGCTTAATAAAATAATGAACCAGTTCTTGTCCACATTTCAATATTCAATGTAGAATTTCTAGTTTTGGTGACGAACTTTTTTGAGACTCCAAAATCTATTATTTTAATTTTTGCATCATCATCAGTTATTTACACTAAGATATTATCTGGCTTAAGATCTCTATGACATACACATTTGTTATGAATAGTATCTATTGCTTTGGCAAGTTCAAAAATTAGTAATTATTGTTATTTGATTGATAGTGATATTTTTTATTAAATAAGTTTGTCTAATGAAGGATACGGACATAATTCCATAACAAGATGAATTTCTTCTTTAGTAACATTAATGAATAGATCAATAGCTTTGATCACACATTATAAATCATTAAGTTATCTATTAATCTTAAAGGTTTTTTTAATTGTACTAATAATTTCTGGATCACCAGTACGAAATATTTTTACTGCATACTGAATTGTATTTCCTTCTAGTTTTTTGTAACATATTTTTACAATCCCATGTGCTCCCTCGCCTATTATACTTAATTACATTACCAAGACTCTTATTCTTGTAGCAATAAACTTCATTAAAATTTTTGTATAATGTTATTGATGGTATTTCATTAATTTGAATGTTCTCATTGTATTGAAATTAATGTTTTTTACCTTTAAATAAGGTTTATTTGAGGGTTTATCTTATCTAATTTGCATTATTGGTTTTCATTGGTTACACAAATTTAATAATAAGCGATTAATTATAATATTAAAATTTGTGAAAGAGAGAAATTATAAATTTTGAATAAATCATTTGTGGCCTTCATTAATTGATTTATATTAATTGATTTTCTTATTATTTATGAAATTGTTATGTCTATCTTAATTTATCTAAAGCAGTAACAATTTTTGTTTCTATTGTTTAATTTATCTCTTCATCAATTTAATTAAGTTTTGTAATAATGTCTTTCATTTTCTCTTCTGAAAATTAAGGTTCCTCTTCATCTGACACTTCATCAGTTGATCTATTTTCAAATTAAAAGTCTTGCCATTCATTATTATTAAATATTTTATCATTATTTTCAAGCTACTATTCAATTTATTCATCTTGCTCTATAATATTTGTTGGAAGATTTGTAAAATCAAGTCCTTTCGTATAAGGGACTGTATCTAATTTTAATTACTTTAAACGAGAATGATAAACATTACATGAAATTTGATTCAATATTTTCGTATTGTTTAGATATCTACAATATTTAACCTAAATATTTACTTTATAGCATCAATAGCAGAATTTACTTCATCATATTCAATAAAGACTTTGGTTAACAATTAGCCTCTCTCAAATATTAATATCTATATTAATAAATATCATCGAAAAGTAATACTTTTGATATTGAACCATGTTTGGAGAATATCTTGAGCAACGACTAGTTATTGATTTAAATATTATTTTGAGTAGTCTTAAGACAAACCAAAGCAACTCTAGTTGGCGTTGGATCTCTCTTTTTTTTCCTTTAAGACATTATATAATAAATTAATTAATGTTTTTCTCACTCTCTTCAATACGAAAGCCTAAACAAGAATTCAATTTATTACATTTAGAAACTTAAGAATACTACTTTTTATCCCTTAAAGTCTCACTTCACAATAATAATGAGTAACAAAATCCATATAAGAATAGAATTCGTGGTAAATTACACATCTGTTCCCGTTCTTTAGTATTTCAACCAAATCAACCAAAATTACCAATGATTAAGATGAAATACTCAAATAACCTTATAATGAAGATTTTGCGTAACATTGATACAAAAACTATGAATTAAATTATGTCAATCAAATGGACTTCTTCATTATTAATGGAAGATATCGACTCATTAGATATTAATTAATTGTATTAACATTTCAAAAGAGATAAAAATAATGAATTATTAGATAAACTCTACAAAGTTTAATCCAGAATTGCTAATTCACAATATACTATCATGTTTCTTAGAGTAGATAAACTGTTTGTTATTAATAGAAATCCAATCAGTCCCTACATTACTGAAACTGTAAGCTAATTTTATTATCATCTAGTCCGATGAGAATATTGTCTTTTCAATTTCATAATCAAATTCAAAATAAAATATTATCAGATTTCTAAAATTATATTAAGGACTTACTTAAGCAGAAGATGAAAACTCATTTATTAATACAATTATCAATACAACATTAAATGAAGCAATGAATGAACATAGAGCATAATCATCATAATAAGGACTTAAAATTGAAATAGCAGTTAAATGTAAATTGATTAATCCTGAAGGAAATATATATGGATTATTTTCTATTTAAAGAGATGAAGGAATTAAATATATTCCATTAATTAATTCACCAAAAGGAAAGATATTAATGTGGTAATTGACTGAAATTAAATTCTTCTTGAAATATCGTTACATGTTTAAATAAATAGGTTTAGAAATATGGTTCTTCAATAAAAAACGAAGTGTTTTACTTGTTTTTGAAGATCCATAATAATTAGATACAGTTTATAAATATCTAATCAGAAAAACTACAAAAAATTAAATAAGTTCTATTACAATAGAAAATTTAACTGAACTTTGGGTTAATGGAGGTTTGAGCAATTTTGATTATCTTATGTCATTAAATACTTTCTCTAGCAGAAGTTTTTGTGATTTATCTGCTTATCCTGTATTTCCTTGGGTTATTGCAGAATATACAGATAAAACATTTGATTTAACATCTCCTGAATTTTTTAGAGATTTGTCTCGTCCTGTTGGTGCTCTAAATAAACATAGATTATAAAAATATAAATAGTCATATTAAGATTAATTGAAAAGTTAAAAAAACAATAATAATAATGATATGATACCTTATATATATCCAACTCATTATTCTAGTCCTGGAACTGTTGTTTATTATTTAATAAGAAAAATACCTGAATTTGTAATTAAATTATAAAATGGTGTATTTGGACCAACAGATCGTATTTTTAGAGGTATTGATAGTACTTGGTATACAACATTAAATTTACATGCAGATTCTAAAGAATTAATTCCAGAATTCTATTCACTTGATCCAGATTTTTTGATCAATTGTGATAAATTAGAATTGGGAATGACTTAAGAAGGAGAAATAATAGATGATGCCATAATACCTCCTTGGGCTAATTCTATGACTGATTTCTTATTAAAAATGAGAATGGCTTTAGAAAGTGATTATGTAAGTTCTTAATTGCCTAAGTGGATAGATTTAATATTTGGATATAAAACTAGAGGAGATGAAGCTGTTAAGTAAGATAATTTATTTTATCCTTATACTTATGCTGAAAATGTGAACTGGAATTAATGTAGAACATCTATAGAAAAATAAGCTTTGGAAATTTAGGTAGCTGAATTTGGATAAGTACCTATATAGTTATTTAATTCATGTCATCCAAATAGAAAACTAAAAATTCATCCTTCTTTAAAATAATAATAATAATTAAATTCATCAAGTTAAAGAAATCTATAATTAACTGATATTTAATAAGAATCTTAGAATAAAGATTATGTTACATGTTTATAAAATTAAGTATCATCATTATAATGGGAAAACGAAAAATTGAAATTTAATTTAGATACAATTAAACAAGAATTATAATTATAAAAAATTGAGACATTCAATTCATAATATGATTAAGTATATATAATTAATTCTATCTTTTTTAGGAGGAAATTGATAAAAAAGGATAAGATTTGATGAGTGACGATAGTATATATCAGTAAATAAAAATATGATATTATTAATAATATTTAACTATCATATTATAATGTTTTATAGTTATTATATTTTTTCTGATAAAATTCATAAATAATGTTTCCAATCGATCTTGCCAAACTAGCCACCTTATAGTCTAAGGTACAAAATACACTTATATTGCATATATATCTATACTTACGTTATAAAAATACTTAAATTCCTAATAATTATGTTAGAGATTAGAATCAGACTTCAAGGTACTAGGGAGGATAGGAAAGGGTGGATTCTCTAAAGTTTATAAGGTGAACAACTTATTGGATAAGAATACCTATGCTTTAAAAAAAGTATATTGTGTTTATAAATTTTATAGATTGAACTCAAAGCTAAGGACATAAAAGACAGTCTTGAGAAAAATATTGAAAGAGCATAGAGAGGTATATAATGTTGATCAATAAGTTCCTTAGAAGCCAAATACTTAGCCCGTCTATCACATCCCAAAATTATAAGATATTTCAATTCTTGGGTAGAAGTTATGTAGAACAAATTAGATTCAAAAATGATGAGAAAATAAGAGTAAGATTAAAATGATTTTGTTATTGAACGAAATAATTTTAGTTTTTGTGATTCTTAATCGAATTCAAGGAATGATCTTGAAAATTTAATAATGTTTAAAGACACTTAAAATGAATAGATAAGTTATTCAGAATAAGAAAATGAAATATAACCAAAATCTAGAGTAAGTAGAAAGAAACAAAATCACAATACTTAAAATAAGAAATCAACTAGTCAAGATGAGAAAAAATTAGAGTTTGATAAAATCATATTTTATATCTAAACTGAATTTTGTTAAGAAACATTAGAAAATTATTTGTAATAAAGAAATAATGAATTACTTAAACTAAAGAAAAAGAATATTGAAAAATATTAAACTAAACTTTAAAAATATGAAAAAGAGGCTAAATTAATATTAGAATAAATTATAAAAGGATTAGATTATTTACATAATGAATGCAAATTAGTTCATCGTGATTTAAAACCAGGAAATATCTTTATGAATAGTCCAGAAGATGTAAAAATAGGTGATTTTGGTTTAGTAACTAAATTAAAATAATTCTATGATTTTGATGATTAAGATAATGATGATGATATTTGTACCAAAATGTATGCTGCTCCTGAATAAATCATTTAAAATATTAATAAAGCATTTTATGATTAAAAAAGTGATATTTATGCTTTAGGATTAATAATACTGTTATTGTTTCATCCAATATCTACTTCAATGGAAATGATTAAAGTAATTAATGATGCCAGAAAAGGCATATTACCATCAATACTTAGAGATAGACATAGTAAAATAGCTGAAATAATACTGGAATGTTTGAATAATGATCCTAAATAAAGACCAAATATAAATGAAATAACTTTTTAAGATTCATCTAATTCATTGTCTTCATCAAAGAAAAGTAGTAATGAATTTAGTAGTGATACAACTGATTATATTATTAAAAATATTGGTATTTGCTAAGTCAAATTTGAAGATGAGGATATTTAAGAGAAGTAATAATTTTAATAATAAATTTTAGATATTTGATTTTTAATAATAGATAAATTTAGATTTTTAAAAATTAGAAAAGTTTAAAGGCTTAAATGATTTATAATCTTAATGAATGCAATATATCTTATATTGATGATAAGATTGTTATATAACACAGTTAATTAGAAAACTTTTCATTTACAACTACACATAATTATTTATAAGATATTTATGATCAATTATGTGAACTCACTTAATCATTCAATTGATTATTATAAATATATTTATATTTATAAATTATTTTATAATCTAAAATCATTCATCCTTATTTAAAATTACTTTTAAACATTTAGTAAACGAATTCATTTCATTTATATAGTTATTTTTTGCAAGTTCCAACTATTATAGTCTTTCTTGCAAAAAATGATAATTTTATTAATATTATTAACAAGATTCTGTCTCTTGCATTAATCTATATTCAAGTAATTATTTTTATCGCTTCAAAATTTATAACTAATCTTAATTATTTTATTTAATGACAACACCAGTTTATTATTCTATATCACTATTTTAACTTCTAGAATTTGTCTGATCTGATGAATTATTGTGAGAATTTCTATTTGGAAATGTTAAGGTATTTACTTTTATCTTATTTAAATCTATTGCAGGTGGTTTTATTATAGTGATAGGCTTCCTACAAAATCTATATCAATAATAACTTAATTATTGTGGAAGTGATGGATTTTGCCCTTGTTTTACTCATCATAGGTTATTGCTTTCCTTTTGATGTTTCTGATGTGGATATGGCTGACTTTTTTCTTAAAGAGGAATAGCTTTACGAATTATTTTTTATCATTTACAGATAATAAAATGAATGCGCTGATCAAAGAAATTTTGAATAATTTATATATTAAAATTAGTATGAACAACATTAAATTTTAAATCATTTGACATACGTTACTTTTATTTGATATTTATTCAAATATCAAAGATTACTTAGAATTATATATATATATAGTCATGAGAGAATTGAAAAAAATATATTTAAATAAGAATTTATTTATTTATAATTGGAAAATATAAAAATATGATTTAAGTTTGTTATTCAAGATTACTTGTAAGTTAATTCAGAAATTTATACATTTTCATTTCATGCATATCACAAAACTATAAATAACTTTATTATTAATTATTGATTTGATTTAATAAGTATTAATTATACCATCAAATTTAATTGAATGAAATTTAAATTAGAATTGAAGTATTAAATTATATAAAGAGAATTAATTAACATATCATATCTTTAATTTAATATATTGATTTATTTTAAAAGAAGAATTATAAGAATTTAATTTAAAAAGAATTGTACATATCTAAATCTAGAATAAAATACGACAATAGATATGTTAATAATTATAAGAGTTTAATAAAATAATTAGTTATAAATAGATAAATTAGAAATTAAATTAATTCTGATTTAAGATATTGACTTTGGTGATTAGATATATTTAAAAAAATTTACAGATTTATCTAAAATTTTATATATATATTGAATTTATAAATTCAAATGTGGATGAAATATTTAATATTAGTAATTATATTTGTTAATAATAAAAATAATAAATGCAATATTATTAAAAGATGAGTGAATTGAAAATAAAAATAATTGATTATTGTAATAAATTTATTTTATCTATAAAACAATTCTAATATTAAATAATTTTAAAAAGTTGATTCATCTAATATTATCAACTGATAACTATGCAATGAATTAACAAGAATGAAATACATAATTTAATATTAAGTTTATTTAATATAAATTTGTTTTACAATGCAACGCTAATAAATGTTACCAACACCAAGGGAAAACAATTAGCAAATGTACAAAGGAGTTGAACCATTCATAAAAGGAAACGATTTATAAGGTAGGAAAACATAAAAGACAAAGGATTATAATTTGGAAGCCATGTATTAATATTATTAAATAACATCAAAGATAACCAATATATCAAAATTCATAAGAAAGCTTATCAAATTGTAATAGTAATAAGTCTAGTTCTAAAAATTCACTTGGCTTTGATTAATAACCCAGTTATTTGGAAGAATAATAATGGAAATCTTCCCATTATCATACAAATACTGCACCAGTCCATTTGTATTAAAATATTAGTGAGAATGATGCTGCCTTTTTGATAAAAGATTAAGATACAGGTAGTTATTACTTTAAATAATAGGAAATGTTTATGATATTAGAAATGCAGAAAAGATACCTGTAAATAGAGAGTATATGACAAAATTAAAGAAGAGACACAAATCGGCATGGTAAGGTTGGTGGTAATAAAAAAAAGAGAACAATCAATGTTTATTAAATTATGTTAAATCAAATAATATAAAAGAAGTAGAGAAACTTTTAGAAATTACATCTAAAGATTTGAAACCTGAAATCAATATAAGAGATGAAAATGGTATTAAATATCATTATAATTAAAGGATTGATCCCATTACATTATAGTTGCATGAATCAGAATTATGAATTAGCATTATTACTATTAAAAAATGAAGCAGATTGTGACTTAACAAACTCATAAGGATAAACGGCATTAAGCATTTGTGCTTAAAAAGGATGTGAATATATCCTGTCATTATTATTAACTATAGGTGCAGATATTAATCATATGGACAATTTTTAAAATACTCCATTACATTATGCTTGCTATTTTTGTAAATTACTGATTTAAACTTAGAACATAAGAGAGTTACTGAAATCTTATTAGCTAGACCTTCAATAATGATAAATATTAAAAATCTAGATGGCAAAACACCTTATGATTTAGTCCAAAATTGTCCTGCTCTAAAAATGTTATTTGATAAACACTTGAAGGTAGTGAATCAACTTAATTAAGATGAAATAAGATTCATTTAACTAATGTTAAAGAGTTAGAATCTTTGAAGAGACTACTGAAAGAGTAATCACTTCTCCTAATAGTAAATAATAAACAAATGCTTATTAAATGTTAAGTCGTTGTTAGTCTCCTTAAAAAATTGAATATATGAATTCACATTCAAATAGATCAACAGCATACATTCATCCTGCATAAGATTATACAGAAGTAATTGGACCATCTTCAATTAGAATAATATTACAAATAGGTAAAGGTTCATTTGGGGATGTTTATTTGGTTGAAAAGAGAATGACTGGTAGACCTAATTAAGGACCAAAACTAGCAATGAAAGTATTACCAAAGAATAAATTTCTTGGATAAAATTTATTAAGGTATGCTTTAACTGAAAGAAATATATTATCTTATTTGAATCATCCATTTATTGTTAAATTAAGATATGCATTTTAAACTAATACTCATTTATGTTTATTAATGGACTTTTGTCCTGGTGGTGATCTATCTAAATTAATATAAAGACAATAAAGATTATCAGAATAATAAGCCAAATTATACTTTGCTGAAATATTGACTGCATTAGAACACTTACATTCAAATGACATAATTTATAGAGATTTAAAACCAGAAAATGTTGTTATTGATTAATATGGACATGCAATGTTAACTGATTTTGGATTATCAAAAGAAGGGATACATGATAATTATGGAGCCAAAAGTTTTTGTGGTTCTATGGCATATTTAGCACCAGAAATGCTTAAAAGAGTAGGTCATGGTAGGGCTGTTGATTGGTATCATATGGGTAATTCAATTAAATAAAAATAGGAATTTTATTATATGAAATGATAACAGGTAGACCACCATATTTCTCAGCCAATAGAGATGAAATGATTAATAATATAGAATAAAATAACATTCAATTTCCAGATACAATTACAAAAGAATGCAAATCTATTATCTAATCTCTATTGATAAAAAATCCTATGTAGAGATTAGGTGCTTCATCAAGAGATGCTGATGAAATTAAAGATCATCCATTTTTAAAATAAATAAATTGGAAAGATTTATTAAATAGGTATTCTCTTTATATATTATTATAGAAAATATAAACCACCAATTCCAGTAATAAATGAAGAAATTCTTAATTAAAAATTTGATATTCCTTTTGATTTTATACTTTCTGCAGATAAATCTAGTGCAATTAATTATATAAATGGTTGGTCATTTGTTAACAATGATTTTGTACAGTTTTGATTTATTTATATTTTTATTATTATTATTTAACTCAGTAATTAGTATATTGAAATAAATCATCTCTATTTTAGCTATCATTAGGTTAAAATGTCCAGTGTTGACTTTGCTATTATAGTTCACAAACCTTCTATTAGAATTCTTATATCAACTCAACTTTTTATTGTAATTGTTATGATATTGTCTGTAAATAGGATTACATATCATTTTAATTCTCATACATTGTAATTTCTTTCATTTCCTAAAATAAATTAAAATCATTAAATACCAATTTAGATATCTCAATAATTTTATCTATTAAATTTTTATGATCTTAAACTATGGATGAATAATTGTTATGTCCTTATCTATATGATTTTTATGGATTTTAATATTCAAACTCTTCTTCTAATTCTTAATTTTATTAAACAGCCTATTGATTTAATTATCTAAATCCTTGTTCTTATTATGATTAATAAGGTGATTCACTAAATAATTCACTATAACTAGCAGTATGATTAAATTAATGTTATTAAAATAGTTGATTTTGTTATTAAAAGGAATTTTATGTCTTTAAGAATTAATTATTCTAATTATTATTAAAATGATCATAATCAATTTAGTATGTACTTTCAGAATTTATTCTTTGATGAGTAGGAAAATAATTATTTGGATTAATTTATTAAGTTTTGTTAAAATTAACATTAATAGATGGGATTGAAGATAGATTAAATTTATTAATAACAGAAGAAATATCACTCTTTCTAATTTCTTTTTATTAATTGAATTGTTAATTATTGAACATTTAAGTAGATTAATGTAATGGTTATAATGATTGTCTTTTTATATTAGAAATTGGACTAAAATTTCTTACATTTTCTTAATCATCTTCTTCATTAAATTATTTTCTTGTAATATTTTCTATAAAATTATTAAATATTATTATACTTGTTTATCTAGCCAACATTAATTCTCTTTACATTAAATCTCCTTAACAAAGTCTATTTTCAGGTTTTTTTAATTCTTTTACTCTATCTGCATATCTTAGAGTATTTAAAGTATGTTCACTACTTTAAGAACTTGGTGAAATGTTACCAATCATAACAGTTTTACAATTTCCAGTCAAACTATCTTTTAATACTAAAGTTAATTTTGATCCTCTAAATGGTGTATGATTTTTATTCAAATCCAATGCTCTTATACATTCTTTTAATGCTAATAATGATTTATTTATTTCAGCTCCATCTATTCTGGTTTATTTATTTTAATCTTATACATCAGCTCCTCTTTCACTACCTGCTAAATCTATGAATGACATCTTTCCATGAATTTACTTTCCAGATTTTAATATCACTTATAATATGGCATGTGATCTTGATGATTCAGAATTTGAACTATTTGATGCTATTATTTTTAATTTATTATTTATACCTGTAATTCTAACATTCTATCCCAATTAAATACAATTCATTAATTATTATACTGAATTTATCTTTTTCTCCATTAAATTTATCATATTAACATTTCCTTTTGCATCTTCTCTTATTTAGATTTAATTTCTTTAAGATAATAAATCAAACAATTTTCCACAATAAATCTCAAAAAATGAAACATACACTTAAAGATGTGCATATTCTTCCTAATTTTTAATTAATTTAATAGTTTTACCATTTCAATTATTTAAAATATATCTTATCCTGCCAATAAATACATTCCAGGTACTTATCTTTCCATATCTCCTATCATTGTATATGTTTTGCCACTTCCTGTTTATCCATATGCAAAACAAGTCACTTTAGCTCTTTGAAAGGCTGCACGAATTATAGGTCTAACAGCATTGATGTAAACTTATTCATTAGAATGATTTTGATTGAAAGCAAGATCAAAATTAAATTAATGTTCTTCAATATACTTTGTGAGATCTACTTTTTATCTTTACTCAATTAATTTATTAATCTTACTTAATTTCTTTAACGATCACACTATTATCGTTTTACACAATAATTATGTCTTCCTCTTTTTTAATAATTTCCTTTTAAGATAGAGGTCTTTTTCTTATGGCAACAACTATTCTATCAAAAATATCCATCATTCTTTCTGAAATTGTGATTAAGAAAATATTATATAAAAATTAATTTCTCAAACAACTATATGTTCACATTAAAATTCTTATGAATAATTTTAATTGCTACTATTTTCATAATAATTCAGCCATTCAAAAGTAATTATCTCTTATAATTCCTATATTAGTCTTAAGACACATTCTTTTATTAATAATATAATTATATTTAATGTTATTGTTTCTTTTATATATTACATAAAGTCTATGTTATTTGATATTTGAATAAAAAGGAAGAATTAACAATTCATTACATATTGATATGGACATTACAAAAGAAGAAAAATAACAATTAGATAAAGATAATTTATGGTTTGATTTTTAATTTGATTTTCCAACACCTATATCAATTCAAATTGAAGACATGATTACTAATTTAGATTAATTACTTTTAGTTTAAGTTTAAGATGCATAATATGGTCTATTCATATGCAAAGATTTTTAATTATCTAATTAAAAGACTACAATTATACTTGATCCATTACCTTAATATTAAGAATAATGGTATAAATATAAAGTTTAGGTAAATAAATATCCAAGAATACTTACCAGATTTTAATCTGAATTAGGTTTTACTAAAAACTCTGCCGAAGTGATTTATAATTTGAATATGACTTATGAAACTTCTGGGTTTTATCAAATTGAAATTAATTATTAATATGGGTCTGGAAATTTGGAACTTTAAACATGTAAAAGTAATCTTTGCTATAATTAAACTAATCAAACAAATATACTCTTAAATTATTCATAAATAGAATGCACACTAATTTAAATGGATTCTTTATAGGATCTTTGTAATCATCAACTCAAAGTAACTACAATTAATGCAACATTTTATTATCTTACTTTTAAACACTATAGTTCTGCTAATGTATAATTTGTAAAACCTAATAAAATAACATAAATTGACATATTAAATAAGGAAGCTTCTATTGTTTTGGATCATTTAAATTCTCTTAATTTTATCTATATCAATTAAAAGATAAAAGCAATCCAATACTCTGAAAACTAAAGAAAATAATTTGATAGTAATATTATCATTTTTGCTAATGAAGTATAAAATTTACAAGATTGGGATTAAAACTTTTATATATAGTCATCTTCAAATTAAAAATTAAAATTATAATATCTTAATTAAATTTAGATTCTATATTTGAATTCAAATTTTAAATTAGAATAAGAAGAAGATTCTTATCATTTCTATTGTGTTGATACTATATTTCCTGAATTTGTATTTGAACTTTTTGTTTATGATTATGAATTATTAGTCTAAATTTATTTCTCCAATGTCACTTAATATCCTAATGAACATATGAATCAATTTGAATTAATTGAATCAAATATCAAATCTATTAATATGAATTCTGATACAAAAATGTATATTGGTATTAAAACCAAACATAAATCTCTTGAATATTAATTATATATAAGAGATCCTACTTTCTATTTTTTAAATCTGTTTTAATTAAGAAAATTTAGCTATTGTAAAACATGTTAGATGGAATTCAAATATGCTTCATAATTAAAGGCAGAAATTCAAATCCATATTTATTATCATTAAATGAGGTATGAAGAAGACAATTCTCTATTTTAAATATTATTAATAGAGAATGGGAAATTCATTAAACCTATATAAATTTACCATACATAAAATTATCTAAGATATTCTCTTTTAACAGAAGTTGGATTATAATATATTATTCTAACAAAAAGTAATATTTAATAGGATCTATAAATAATGATAACTGATAAAAAAATTTTAGAAATTAAATTTGACTAAGATATTTGTTCAATTGATTTCTCTGTAGAAATTTTAAAAATACAATAAACAAACAATAATATATATCATTTATATTTCAAAGAAGATTTAGAAGAAACAATTAAAATCATTAATAGAAATGGCTAATCAGAAGTTACAAAAATTGCATAAAATTATTATAAAGTCTAATTTTAAAATAATCTAAAAGAAGATGCTTATACATATTTTATGATAGAAGGTATTAAATCATAGTCATCAATAATATTATAAGTATAAGAAAAACCTTATAAAAATATTGAATTGATATCCCATAATATATTTCTCTCTCCTCTTAAATATGAACAACAATTAAAAGGCCTTACTCTATATATTTAAATTCTTGATTGCTCATAATTAAATTGTGATGAATTAAATATTTAAAAAATTCTTATCATAACTAAAATAGGTTTTAAAAATAAATCTATTGAGTATACAAAAGGATATTACAACTTAAACGAATATCATTCAACTTTAAATGATTTATATGATCCTATTTCTAACATTCAAACAATTTAATTGATAGCATCAATTAATTAGGATAATTATAATTTTAACTTTACTTCTACAGAATTTTAATTATTATTAAAAAATTAAATAATGATATAAAGGTAAGAACCTCAACTAAAAAATCTATTATTTGCTATTTTGTATATAATTTTCATAGTTTTTCTTGGATATATAGTCTTTAAAATGATTTTTAGAAAGAAAGTAACCATAATTCCAAAGAAAATAAATAAAAGATCTAATAATTATGAAGATGAAGAAGAATCAATATCAATAGATGGTTTATGATATTATTATTAATAATAAATTCTTCTATTCAATCAAATTCCTCAATCAAAACATCATCTTCATAAAATTAGAATCTAAAATTTAATATATTTTATACCTTTCTGACTCCTTAGTATCATTAATATAAGAAATTTTAGTAAATACTTCTATTTTCTTATCATTCTTATACTCTCCTATTAATTTTATCTTCTTTTAATTAGTAGGCTTAATTAAAGTTAAACTCTTGAAGAAGGATTGATACATATCTTAGGTCTCTATTTCAATTTATGTCTCTATGATTTTACCATGTTTTTTATTTTCAAAAAAATCTCCTTCAAACCTTTCAAATTAATAGTTAATTATTACGTGCATTCATAAAAAGGAGTAGTTTTAACTATTTTTCCTTTGCCATGCATCATACCCTTATATATCTCACCTTCATAGTATTCGTTTTAATTAATTTAAATTTTACCTTATTATTTAATTTCTTAGCTTCTAATTAATAAAATAAATAATACTTTTAAACATTAGGTTTAGCTATATTTATTTATCCAAATTCCTAAATGATTTATTATTATATATTATTATTAGATTTTTCTTCGTTTATAATAGAATTTGAATTAGATTTACCTTATTAATTTTCTTATTCATATAGATTTGAGGGAACTTTTATGGCTATCTCTATTTTTTGAAATGGTGAGGCTAATTATAAAATTTGATAGGCATTAGCTAAATTAGATTGAAGATTTTCTATTTCACATTCACAAGTATCTAAATTATCCTTTAATTATTCTCTAAAATGAAGAACTTCTTAAAATTTTTCTTTGTTGAAGATGAAGAATTCAGTATTTTAATTTAAAGTATCAATTAAAGAAGAGAAATGGTCTATTTTATGTTAAATTTAGGATTTGATTTCTAATATAAGTGTTTCAATCTAACTTTGCCATTGTTTTACGTTCATCAATGTAATTTATAGATTATTTATGATATCTGATGATTCTAATTTAGTTTTAGTTTCTTTGTTGATTTTTTCTAGATCTTTGATAGCTGTGAATTATTATTTTGGTAGATCTGATTCATATTAACACATTGCACAGCATAAAACCCAATTGCTATTCTCTTTTATAAAAAAAGACACTGGTTAGTCTTAGTGACAATCCTTTTGGCAGTATTTTAAACTCATTATTATTATTTTATATATTTATTATTATGATTTTGATACTAGTAATGTCTATAAATAATCTTAATAAAGATTAGATATGATATCAATAAAGAATAACACATTAATTAAGAAATTGGTAGATATATAAATATCTTTAAGATTACATTATATTGATAGTTTGAATGGTTTTAAAAAGATATTTTTTATAAAAAGGTGAAATAAAATGAATGACAGACAGGAAAATAATTTGTTAATTTATTACTAAAGTAATATTAGATTTACTAATTCTTTTATGAAATATACAAATTTGATTAATGCTTATAAATAAAAATATGTTTAATCAAGTCTTAAAAATGTTATTGTTTTTAAAGTATTGTAATAATGTTAAAAAGTAAAAAATAAGAAAAAATTAATGTTAATTTAATGATTATATGAATATCAAGATGCTTAATAGTCAAGATAGGCAAAATATTTTTATTGATTTATTATTGATTATAAACTATCTTAATAATTTTGCCACTTTGGTTTTGGCATGAAATCTTGTTGAATTTTGAAGAGATGGGAATTCTGCTATTCCAATTTCTATTTAGCAATAAGTTATTTAATTTTAGTATTGTTCCTTATTTACTATAAATATTTGTTATTTATCGTGGAATAGTCAAAACTATATTATAATTTATTGATATTATCATAGTTCCTTGGTGTATCTTACTTAGACCATCTCCTCTTAGGGTTTTATTCTTAATCTTAGTTTTTATTTTGAGATGACTTTCTACTTTGCTTTTCATATTTTCTTTAATTCATTTTAATATTTTATAATAAAGAAAGTTTTTATTCATACCTCACATTAGATCTTAATTTTGTATAGAACATTCACAAATTATAAGTAAGAAAGTAGTATTTCACTTAATTAAAATAATAATTATATATAACAAAGTGTTCAGTTAGTTAATTAATTGAATGATGAATAAACAAGACGAGAAATTAATTGTTGAATTGAAGGTATTTTTAATATAAAAATGAAGAATAGTAAAATATAAGAAAATTTATTAAAAAAGATTTTAATGAATGTTTTACTTTAGTTAAATTAAAAAGTCCATATAAATTCAAAGAATATGTGAGTTAACTTATTAAATAAAAGAATGACGTAGTATAAGATTGAATGTTTAACAAGATTTATATCATTAAATTAATTAGGTCGCACTATGATTAAGAATGCTGAAATGATTCTAAAAGTAAAAGAGTGTATTTATTTTGGAATAAAAATGAAAATTTTAGAGATATTAAAATAACAATTTGAGATGGAATTAATCAAAAAAAAACAATTAGTTTTTGTATAGATAAAATATTTTTAAATGATAATAAAGAATAATAAAGAAGAGAATTGCAAATTTTTAAATATAAACGAATATAATTAAAAAAGATAGGGCAAAAGAATTTTATGAGGGATTATGTAGATAATTTTTTTTTTACTTATAAAATTGAATCAATGGTTACATTCTAAAGAACTACAGCAATTATTTATGGAAATTATAATTTTTTAATTTCATAGCTGAATTTGAAGTCTTTAAGATATCAATTAGATTGAGATTAAATTGTATTCTTTATGATTTTATATAAAAATTGTGATGCACTTAAAACAATACTTTATAATATCAAAACAATTCTAATGTACCTTATTCTTTTTCTTTTTTTAATGTTTCAAAATAGCCATATATGATAGTGACAGAGAGCAATATACCAGTTCCTATTAAAATATATAAAGGAGTAATTACCTGATCCAATAGCTCCAAGAAAATCGGCTAAGATAGTAAGTGCTCCAATACACATACCACCAAATGAAGCTGCAATTGGAATGTATCTCTTTAAAACATCTTTCATTGATGAGTCTCTATATCCAACAATTTACATGTCTTATTCTTTTAGTTATTTAGCAACCTAAAAAAATTATTATTAATAAATTACATCTTTAGGTGATGATCCAGATACATCGATCCAAGTTTTGGAAAAGACTGCACAAGTTCCAAGTATGAAGGCAGTGTAAAGGATTGTATGAATTGGATCAAATATTGCTTCTGAAATTGATCTTGGTGGAGATACATAATAGACTAATCCACCAACAGGGACAGTTTATCCATTTTCTAATTCTTACCAATATCCTAATAAACGAATTAAGAAGTTTCCTTTGAAATTTCTATAGAGGATTTATGAAAGGAAATAAAGGTTTGAAACAAGAGCAGTTTACAATATGATTGGGATATTGGAAGTGTAAAACAATTTAATTGGATATGATGTCAATCCACCTCTAACTTTATTGTTTTTTATTGGAATGTCTACTTTGAATCCTTAGAAATAAATGACAATCAAAAACACAAGGACAGTAGCCAATAAACTAGTAAGATTAGGTAAAGAGTCTCTTAATATGGCTGATTAGATGGCAGCAATTTTATCACTTTAAATAAAGAGTCCATGTAAAAGGGCAATGATAGCTCCTTCATATTCAAGTCCAAGTTATGTTTTATGAGTGATAGGTGAAAATGCTTTCCACATTATGTTTTCACATATATTAATAGCAATAAATAATGAAGTTCCTGAATTTCCAATTCCATATCCTTTTGAGAGTAATTCATCAATCATGATCATCACGATTGCTGAGAAGACTAATTGGATTATGATAAGAATAGCATTTCCTGCTCCTAATTTGTCTAAATCTCCATACATTCCTGACCAAACATAAGCAAAAGCTTCTCCAAAAGCAATAAGGATTCCCAATACTAAGATAGACAAATTTAATTACATTTTTATGCTCCAGAGTAAAGTTATTTATCTTCCTTGACATTTTAATCAACATCAATTAATTTAGCACCTGCTAAGAGTTACATAATCATTGAGGCTGTTACCATAGGTGAAATACCTAATTCCATTAAGGTACCTCTATTTGATGCTAATATCACTCTCATCCAATAGAATGGATCACCAGCAGAAGATTTGTAAATACCATAAAGTGGAATTTGAGAACAAATTAGATATAATAAAGTAGCAATGGCTGTCCATAATGCTCTGTATTTAAATAAGATCTAAAATCAATTAAATATTGGTACTCTTCTTTCAGGCTCAGCAACATCTGGGATGATTGCCATGGCTGGTCTCATATAATTGAGTATTTTGGTTTTATTTGTCATTTTTATTATTGTACTTTAACGTGGTTATTTTTTACATTTATTGAACCCCAAACACACGTGTGAATTGAATTAATATTATAATTTTAATAATAATCTCTGAAATAATTTTTCATTTCAAAATGAATATATCTCTAAAAATCTCATTCTGGCCTCATTAATATCTCCATATTTTTATAATTTAACATTCTTCAATTATTAAAAGGCACTCTCTAGTTTAGTGATTTTTGAAATTTAAGGAATTTAAATATCAGCTCTGTGCATAAGTATAAATTCATATTTGCATCCAATTTACCAATAAAACTTTCTACCTGAAGTTTGTTCAAAGATAGAAAATATTATATTAGCATATGGACTTTCTCTTTAATAAAATTTAGAAAGCAATTTATTATAGTTCCTTTCATTTGTTCCATCTCTCTTTATTTATTTATTTAGTAATCCATAAACAGTTCCTGATTATCCACTAATATCATAATCATTCAAACCAAAACTCTTGGCTAACTCAACTATTATTCCAAATATAGTTGTATCAAAATTACAATAGATATGAAGATAAACATTTTTTGGACTGCAATGATTACAAGTATTGTATGGCTCTGGTAGATATGTTGGAGCAATCTTATCAAAAGTAGGTTGAATCCAATTCATTCTTAATTTATTCCAATCCTCTTCCAACACTTTCTTACTTTCAGAAACTTAAATAGCAGCAGCAATAGCATTTGTACTTGCAATTGCAGGAATAATCCTTCCTCCCATTTATCTAACTTCATTAACACTTAAGTATTTCATTTTATCTCCTTCAACCAATCTTGGATCAATGTTTTTGAATTTCTTTGTAAAATTAAAAGTTCTAATATTTGTTGTTGCTGCAACAAATCTAACACTATCCCAATCATCTTTATCAAACTTGAATGATCCTACACCAGGAGTCTATAGGATTTTAACAAAAGTCTTGACAAATTAATCTACATAATATTTAAATGGTTAAACTAAATAAATTTATTTCAAAATATTACTTTTATCATCTTCCTCATCCATTTTTGATTAATCAATAGTTGTATAAACATTAGAATCTTATAATCCTTCTTCATAAGATATTGGATATTTATTTTAATTGATTGCATTAGCTTCTTCATCTTTTGCATAACCCTTAAGTCCTTGTTTGATTTCATCATAAAATAATTTATTGAATGTTCGTATTGCTAAACCATTCAATAATTCTTAATCATTTTTGTCACATGATTGAATTTAAGCCAAATCCAATAAACCTGCCAACATATTTGATTCATCCAAGGGTCCAAATAGTAAATTGTACAAAGACATAGCATAAGTAACACAATGAATTGGTTAAGATGGACTTGCTCTAATAGTACAAACAGCATATTGAGGTGCTCCTTTGGAAGGCTAACAATTGTTACATTGATGTAAAACTATATAAATTTTATGATTTTATACATCTTTTAATCACATTTGCTTGACCACTAAATCCACCTGTTCCTGCATCCACTAATATTCTATTACTTTTTAAACACATTCTTCCCAAATGTTCTCTTGCTTAAGCATTGTCTAAAGCACATAAAACAAAGTCAAATTGAGTGTAGAACTCAACATCATATTTTTCTAGTCTTATGTATTAAATATACCATCAAATATTGATCCATGAATTGCAGTAATATCTAGTTCAGGATGTTTTTTCATTACACTTTCTTTTCCTACTAATGCCTTATATAGTATATTTAAGTACTTTGCTCATGCCAACATGTTCTTTTCTAAAATAGAATTACCTATTTAAATTTGTGGCCTCTATTGTATCTAAATCCAAAATAGTCATCGTTTTATAACCACTATTTGTCAATACTTTCAACAATTCACAACCTATTCCACCAACTCCTATTATGAGAATCCTACTATTTCTAATTTTTTCATATGTCTCAGGACTATAAAGTAAGTCTAGGGTTTTATTCATTTATTATAGAATTTTAATAAAATAATAATATCCTACCTAATTATCTAATAAAAGAATTAAATATCTAAAATTTGATCATAATCTTATCTCTCTTTAATTGATTTTTTCATAAGTAATGCATATTTTGGAATATGTAATTGAGATAATCAATAATTAAAATATATTCGATCAGTTATGAGCAATACATTGTAATCATATGAAAATGCCTGTCATCAATATGAGAAGGATCAATTATAGTTTAAAAGAAGAAAGGACATGAACCTTAAAGATGAGTATTCCATAAAAGAAAAGTAAAAAGGACTTCTTGATTTTGATGAGACAAGTTAAAAAGAAAATTAAACGTATAAAGCATTCAGTTTTAGATAGATAAATGTCATTGATGAAAAAAAACTATACAAAGTATATTGTAAAGATGCAGAATTTGAATCTAATTAATAGTTATGATCATAATGTAAGAGTTTTAGATCTTTCAAATTCTAAAATGACTTCTTTGAATGAAGGAATCAAATAATATGCTCGTTTATCTATTATCAATTTAGCCAATAATCTCTTCTAAGAAGTACCAAGTTGTTTATTTGAACTATATCTGTCTCATATCAATCTCAACAATAATCTATTAAAGACTCTATAATTGGGAGATAAATGGAAAACATCATTAGAGAGATTAGATGTAGGCAAAAATCATATTCGTATATTACCAGATGAGTTATTCCACTTAGAACAAATAAAAATTATTGATTTAAGAAGTAATGATTTCACAAAAATACCAAAAACAATATTGAATTTAGAAAAGTAATTGAAAGGACTTGGTTTAGATTGGATCAAATATACTAATTAAAATTATTTTTCATCCAGTAAAATACATATTTAAATTAAAATTAGAAAAAGACATGATGATAACAGATGATCTTTAAAGATTTTGGGATCAAATAAATTAAATTCTTAAAGATAATGAATCAATTCTATGTCATGATTATTTGATATTCAATCAAAAATATCATGATGATTAAATTCAAGATTCAATTACTGTACAAATCCCAAAATAGTCTAATATTACTAGAGCTACTCAAAGAAATACTGAATTAACCCTTTAAGAATTGACTAGTAGTTGTCAATTTATATAGACAAAAACACTTGGTTAAGATGCTGATTTATCTGATAATGGATCAAATTTAATGCATATAGCAGTTGAAAATGAAGATATAGGTATAGTGAGAGCTCTTCTTAATATCAGATTTGAATTATCTTCATAATTAGATGATACTTCACATACTCCATTATCATAAGCAATCAAAGAAGAAAAATATCATTGTGCCAAAATTATTATAAATGCATCAGCTAATCTAAATATAGGAGGGTAATTCATCTAATTTATTTTCAAAGTGGAGAATATAATAGTGTTCTTAATTAAGCTGTAAGTAAAACCCAATATTATCTAATCAGAGATATATTAAATGCTAAAGTCTAAATTAATAAGTAAGATAAAAAAGGTAATGGTCCATTGCATAATTTGATTCCATCCTTTAAAAAAAATCTACAAGAAGCCACAAGAATTGGACATTTATTAATAGAAAGAGGTGCCGATCCTAATTTAAGAAATATCAATAATAATACACCTCTTCATTTAGCTATCAAGAAATCATCATATTCTGCATTGAGATTCGCTATTTCCATAAATGAATAATACTCACGTGATGTATTTTCTTTCAAATTACTGGGTCACAAAGGCAATTCGGGTATTAATTAAAAATTAATTAGTTATGCATTTTGCTGCCAAAAGTGAAAATATTAAAATAATTTTGTAACTTTATGCTATTAATCCTTATTTATTATTCACTTATAATGAGGATCAAAAACGGCCTTTTGATATCATACAAAAGAACTTCACTTTGAGTAAACTCATTTCTGTTTTAGAACTTGTCTTCATAAAAAACCATATTATCAAACAACATTAAAAAACAAATAGTTAATCTACTGGATAGCTTATTAAAGAGGAACAAACAACATAAATAAAATAAAAAGAATAAGATATTTAATTTTCAAAGAAAAATAGTTTTGATTTAGTTGAATCAGATGAGGAAGGTACAAATAGAATTGGACTTAATAATTTTTAAATATTACCTAATTTAAAAAGACAATAATCTTAACCACCTAGAAGACCAACAATTAAGAAAGAGAATAAGGTGTCTTGTGAGAATGTTGGACAAATATTAATACATAAATCTATTTAATAGGATAGAAATGATATTAAATAAATAGAATTGTAAAATCAATAAAATAACAGCAAATTTAATAAAAATAAATTTATTAATAAATGGATTCATAAATTATTAAAAGATATAGAAAATATTTAAAATTTAATGTAGACTTAAAAAGATTATTACTCTTAAATTGCTTTAGAGAATTTATTAAATGCTTTAATTTAATAATTGAGTTATTACAAAGAGGATCCACTTACAAATTTAATGATTAAAAATGCTATTCAATTATAGAAAATAGAATTTGAATGTAGAAAAACAAAAAACCTTTCTTATGATACTTCTCCGTTATTCTTAGAATATGAATAATTTATGAAGCTATGAGTAATATATTAAATAAAAAATATTCACTTTTTATGATAAACTTTGATTGGTTAAAGAGGAGTATCTCTACGACTTCTCGAGAATTCAAATGAATGAAAAGAATTATTATCTTATGTCAAATCAAAGTCAATCATATTATTAAGGTTATGATTGATTTTCTTTTATTTTAATGTATTGTTTAAATATGATTCTATACTAAATTGCATTTTCTTATTAATCTCTTAGGAAGTCAAAAGTAAACTCTTGTTTATTTCCTTCAAATCTTCGTTCCCTGATAATTCTAACTCTTTCATAATGCTTTCACTTGAATCTCTAATTCTAATTTATTATCTAATAACAGGACTCTATTATTATGATCTTTGTATTCTGGGTGTAAAAATGCTATTTTTTTTTTTTAATTTGTTATCATTAATTCTAGACTAAGGAGAACAATTAGGTAATTTAAGATGAGTTCGTGGAGTTGGTTTTGGTTATGTATAATTGCGAGATGCATAAATTAAATAGATCTGTCTCTATTTAGGTTTGCTGAATAAGGTTGAATTGATCATTTAATTATTAGGAATTTATAAATATAATATGCTTAGTGAATAGATAGTTAATCCTGAACCTAGAATAGCAACTGAATTTGAGAATAAATTAGTTTGTAATGTATGTGAAGATGAACTTGAACGTCCAAATCATTGGTATGATTAAATTATAAGATTAGTGATTTTTGTGGAAAATCCACTTGCTCTAATTGTATAGTGAAGAGAAGAAAATCAAAAGATGATGCTTTTCATCCAGTTTGTGAATATTGTGAACGTATATTCCTTGAACGTATTCTAATATTAAGTGTAAAAAAGTAAAAAGAAGAATTAACAAATTCTTTGGAATAAGCAAATGTAGAATTAGCTAATAAAAGATAATAATTATATTCATTTAAGAATGTACTTTAGAATAACCCAGATTCAGTAACTTCTGAACAAAAGATTCAAAAATTAGATGAGGATATCATTGAAGCCACATATCAAAAAAATATATTATTATCACAATAACAAGAAATAGAAATAGAGAAAATAGAACTTAAATAATCAAATATGGAAAAAGCTTAAAATGTAGATATTAAATAAGTGAAATTACAGGAGACATTAAATAAAGCATAGAAATCTAAAGATGAATTAGAAGACATTTAAAGATAAATTGATGAATTCTTGGCTAATTTACCTATACTAGAAGCTGAATAAAAATCAGCAATTACTTAATTAGACTTTTCAAATTATGAATAAATCTTTAGAGGAAGCAATTTACCTGAATTAATGAATTAATAAGCCATTAAATAAAGTTAAATAATGTAATAACCTAGTAGTAAGAAAAAATAAGAATAGAAAAAGGAATGTAATATATTTTGAATCATCTCAAAAATAATTGATATATAAATTGTTCCATAGTGTAATTATTATTAAAACTCATAAATATATATATTTTATTTTAAAATATTCATTACCAAGTATACTAGTAATATATTCTATTGATTACTTCAAAATTATCAATTTTATTAAGTTAATTAGTAGAATTTAAACCATTTATTAAACATAATTTAATTATATTATCAATTCATTTTAATCCATTTTGCTAAAATAAATAGTAGGGCATCAATCATTATAGGTTTGGATAAATAATCATGAAAGGGAAGTTTTCTTGTTTAGGCTCTATTTTCTTCATCCATACAACCAATTAATCCTATGATTCTGGGTTCAACTTTAAATTCTGCATAAATATCTTTTATTTAATTAAACAAAGCAAATAGTTCTTCTTCAAATTATTCAATTCCAATGAATAATAATTATAATCCTTTACAACAAGGTTAATTTTCATTGTTCTTCAGCTATTAATTATCATTATTGACCTTTAATTAATGATTATCAATATTCTACTTTTATTAATTACTATTTTACTATTATTACAAATCACTATTTAATAATTTAACAAGAGTGCTCACTATTTGAGATTTCTATGTTACATATTCATATGTAATTCCTATATTCGTTAATTAATGCGATAAAGCATAAAGATCAAGATCGATACTCTCACATATCAATATCTTAGTACACTAACTATTAAAATAACTATACTCTACAATTAGATTTATTTTTTTATTATTTTATTTTTTCCATCTTCTCAAAACAATCTAATAAATCATTTGGTTACATAGTTCCACTGGTAAAACATAAAGAAGAATATATGGATGATCTCCCTTATCCTAGTCCACCAAATGTAAGTTGTTGGGATGGTTGAGAACTAATTCCTTCATTTTTCTATTATGTTTCATTCACATAATCAAAGAAATATGGTTATATTTTAAGCATTTGTTCTACTCTATTAGAAATACCATTTTTTGATTCCATAGATACTTCATCATCTTATTATTCAGAGAGACTTTCATCTGATTCATTTAATTATTCCTAAATTTCTTTTTATTTTTCTTTTGATTCTTAACCTTAAGTTTAGATAATATTTATATTCAATTTTTATCTAGCTTCTTTTAATTCTAATTTAATATTTGAATTCTCTGGTTATAAACTTGACATTTAAGATTAATATCTCTTTAAACCTTCTTTATTTTAATACTATTAATAAAAACTTTACTAATTTGTAAATTCTGATAATCTTTTTTAATTCAAATTTTAATTAAATTATGGATATAAATTTTTAATTTTAATGACAAAACTAAATTCTTCTTTATTACCAACACGTTCATAATTATATTCGAATGGAATTTGGGATAGACATTTTGTTAAATAAAATGAAATCAAAATTGATTATGAATATTGTCTAAGATTTCCAAGATCTAATATTTTAGATTTCAATGTTTATGATTTAAAGAATCTAACAGTTCTTTCTATTATTTTAAGAATTGAAAAATTAGTTTCATTAGCTTTCACTTTTACAATAAAATCAATATGTTCATTAAGAATTTAACTTTTAGAAACACAAAATATTATAGATCCTCTAACAGTTGCTTAAATAGAAGTAACTAATAAATTAAGTAAGATTTATCTTAATCTATTTGGATCAGTTCTAATAAATTATGGAACATTCTATTTTATATTTACAGATATTTTTAATCCTCTGAAAATAGCTTAAGATTTTACTACATTTATAATATCAGTCAAAAACTCTTATATTTGAACATCCATCTAAATTAAGTCTAATTTATCCTTCTTTTATAATTAAGCATAATCAAGAATATCATTAGCAGTATTAATTAATAATTTACAACCAGCAAGTGCTGGACTTATATATTTTTCTTTTATTTCTTATGGAGTTGTATTCTTATATAATAATTAATAATAGATATACCATAATAATTTCTAACATTGATATAGTACAATTAAGAGGTTGCTTAATCTTTTAGGATATATCACTAATCAAAAAATCATTATTTTTTGTAGTATTCAATAATTATGTTATGTAAGGATCTTCAGTGATATCAGATACAAAAATCACAATTTAAGGTTTAAGTTTATAGATTAATGGTGATAAAACAACTTGTATATAACAAGTATCGAATTTAATATATATTTTAAGAGAAAAGTCAATAAGTAAATGGTTATTTGTGTATTTTAGGTGAATGAAAGCAATTAAATTATCGAAGAATGCTTTAAAAGATATTTTTTTAGTTAATAATTGTAATCTCTTGATTTGACAAGGGTCGTTTTCATAAGTATTCTCCAAAGTAGATGGAACTCAACAATAATAAACTTATACAATACTCTAAAGTTTCAGTGAATTTAAGGAACTATGCTATGTCTTGACTTCTATGAAATTTTGGCAATAATAAACATGATTCTTCAAGTAGTAATCCAAAATCATATAATTCAGTCTCTAGAAATTAAGTATTCAATTGATCTTCTTTCATAATAATATTGGACAACTATGGATTTATAACTTAAACACTTTTAGTAAGACTATCAATCAGATAGATTCCAAATTCAGATGTGGAAAGTATGGCTTCATTTATTTAATCTTATTAAACTGATTCTGTTTATTGATCTTCTTATTTTTATTCATGTGGTATTTAAGATATATTCCTATTTTCAGGTATATCTATATATAATTGATGAAGAGTTCTATTTGGATTTGATAATCTCTAAGAATTTAATTATGTGTAACTAATTTTATTATTTAAACCCATAGTCACCAATTAGGAATTTAAATTATTCCTAATATTCTTTTTGTTGATTATGAACATTAAGAATTATAAAATGACATGAATAACAATTAACTTTGTACCCATTATGATATTCATTTTAGAATCGAATTCAAAGTTCCTTAACAATGTATAAATCAAATTAAAGACAATTGCTAATGTCTAACATACTTATGATTCTATTGCAAATACAAATCCCAATAGAATTAGGAACTTATCCAGTATTCTTTAAAATAATTATTATGTTGTATAATAATCTAGCTCTTCCCAACATATAACTACACATATAAATTTTAATAAGGTCATGAGATTTATAAATCCATTTTTTATCTTTATCATTTTTATTAGTGACACTTCAAAGAATGCAATCAAAAATATTTGGGTCTAAAATGGTAATTAATATTACCAATATTCTATATATCAAAATGTATTTGTCTCCTTCAATATCTAAAGTTACAGCATCTCCTGTCACTATAATAACATCACATATTTAATAGACAGATATCAGCACCATTAACAATCTCCACTAATCTTTGTTCTTCAAATGTTCTTAATAAATCACAAAATATTCCTTAAATTTGTATAACATAAATTAATTATATTTTAATTCCTTTATTTTATTTAATCTTAACTTATATATATATTTATAATATGGCAAATAAGTATAAAGTCTGTGTTCTCGGATCCGGTGCTTTTGGAACTGCTATGGCTCATTGTGCCATCAATAATCCTTACATAGGAAGAGTTCAAATCTATGCTAGAAACCAAACCATTGTAGAGTCCATCAATCGAGAACACAAGAATCCAAAGTTTCTTAGTAACTTCGCATTGCATCCTGATATCACTGCCACTACTGATCTTTAACAAGCCCTCCACCGTATGTCTCTCCAACTACTACTCAAGAGGCCAATTATGTGCTTAGTTGCATTCCAACCCAAGAGATCCACCAATTTGTTTTGGCCAACAAACAGTACATTGATACCAAGGTTCCTTTCGTTTCCTGTTCTAAAGGCATAATCTTGAAATCTGGAAAATTGATCTCATAAATGTTGAATGAAGAATTTGATGGAAAATTGAGATACGCCTGTCTTAGTGGTCCCTCTTTTGCTGCAGAACTTATGTAAAATAGTAAATCCTTTTACTCATAACTTAGATCCATCATGTGTTGTTGTAGCTAGTCAGGATACTAAAACCTCTAAATTAGTATAATTAGGATTATCAGGAAATTTCTTAAGAATTTTCACTTAAAGTGATGTGGTGGGTGTTGAATTAGCTGGAGCATTGAAAAATTTGGTGGCAATTGGCACAGGCGTATTAGATGGTGCTGGTTTTGGAATCAATACTTAAACAGCCTATGTCACCAGAAGTGTTGGAGAAATGTAGAGATTTGCTAGAATTTATGGAGCCTCAAAACATACCTTCTATGGTCTTGCTGGATTTGGTGACCTTATGTTAACAAGTTATAAACATTATAATATTGTAGGTTTTGGATCATTAAGTAGAAATAGAGCTTTTGGAATTAAAGTAGGAAAAGGAGAAAAAGTGGAAGATATCTTAAAAGAATCAAAAGGAGTTGTGGAAGGATGGCCTACTTTAGAATTAGTTTATAAGCAGGCTCAAGAAAATAATATTGAAATGCCTATGACACTCATTTTGCATGACTTTATTAAAAGAAAATATTCTAAAGAGTAGAGTATCCAAATGTTGATGAATAGAGCATTTTAAGATGAATTTGAACCAACATTTGAGGATTTATTATGATTATCAATACATAAATGCCCAAAAATCAGTTATTTTCATTCTTATTTTGTTTCATTAATCTTAATTAATTAACTGCATCACTTGGTAAAGATTATTATAGTTATTATAAGGCTCCAACTCTTCTTGGTAATGATTCATGCATATTACCTTAATTTGTAATTGGTTATTATTATTTCTTTTATTAATCTAATTTATTTCGTTATTCTTCTTTGATTTTCATTTATTAAATCTTTTCAATTTATTGTTTTGACTAAAATATATTAATATATAAATACTTTTATACAATTATTCCAAACTGATTGAATAGATTAGAAAAATACATCACTTTGTAAAGTTTTTGGATTCTCACAATAAAATATACATAAATCAGAATATAACTATTCACATGTTGATAGTAGTTAAGATAAATCTGTTATTTCTAATAAAAGTTATTATGAAAATTCTTCAAATCTATTAACTCTATCATTAGGTAGTTTAGATTAACTTTTTATTGCATTCTGAACTAACTTTTACAATTTCTTTATTTCATTTATATCAATTATCATCTATGAAACTGGTAATCTACACATAAAATCTAGAAGATCCATACGATCATTTGAAAAAAATTATCCCTTTCCTTGTTTTTCATAAATTTATTCACATTCTTATACAATACTCATTAATAATGTCTCTTTTCCATCTGCACTCTTTATATCTGCTGCTTTTGATATAGCATCTATTTTAAATCCAAAAGCTCCTCCTCTTGCAGAATCACCATTTACATAATTACCTATTGCTAATGTACATTTTATTAATAATTTAAATGCCTCATCATTTTTTTAAAATTCAAATCCTTTCTTTAATTGTTTTAATTTTCCTCTACATTCATTACACATATCCATTCCTACAAACTCAGCCTTTATAGCTTACATTCTATCTCCTTAAGCTGGTACTTAACATAATTCTAAATAAAATAGATCTGCTATTTATAAAGTCTCTTTGTCTAATTCTTCTGGATTTGCATACAATGATCTTTCTTAATCTGTTGGAACCACATTTAATAAAGATTCTATCACATTTAGAGTTAAAATTGATTTATCACATTCAAGCAAAGCATTCTTTATTTTTTCATTACTCATTCTTAATTTACCCAAAATAAGCTCTATGTTTTTTGTTCTTTCTCCACTCAACAAACTGATTTTCTATACTTCCTTCTTTTTATCACTTACCCCAATACTTTATTAGATTTATTTAGCTGGTTTTGAAGCAAATTTCTCCTCTAAAGATTTAATATCAAATTTTATTTCATTTTCGTTCATCCCTTAAAATACAGAATTTCCAATCTAATCTGGTTTTAAAATATTCCAACTTAAACCTTTAAGTGGAACTGATGGTTAACATTTAGGTTTTGTTGGTACAGCAGGTTTAGCATTTGGTAATGGAGGAGCCTTTCCACCTGGTGGAGGTGGTGGAGGAGGAGGACCACCAGCTTTACCTCCAGGAGGTGGTGGTGGAGGTGGAGGAGGTGGTGCTCCATTCTTCCCTCCTGGAGGAGGTGGTGGTGGTGGAGGAGGTGGTGCTCCAGTCTTTCCTCCAGGAGGAGGTGGTGGTGGTGGTGGTGGAAGTGCAGAATTGTTAGTAGATTAAACAGAGGGAGGAGGTGGTGGAGGAGGTGGGGGTGGAGGTGGTGGAGCAGCCTTTTAAGAAACTGTTTAAATTGACGTGATATTTTCTGAAGGGTTTGGAGGAGGTTCTGAACCTCCTTCGGGTGCTTAGATTTTACATAATTAGGGTTAGGTGTGAGTTGTTTTTAATCGGTTTATTTCACTAGCATACTCTTCTAATTTAGCTTCTAATTCTGAAACTTATTATGCTTTTGCCATAACTTTTTAGGCTTCTAGTAATTAACTGCTCATATCTTAGAATTTATTTTTGAGTTAAGAGTATTGCTAACTTTGATCTTGTAATCTTTTGTTTTCTTCAATTAGTAGGTTAAGTTTTTCATTAAGATTTTTAAAATCCTTTTAATTATCTTAAGTAATTCTTTGTTTGATTTCCAATTAAAGATAAGTCTATTATATAAATAGAGATTACAATTTATTATTTATATCCTTCTTCTCTTTCTTTTCTCATCTAATCTCTTTTCTTTTGATCTGCCATAATTTGATCGAACTTTTTTGTTAAAAGATCAATTAATCTAGAAAGAATAGTTACACCAGAAGATTCATCATTTAATTTAATTAATAACTCCTAGATTTCAATTAATGAATTTGCTTTTTTGATGGCATTTAATATTATTTATTAATTTGTTGTTTCAGATCCTCTACTCTACCATAGTCCTTTTAAGGCACCAACTAAACCTTCTTCACTGCCTTTTTTGGTAATAGTAGAAATAAATAAGGGATTTTATCTTTCTAGAATTGTTTTGTTTGGATTAAAGCTTGGTTTAATTAATGAATCATAAACATCTAATTAAACTTAAAGTTAATTTTTTTAAAGTTCAAAATAATCTGGATCTGTATTAAAAATCTCATCAAAATATCCATAGGTGAATATTAATGGTTTTTTAGGATCAAAATCATAAAGATTATTGAAATAGAAGTTATCAACTTAAGAATAATGTGGTAAGTATTTTTATTCATATAGAAATTGCATTGCATGTTAATAGGAACAATGATCAATTTGAAATTCTTAGTTTTTCAGTTTTAATTTGACATCATCATAAATAACTGTTAAGCCATATTGTTCTATTTATTATTTAATCAATTCACACATTTCGTCATCTGAATGTGTCTCTGCTAATGCATTTATAAAAGTGCAAGCATCTCTTATAAGATAGATGTTTTATTAAACTTCCATGATTTTAAAAATGGGTTCTGTGGCAAATCTCCATTTAGCTTCTTCTTTGAGATTTTTTAGAATTTCTATAATATTCTCAATGCATTTATCTTAATTAACACAAATATCTGCTAATATCTATAATATTAAAGAGACATTTAAAGCATTATAAGGATTCATATGTCTAAACAACCATTCTATATGTTTTTATTCCAAAACAATAGAAGGTAGTTTACCTACAATATTGTGTATTATGATGATAATTAATATTTATTTATCAAGGTCCTTTTATAATTCTTAAGTTATTCTAGAAATGATGTTATAATGATTAATGAGTTCTAGACACTCATTAGAAGTACAATTAACAATAAATTTAGTAGCTTAGTACAATAATACTAAATCATCACATTTCTTTAATTAATCAAAAATGATTGATTTGAGTGCTTATTCATGTAAAAATTGAAGTTATATTAATATATCTAAAAGATATTTAAGAATTTTTACCCTAATCTAAATCACGTAATGCTGGATTTATTTGTATTATTTCTTGAAAACGTAAAGGTTTTTAATATCCTATTTATTATTTTGGATCATATTTCAATTCAACAACCTATTTATTAAGATTTATAATATACATGATCATCATATTTATACTATAATGTACAAGGTTGACGCTTGAATAATTTTGATTACTCTAGACCCATTTTTATTAATAATTTATAATTATAAATTAAATTCACAGATTTTAATATCCTGATTTCTGTATTAGATATCTAAGGTATTTTTATTTAATTATATATGCTATGTGAACTTATTAAACTTTGAATTCAATTAATTATATATTAATGTCCAATTCTCCTTCAAACAAGAGAAAGTTTAAATTAAAATATGAGGTCGTAACAGTAATTATTATCCTTATTCTAAAGCCTGGTATGTATTTTGATGACTCTGTTAATAAGATTGTCTCTCATAAAAGAAGAGTTTCATCTCAAAGTAAAATATAACCAAGTATATTGGAGAATTATGAGTATAAAGTAAAGAATGTCTTTGAAAAGCAATTATAAGAGACAGAAAAATTACATAATAAAGTGAAGTATTTATTTGATTAAACAGACCATAGAAAGATTAGTTAACTAAAAAAGAACTCATAGAAAAATTAGTAACTCAAATGTAGGATCATTTACAATAAAAAGAGAAAGAATTATTTGAAACAAGCAACATAGATGATCATTAGAGATTAGAAAGAAGAAAATCTATTTTTTATTAAGAATAATCACATTTAGCAATGCTGTAGTAAATGAAGGAAAGATTTGCATCCCAGTAAGAAACCAAAAAATAAATTGACAAAAAAAAGATTAAACACTCATCTGATTCATCACCAATGAGAGGAACACGTAAAAAAACTAATTTAGAATGCCAGTTATATGAGTAAGAATAAATTGAATATGGTTTATAAGAGTATTATAAACTTTAGAGAATCAAAAAAAATGTTGAAAAATAATTAAATCGTATGGGTTTGATTGATTTATCAGTACCTGATTAAAGAGTACATTCACGTAAATTATCTCTTTTATAAAATTCATCTTAATTAATACATAATAGTATTCTAACATAAGAAAAATCAAAATCCAAAAGTAACCCAAAAACACATAATACAAATAATATTTTAAAAAGAATCAAAGAAAAAATATAACATATACATACTAATTATAGTAATAATAATTCAATGAGTACTCTTATAACATGTTGTGATTAAGAAATAGCATAATTGAAGAGAATGGATAATGATATCAATAAAAAGAAGAAAATTTAGATTAAAAAGTTTAGAGTTATTTAGAGTGATCTAGATGCAATAGGATTTATGAGATTTTAAAGAGCTAAAATTTAATGATTATTTATTCAAGTTTATCAATAAATTTACAATTTAAATATTACTTATTATCAAAAACAAATAATTAAAAAAATAAATTATTACAATAATCATTATTAAATATATAATAAGATTATATTTACTTATGAATTTGATTGAGAATCATATGTAGATAATAATAAACAAATTAGTTGAAATTATTATTTAAAGGTATATAATTTTTAAAAAGGATTATATAGTTATTTACAGATTTATAAATAAAATAAATAATATTTTAAAGATAAATAATAATTCAGATATTTTTATATGAATTATTGTTATCTGAATTATTTAAGATGATTAAATACTTTTTTATAATTATTTGAATAATATTATTCTATATTTTAATGAACGAATTTGATTGAGTCATTTTCTACTATAATTCATTGTTAAACAATTGAATTAAGTTAAATATAGATGTTTCATGATTAATAAACATATTATTTGTTGATTATAAATATTATATATAATAAATATGAATACTTTCACTAAATTTCCTGAAGATGACGAAATCACTAATCATAAAATGAAAGCCTTAGAATTAAATGCATCCCAATTTTAAGCACAAATGAAAGTACTTATTAAATAGTTATACAGCCACTTTTTAATGAGAACACTAAATTAAAACAACATGTTATCAGTCTTAACTTTTATATGGAGGAACGCAAATTACAATTAGCCAATCTCATAAGTGATACTGGACCAAATGGAGAAGATAGAGTATTGATAAAAGCAGTGGCAGATTTCAAATAAATATGTGATCTTTTAGAAGGTATTATAGTATTTATAAAAAGAGGAGATAATCAGATTGAATAATATTATAATTGATAACAATAATGCAAAAGCTGCTTTTCAATTGAATATTAAACAATTAAGAGAGAATTTATAATAAGAAACTGAAAGACATTTTATAGAAAAATAGTAATTGATTGATTAAAATAAGAAGTTGAGTGATTATCATAAATAACAAAAATAATTAAATGAACAACGAAGAAATCATCTTGTAAAAAGATTTCATTTATATATTAGCAAATGAAAATTGAAGATCTCTGTTCATAAATTATGTAGTTAAAATTAAATGAATAAAGGTTGCATAAGTAATATAAAGAAGAATTAGAAATTAAGACATTAAAATTGAATACAGAACTTATTTAAGTTAAATTTGAAAAATAAGATTAAAATGAGAAGTTTGAAAATGAAAGAAGATCCTATTTAAAATAATTAGAAGTTTTTAGTACTAAATTGAATGAGGTAAAAATGGAATTAATAAATGAATATGAATATAAGATTTAATCATAAAGAATGAAATTAGATAATTAAATTTAAAAACTTAAAGAAGATTGTTAAGATTATAAAAATTAAACTTTGTAATATATTGAAAAAAATAAAATCCTCTAATTCTAAATTGATAGATATTAACCATATGTAGCAAGTTTAGAAAAGGATATTCAAGATTAAAAATACAAAGCTTTTCTATTCGATGAATAAATGAAAGCCAAGGATTCAAAACTTCTTTAAAAAGATATTTTAATAGATTAATTAAAGTATTAAATGTATATTAATATAGTGAATAGATAAAGAAATTGAAAAATGATAAAACTTAACCAGGAACAAGAGAAAATGTAAGAAAATAAAGTACTATAGTCTAAGCTTATAAAAATTAATCTCCTGATAAATTGTAATAATAATAAAAAAACAATCCATAATCACAATATAGATAAGTTATTAAATAAAGAGAACCTATTAAATAAACTAGTAATCCTGAATCAGCTATATAATCTTCTTATAAAAGATCATCTATTTAAAAAGATGAATTTACTTTTGAAGAAACTACAATTGAATAATATGTTGAAAATAATAGATAAGAAATAATGCAATCAATTTAGAAATAAAGTAGATAATCATCAGTTGATGATTAACCTATTTAATAGATATAAATAATAAAAATAGTATCTAATGAAGCATCTTCAACTAATAGAAATAATAATGATGGATTATAAAATACAAGTATTTAATATAACAAATCTTTATAAACTACATAGAGAGCATGGACAATATAAAATGATTTTGGAATTTAATGTGATTTGATTGAGATTGATTCTAATACATCATCTTATTACACTTCAGATGCACAATTGTCTAGATGTAAGAATGAGATTATTAGACTTAAAGAAGAATTTGAATTTAAATTAAAATGTAGTTAAGATGAAATTAATGATATGCAAGATTTGATGAAAATCTCATAAGTTAAACATGAATAATTAATTGAATCATTAAAAAGAGAATTTGAATAATAATTATAATAAGAATTATTAAAAAAAGATTTGTAAATATCTTAATTATTAGAAACTATAAAAGAAAAAGATTAAAGTATTAAAAGCTATATTGATTCAGAATAATTATATGAACTTTTAATTGAAGATTTAAATCTAAAATTAAAATAGAAAGATTAATAAGAATTGGAACTTTAAACAAAATTTCAAGAGAATATTCATTAATTATAAATTGAAAATGAAATAGAGTAAAAAAGACTTTTAGAATTAACTGAAAATTTAAAATTAAATCATAAATAAGAGATTGAAAATTTAAATAATTAACATTTATTGGATCAAGAATAACTCATTTAAGAAAGAAAAAAATTAAAAGAACAATAATCAGATCATGAAATCTTTATTAAATAAACTACAGATTTATTAGAGTAAGCAAAATCAAAAGAATATTTATTAGATAGTTATAGAAGAGAATTATTAAAAACAAATGAAATTGTTAAATATTTATCATTAGAAATTGAAAATTTCAAAAAAATAAATAATATATTTCGAACTAAAAATGAACATATATCTTAAAATTTCTTATATAATGGTATGGGATTTCTACCAACTGAAGTTTAAGATAAAATAAAGAATAAAATGAATAAAGTAAAATATAAATAGAGTGTACCTTCAAATATTCCAAAAGATGCTTATGCTATGAACTTTTAACTTTAAAAAGGTTCTAAAATGAAACCTGCTAAATTGGCATCTATGACTAATAATATCTAAGATTTAAAATATTAAAAGTCATATATTATTTATATTATAGATAAGAGATCAAAGGTAAAATTGAATAATTGAATGATTATAATGATGGACTACCAAAAATTAATTCAAAAAATGTTTATGAATTAGAGAGATCTCATTCAGAATCAAAATAAAAAATATTAAATAAAAATATTAGATCAAGTAAATTTAATTATACATATTTAGAAACTTAACAAGAAGATTATATTGAAGTTAATGATCCTAAAAGAATTATTTAAGATATTAATTAAAAGGAATTACTATTAATTTAGCGAAGTTAAATGTTATTATCTTAGCTAAATGTAACTGCAGAAAATTATTAAAAATAAAATCAAAGAAAAATAAATTATAGTACTTGTAAAACATGATGAATTAAGATTTTCATGAAAATATTTCATCATCACCTATTATTATTTCATCTGATTATTCCTTTACTATTAATGTTTATCGAAGTGTAATCTAATCTATTAAAGATTCATATTACGAATTTAAATTCATATTTATTTCAATTATTTTTCCAGATTACAAATTAAAAATATATTCTTCATAATATTTTTCTATCATTTTTAATCTATTCTCTAAAATCTCAGGTTTATGTGACAATTATTTAATAGCACATTCTGAAATTATAGGAAAAATAGGATATTAATTAGGAGATTTAGGTAATTCTTCATAAGTTTAGATTTTATAATTCTCATCAAATTGATTTCTCCAGATGTTCAATTTATTAAATTCTTTATTTTATAAAATCTTGAGATCACTTGATTTAATTGGTCCACTTTGTTAAAGCAGAAATTTATTGAAATCATTAGCAACAGAAGAATCTGTATAAATAAGGGCAATCAAGTTTTTAAAAACATTGATTATCATTTAATCATCCTTAATAACAATTTAATAAATTGATAATATTTAATTAAAATTCTTAGAATCTAATTTTGATATCAAAAATTTAAATGTGATCATGTCACAGATTGTTACCAATGTCAACAATTTATCATCTTATTAATATTATATAATAATTACATTTATGTTATTAACTATTGATAATTGATAAACATATATTTAATGATTTGCTTAAAATATCAATTTCATCCAAAATTACTAAAGCTACTTCTGATTATGAAAGTATGTTATGAATTTGAATTATGCAAGACTTAATTTATTAATTAATTGTTATATGGTCAACATTAATCAATTCCAACCATTTCTAAACACTCTTAACAATCATAATTGGAATACTATCTCGTTGTTCTTATAATAATTTATTGATTTAAGATTAATCATAATCTTCTAATAATTTCATTTCATTCTCAAATTCAGGATGTTTTTAATTGAAAAATAATTACTCTAAAGCTAATTCAAAGGAAGTTAATTAAGTTATTAATTTACAAGACAATCTCTCAAATTATTTAATGGAGGATTCAGAATTATTGAAATTTCCCTCTAGATATAATCTAAGTGATAGATTGATTGATTCAATTAATTCATTCATGAAAACAATTAGTCCTTCCTCAGTTTACCAATCAGGTTAGATATTATATTCTTTAAGCATCATATATTCAACAAATGTTTCATTTCTTTGTTCTGGAAATAATGGTGAATTTATAGGAAAAATCTATCCATAATCATTAGATAGTTTTTTCAAAATAAGATTATTATATCTAAGAATAAGGTATTTTAATACTCAATATAAATTAGAAGCATTTCTTTCATCATTATTTAAGTCCAGATCAAATTTGGAGTACTCCATTCTCTACAAAAATTACTAAAAATAGCTGTTTCATCTCCATCATCCAAAAAAAGCTAAATATAATCAACATTTACAATACTTCATTGAGCTATTAAGGTAATAACTTGATGAGTCTATATGATTCTAATAGATCATCAGATTTTCTTTATTATCGATCTGCATTTTAAAATTCATACTGTAAAAGATCTCTATAAAATAGAAATGCTTCCATTCTATCATTTTCATTAATTAGATCAAACTACTTTAGAATTAATGAAAATACTTTGAAAATGATTTCTAAAAGAATACTTGCAAAACCACTAGCTATTAAATTCATACAATCCCCTTTCTATTTTACATCATACATTTATCTAACTAGTTATAAAAACTTTCACATATTTTAATTAAATACTTCTCCTATAGTTTTGTCTTCTTAATTATTCACCTTCCTGATTTGATTGATCAAATATTTTATAGACTATTGATTCATAAATAAATAATTATTTTAATGTAAATATCAATCATTTTGTATGAATTAACATAAAATAGATCTTAAATAAATATATAAATAGCATCTTCTTAATTAACTAATTTCTATATCATTTTTTAATTAAGAAAGATAGTGAATTCTAAAATTGAATCTTAGTGCATTTAACAGAAAATATTTGTAAAAATTAGTTGTTAAATAATTAAATATTTGTCTACCTATGTATTCCAACAGAATAGTGAGAACAAAAGTATCCTCAGACTTTCAAAATACTTGTGTAATATCTCTTAATCAATTTTCTAGTCTTCTAGTTTTAAAAGATAGTAATTCCATACATAAACTGGATCCATTTCACCATGCAGAATTACAGCTGACAACTTTTGTACTGCTAAAACATATACACCTGCATAAAGTTAAAATGATAAAGGAGTATTTATATATTATAACACTATAGCTTAAGAAGGTACAGATAGAAGCATTTATTGCAGAAATTGAAAAACTAAATGATGTTCTAAAAAAAAAAGTAAATTTGATTCATGATCTTACTGTTAAATTAAATACAAATGAAGCACATCTCTAAGAAAAGAGAGATGAATAATAAAATTTAAAAACTACATATTAACGTTAAATAGAAGAGCAGTAATAAAAAATTGAAGAGTTGCTGTTAACGAATCAATAACTTAAGCAGACAAATATTTAATAACAATAAGAATTAGAAAATCTATTTCTATAGATAGAATAATATAATAAAGAATCTTAGAAACTTAAAGAAACTCTTAAAAATTCATAAACTATATATAATGAAGTAGAAGTGAAATAATTAAGAGTAGAAATAAATAATTAAAAGTAAGAAATCACTCGATTATAAATTTAAATTTTAGAGGAAAAAAAGGAGGCTAACTTATTAAAATTATAAAATGAAGAACTTAATAATTAATCACAACTTAAACATTTAGAAAATTGTTTAAATGATTAATAAAATACAATTGATAATTAAAAATAATGTATTGCTCAATTAAGAAAAACTATTAATTTACTAGAGTAGAATATATCTGATTAATTTACAAGTGAAAATTCTTATAATTAACTTGTTAATGCTTTTAATTCTTATAAAGAATAATAAAAAGAATCTGAAACTAAATTACATAAATTATTAAAGAGTAAGGAATCAGAAATTATGGATTTAAAAGATAATTTTTAAAGTTAATAAGTCTAATTAGAATAGTCTAATCTTTTGGTTATATCTTTATAAAATTAAATTGAGAAATTAAAAAATATGATGAAACTTAAAATAGAAGATTTTGATCTTAAAAAATTTGAGAATGATTCAGTATTTTAATAACCACTTAATTAACATAATAAAAATCAAAGTAAAAAAATAAGTAAAGATCATATAGGAACTCCTTAGAATCATGCATCATAACATTAATAAATAAATTTTATAGTATTTCTTTATTTGTTATAAATCTTAGAAAGAATAATGTAAACATATTCCAATGTCAAGTTAAAATTTTGAGAAAGAATTATCAAGTTATAAAAATAAAATGAATAGTCCATCTAATATAAAATTTAGATAAGAAGTTAAAGAAGGAATTTTTAATAAAAAAATATGCTGATTATGAATATTTATATTTATATAATTTCTAAAAAGAATTCATTATTTCTTCATCATTATTTTGCCATTAATTTTATTTTGAGTTAATGTAATAGATTATCTTTTTGTTATTTATTTGTATTCAGTTTATAATCTGATTGTATCAGTATTATGCAATTACAATTTCTTTTTCTATTTTGGATTAGGACTCTCCAACATAATTTTAAATTGTTAAAATGAGGAAAGTTTGTCGAGATTTTTAATAAGATTCTTTTAAGAACTATTTTGAGATGTTTAAGCACTTGCTTTATACAATTATCTAAATTTTTCAGGTGTTTGTTTTGGTTATGTCTTTATTTTACTACTAAAATTATTAGAGTATATTTTAATAAGTTTTGAATCCTTTTTAGCTGGTGTACATTCTGTTTATAATGATTATTATGAAGCAGATTTTTTATGTACAGGTGATATATAATTAAATAATTTAGGTTAACTTTAATTGTTTCCACCAGTATTAATTATCTAACTTAAACGCATTTATTCTGTCTTCAATTATTCTGATGAAACACTTCTAGTACTAGTAATAAAGTGAGCACTACTATGTTTAGCTTAATTATTATTAATATTATTTTGGTCAATCTTATTCGAGAATATTTTTTGAATTTTTATTTTATTATCTTAAGATAATTTTATAATCTTAGCTTTCATGAATTTTTGGAATTCATTCTCTTCTTGACTACTATTAATATGTTATTATGAAGATGATTTTTAAGTAGGAATAGGACGTTCTGGAGATTATTTTTATGAATTTCTTATATTTGTTAAGACTTTTCCATTTATTAAATGAAATGGTAAATTTAATTTTAACTTATCTTTATTTATTTAATTGTTTCTTATTACTAATTATTTTAATAATTTCAGGTTCTAAGTTGGCTATTTTGTTATTTATTTTTAATTATTTTTTTCTGTTTAGATTTCTTATTACATTGTTAACCATGTCTCATTCACATTCTAAAATGATAAATAAACTAATTACAATCTAATCTTCATCCTTCTAAAATTTTATTATTTATCTTAGAAGTGATTTAGCAGATCTTTCACTTAATTTTGTTATACTATTTAAGACTTAAATATCTTCATTTAATTTTTCATATTCTATTATTACAGTAAACTCAATACATGTGCTTAAACTGGATTACTCATATGGAATTCCTAATTAAATCTTTATCTTTCTATATTAATATTTTCTAATTATTTATATCATTATTATAATTACTTTTTCTTCTCATAATAATATGTAGCAATATCGGCTAAGATTCCAAAAAACATTCTTGGAATGTCTTTATGATATTTGTAATATTCTAATAACTGTTTAAATTTGTTAGATTATTATGTAATTGGATAATATCTATTTTCATATTACAAAATAACATTACTTTTTTAAATACTCATCATTCTCCTTAACATGTAAATTATCTTTAAAATCTATGACCCACTTAACTGGTTTTGTTGAAAAAAAGTCCTCAAAATTTTTGACTTTTTATTATGAATATTTAGTGTACAAGGCCTTCTCAATCTTTAATGAATGATACACTATTGATTAAATATGCATATAAATGTTTGACATTTTTTGAACATTTTAATTTTTAACAGAACGGGCAATCCCTCTTTCTAAAAGAACTCTTCATAACTGAATATAATTAATATTGTATAATATATTAATATCAATTCCTAAAAATTACATCCTTATTAAATTCCTAAATTCAAATCAAGTCATCCAATTTCATAACTAAGTCTTCAAATAAAGTGACTCTGTGAAAATATCTTTCTTTTTTTCTAATTATTATTTTACAAATTAAATCCATAGAATCAAGTGCAAATTATTTATTAAATGCCTCATATCACTGTTTTAATATATAATTATTGTTTAATTTCCTTTAAATATACTTGACTCTCAAAATTAAGCATTAGATACTCATAAAAATGATAATAATTAATTAATAATCTAAAGGAGTAAATTAATATCATCAATCTAATTAATGAAGAAAGTATAATAAAATTATTATTACAAGTTAGAACATGATTCATAATTGATTATATTTTTTTATTATTTATAGCTTAAAATAAAAATTTCTTAAGAATATCAGCTATTAGTAAAGCTATAATTAAAATTTTGAAAAAGGTGTTTAAATTTAAAATTTATTATCCTTGTTTCCCTAAACTTTTATCAATTAGAATAAATTATCCAAAAGTATATTCTTTTTTGATCATTGTTAACATTAATTGAATCTTTAAACTGTTAATAATTATATTTGAAATTATTTATCTATAATTATATTTTTTTAAGTAATAACATACTTAAATCTCATATTAATATATAATTAATTTAAATCAAATGGATTACTCTCTCACTTCAAAATTCTATTTCATAGTAAAATTAAAATTTTTAATGCTAATTAAAAGATTATGGAATAATTTACTTAAAAATTTTAATAATTTAAATGGTTAGATATTTAACTGGAGTTTTATTAAATATATAAAATATCATCTTGCCTTTTTAGATTATTTGTATAGATTTTATTAAAAATCAATTTTTAAGGAAAATTTCAAATTTACTGAATAATAATTTATTATCAAAATAATATAGGTATATATATTTCATTAACTTGATTAATTAGTTTATTAGAAAAATTCATTAAGCAAATATATGAAAATTATAATTTGAATTCACTACTTAAATAGTTTCTTGAATAAAATTTTAATATGTCTATAGTAGAAAATCAACTACATTAAATTTTATAAAAATGTAGGGAATTTGAAAGACTATAGATAATTTTAACAAGAATAAATAAAAGAAAATAAATTGTTATTAATAATACGAGTTAATTTTTAAAATCAGTAAACAATTTTTTTTATTATAATTTCATGATAAAGAAAATGAAAAAGGATAGTATTTAGTTAGAAAAACTAATAATAATAGGCAATAATGTGTGAATTATAAGTTTATTAAGTTTTATATAATAAATAATTAAAACTAAAATTAACCCTATATGAATATCAGTTAATAATAATTATTTATTAGCTTATTTAATATTTTTAATATTTCTCGCATCTTCTAAAATAACCAATTGAAGTCATTCAATCATATGAACTTTTCTTAAGTATTTCAATAAATTATAAATACAAACTCAAAATTTATTATATAAATCATTTTTAACCTCAAAAAATAAGTATTGTAATAATAACTGTATATATAATTTAATGGGTGTATGCTGTTCTAAATAAAGAGAAAGAGAAGATGGGATTAGATAGTAGATTGCTTAAACTATAGTTGAGTAAGAAAAGATAAAAGAAGAAGAGGAATAAGAACAAATTTAAATTCAGTGTTATTCATCAGGTAGAAAATCATAAACTTATCAATTCAATCCAGTTGACATTTGCAACTTAGTTACTCAAGTTGGAAATGATGATGCTCCAATTGAAATAGAACAAATAAAATAAGAGAAAATCAAAAAGAAAAAGACAGAGCCTCAAAAGGATGACGCAAACTATTTAAGAAAACTGGAGCATATTATGTCTTTAAAATCAATTGTTGTCTAATTATAATAAGAAGGAGATATGAAATATTACAAGATCTCAATACTTATAAACTATAAGGATCTTTTTTATAATGTGAATTTGAATGGCACTTTAACAACAGATTTAGACTTTAAATATTTCACTTTAAAGCCTAAAAATTTTGAAGAGGCATATAAATATTCAAGGTTTCTCACTTTTTTTTCAAATGATAACTATTTTAATGCAGATAAGGAATGTACAAATAATTTTAATGCATTCGATAAATTATTATATGTAGAAAGAAGTTTATAAGAAATATAAACAAATATGAAAAAATATTAAAGGAGGTAGACAACAAATTTTCATGAAAAGAAACCTGAAACTTGTTTAGTTAATTCAATTAATTATGAAATGCTTGAAATCATAACAATTGTGGATGTAGAATAGTAGTCAAGATTTTTAACAATTTTATTCCATTTGTTAATCTAAAAATATTTTAAAAAACTAGAACTCTATTTAGTATTTATAACAAATGCTACTTTTTTATTTGAAATTCTTCCTTAATTTGATTAACCAAATGTATATAGATTGGCTTTGTTTTATGATAAATTGGATTATTCATTAAAAGACCTATAAACTTTATGTATTAAAAACAAAATGGAATTATCTAAAATTTTATATCAAAAATTTGCTTTAAATCTTATAGAGATCTTTTATCAATGTTATTCAAATTATTTATATAGACTTAATTTTACATTGTCAACAATCTTTTATGTTTCAAAATTAAAGACTTTTAAGTTATAAACATTTGGAAGATTAAAATATTTACTATAATTTGGATGTAATGTAGATGATTGTTTAAAATAGTTGGATGAAAAGAAAATGAAATTATTTTAAAAAGCATTTAAAAAAGATCTAATAGCTTTATGTGATCTATTAGTCTATTTTAAAAAAATAAATAAAATAAGTTTAAAATAAATTCAAAGTTAAAGAAAAAAGTACTTTTAAAGTATTAAAAAAGGTGAAGATCTAGATGAAGATAATAATTATTTAATTTATGTTGATTAAATATATTAATCTAAATCTGATAGATATATTTTAGAATTTATTCGTATGGCATTATATGCTAATTAGGTTAAATCAGTAGATAAAACCTTAGAAGATACTCTTCCAATTATTGAACAACTTTAAAAAATTATTAGTGATTATGAATCCAATTTAGATATAGAAAATTAAGTCATATAAAATAATAATGATATTTAAATTTAAGAAAATCCTTTAGAAACATCTAAAAAAGATATTGATTTAGAAGATTCTTTATATTTAGAAGATGATTAAAATTATTTAAAATCTTTTTAATTTGATTTTAATTCTGAAAATGAAGAATTATCAATTAATAAAGATTAATTAACTGAAAATTAATTAATTTATAAAGAATTACTCTATTAATCATTACTATTTTAGGATTAATTTTAATTTTATTATTAAAAATTTAAAGATTGTGATAAATTAAAATAAGAAGAGGCATATGTTGAAATCTTAAATTCATTTTATTTATTGAAATCTATGAATGATGATTCTTGGGAATATAGATTGAATATGATATCAAATTTAATGAATAAACCTGTTCAAATTATGAATTCAATATATGAAACTATTATTGATCATTTTCATCTTACAATAATGTTTCAAATATTAACTTTATCATAAAGAAAACCATTACCTTTATTAAATTAATTTTAAAAAAGTATCAATAAATAATTAGAAATAAAAGTTTAAATGGATAGAAAATTAAGAAGTCATAATTCTTCAAAGGGAATTATAGAATAAAAAAAATATATAATGGTAGAACTAATGTATGCATAATCATATTTAAATAATAATAATTATTATTAAGCAGTACAAAAAATACAAAAAGTAATTGGATTTTAATTAAAAAATTAACATTAAGCTTCATTATTTTATGCATATTCATTATTAATAAGTGGAGAAATACAAAAAGAGAGTTTACAACCAGTTTCAGCAATGCTTAATTTAGAGATGAGTTAAGTTATTTATGATGGTTATTTCCCAGAATTTATTACATAAGAAGATTTACAAGAATAATCAGATAATAACATAAAAGATAAAACAACTTAAAAATTCTAATATATAAATGTTTAAAATTTGGCAACAAGCAATAAAGCAAAATTAGAATTTCTATTGGGTATTAGTTACTTTGAAGTACATGATTAAGATAATTCACTAAAATGCTTAAAAGTTGCTGAAATGTTGTTATTAAGGTCATTTGATATTTTTTCAGATGAAGTTGTAATTGTTGTGTTAAAATAGTTACATTTATATGTCTTATAGGATGATATAGGATCAGCCTTTAAAATTATTATTTCATATGCAAAATAAATGAATAAATATTATGAAGAAGGGAAAACATTTAAACGAAAAAATATCTCTAAATTATAATTTATTATGGCATATATTTTTGAATTTAATGGATAATATTTAAGTGCTCTTAGATATTTAGAAAGATCTAATCGTACATATACTAATTCTAAATCTAATAATTTTATAATATAAATGCATTTCTAGGCTAAGAAATTAAATCTAATTTAAAAAATAAAATAAGCATTTATAAGAATAAAAAATAAATAAGATCTTAAAGATCCAAATGATTTATCTTTGTTTTAAACTTTAAATGAACATATGTCTTCTACATTTCTTACATAATTTTATAAGTAAAGATTTGTATAGAAATCTTGTTTACTATTGGAGAAATATGGATAATGTATAATTAAAGTATAATAATTATAAAGACTTAAATGTAATGAAGAAGCACTAAAATATTTGAAGAAAACTATTAAGATTTTAAATAAAAATAAAAAAGATGAATTATATGCAATTTTATCTGGTTATGTAACTTATTTACGTCTTTAAAATTCTAAAAAACATCAATAAATTAAATTATTAATAAATTAAATAGAAATTAATTAAAGATATTTTATTTTCCCAATTAAAGAATATCACTTATTAAAATGTTTTATTTATCTAATGATTCTTTATACAAAAATGAATTAAGCAAAAAAAATTTAAGAAATTGATGCTTAAATTTAATTAGTAATTGATGAATTTTTTGAAAATCTTTAATGGAAAACTGTTTCAAATAACTATTTTAAAAATGCTCCTAATAAATTTGAATTATTGATCAAAAAAGGTAAAATATCTTTGCTTTATTAAATCTCTGCTATTATTGAATTAATAGAATACTATAATATTTTAAAGAAATAAATATTTAATATTATGTTTAATGGAAACTAATTGAGAGAACTCTATCAAACAATTAGAGTAGATTTCGAAAAGTTTATTAATGAAATCAATGTTTAATTAATAATTTAAAAATAAAATTGTTTAATTGGATATTGTTCTTAGATTAAAATAAAAAATAATATACCTGAAGATGAGCACAAAGATTTAAATAAAATTTAAGAAAATCTATAAATTTAATCATGCCATGAATAAGAGACTGATACTAATTAAAAAAAGGATGATTAAAAAAAAATTATTTTGGACATTAGAAGTTATTAAGAAATAATGTTATCCAAAAAACAGCCTCGAATATCAAAATTCAAATAAGGAAACAAAATAGAAGTGTAAAAATCAAATCACAGTTAAGATAATGCATCTACAAAACAAGAAAAATAAAAATCTGCAAATAATTCATATTATTTAAAATAAAATGACCTCAAAAAATCAAATAAATTAAATCCTTTTGAAGGTACCTTGAAAAGAACTCAAAGATCATTTTAATGAATTTATAATCGAATAAATTAAATACCTATTAATACAAAATAATTAATTTCAATTTTATTTTCATACATTCTACCTTTTCCTTATTTATTAATCAAATAAAATAATTATTATTAAAAAATATTCTTAATTTTTGTTACTTTGTATTTAGTACATTAACATTTTTCATATATTTATTCTTCAAATTATTTTATTTTTGAAAATACTATGTTCATCATTTGATTTGATAATATTTAATAAATAGTAGGCATAAGTAGATATTTATAATCTTTATTAATATTATAATAAATGAATGAATTTTCAATAGAGACTAAAATAAGAGAAGTTGTTTATGAATTGTCTTAACCTATAATGATGAGATGTAAATTTACATATATTAATATAAGTATCTGATTTTTTAAGATAAATGGATTAATAGTAACTGAATAATGATTATGTATAGTAGTAAATTAGATAGTAGAATGACAATCAATAAAATTATTAGCTTGAAGCTAATAAGATATCAACAGAAATTAATAATTTATAGAGATAGTAAAAATTATTAGAGTTAGAAATTATAAAGAATTAGACATAAGTTTAATAACAATCAATTAATTTTATATAAAAAATAGAATAAGTGGAAAAGGTATTGGAATAATAAAAGAATACTTCTTAATTTGTAATTAATTCATAAATGAAAACATAATCCGATTTAGATTAGCTAGTAAAAAAGTAAACAGAATATACTGAAATATTCAATAAAAAAATTGATGAATTTTTTAAAGATTATTATACATTTTTTGTGGATAGTAGAAATTAAGTGAATTAAATCTAAAAAAGTTAACAATTATTATCAAAGGATGTTTAAAACTAGAGTCTAAAATTAGATCAATTAGTGATCTTTAAAGATCTATCAGAAAAATAGTATTTAAGTATAACTAAAAGAGTTGAATGGATGATAAATGAGATGAATAATTTTGTGAATCAAGATTATTTTAAATTTACTTTAGATAAAGTAAAATAATGGATGTATATTTAGAGGAAGAATAGTCAAGAATAGAAGATAATTAATTTCTAAAGGGTACAATATCAAAACTATAAAATTAAATTGAGTTTTACAACAAATCCTTTGATGAAAGAATAAAAAGTTTAGAGATGTTTGAGATTAAAAATGATTAGTAGTGGAATACTTTTTAATAATAATTGAATAATTAAAATGAAAATTTTTAGAAACACTTTAAGGAAATTACAAAAGAATTGTAAAACTAGAATAAAGCTATAAATATGATTGAAGATTTTTAGAAAAATATTTAAGAGAAAATATCAATTATTGTAAATAATTAGATATCAGTGTTCTAAATAAATATTAATAATTAAATAAATAAACTTGAAGATTAATTTAATAGCCTTAAAGTTATAATAACAAAAGAAATGTCATAGGAGTTTAATTATAAATTGGAAGATATGCGTTAATAATTATTATAAGAATCCTTAAAATAATAGAACATAAAATTAGCAGCCTTTGAATTGTAAATTTTGGAGTAAAAAAAAAAATAATAATTGAGAGATGTTGAAGTTTAGGTTATCATATCTGATAATTAATTAAATCAATAGGAGCAGCTATAAAACTTTATAATAGAATAAATTGATATGAAACTTACAAATGGTATATTTATAGGGTAAAAAGGGCATGGAAGAAATACTATAATTTAAAATATGAAAGGAGGATTTAATTTAACTTAGGTTGGTTAAACTGATAATTAGTAATCTTTTGTTTAAAGTGAAGAATTGAATGAAGAATTAAATAAACAATTAGAAAATATGAAGATAAATATTAAATAGATGTTATTAGAGATAAAAGAAGATATGGAACAATAATTAAAAGTATATGAAGCAAATGTTTCTATTGCTATGTAGAATTTTGATAAACATCATTATCATGTATTAAAATTGAAATCAGATATATTTAATGATACAGAATATTTGAACAATCAAATAAAAATCTTATTTAGAGAGAAGGATATAATAAATAAAAAATTATAATTGGTTTTATAATTATTTTCAGGAAGTACTGAAGTTACCTAAATTACTGTTGCTTATCTACTAAAATAATTGAAAGATCCAATTAAATTTACATCAGTTTAAGGAATAGTTTTTGAATTAAGAAATGAAATATGCAATTACAGATAAACAAATTATTCTATAGAAGACTTAATGAAAAAATCATTATAGAGTTTTATAGATAGTTGGGATAAAAGTGAATTGTTAGAAGTAAAAGAATATAATCCACATTGGTATTTCAATAAATACATTTATAAAAATTTAGTAGGTCAAAGTAAAACTGTAGAAAGATCATTAGAAAAAACAATAAAATACTCTACTTAAACACAAGCAGATAGTGAAGTATATATTAATAGATCTGGAAGATAAAGAAATCTATCTTAAAGATAATCCATAATGATGAGTCTGGATTCAACAAGACAAAGAAGAGTTGCTGCAAATTCTGTGTTAAAATAATCAGAGCGTAATGATTCTAACGAACATTTACCAAAAGTGAAAAAGTGAACAAATTTATATAATTTATGATACATTATATTAATAATGAATTAATAAATTTATGGATTAAGAAAAAAGAAGAAGATGGATTCAAATATAATAATAAAAACTTGAGGATATTAGATTAAGGAAGTTTACTCCAGTTAACTATATGAAAAATGATAATATTAGATTAAGTAAAACTGAAAAGATTATATAATTGAAATAGCCATAAATGTTAAGACATTAATAAACTATGGCTATTGATGAATATATTTCTAAAGGTGATTGCAAATTAATCTTTTTATAATAATAAAATGAAGATATTGGATTTAAAACATTTACAGAAATGATGAAAACCAATTCAAGTTGGTGGGGTAAAGTAGATTAACTTAATCCAAATGAATCTACACTTAAAAATAGATTATAATTCAATCAATTTTAAGCTAATCAATTCACAAATTAATTAAATAGAAAATGGACAAGCACAGTAAATGAAATTACTGGAATGATTAACAAATAATAAGAGTTATAACAACTATAAAAAATAAAAAAAATTAAATTAAAACCTAAACCTATTCCATAAATAGAAGAAAATGAAGAAAATAATGAAGAAAACAATAAATAATTTGATCCCTCCTCAACTTTTGTTAAAGTTTTCTGGTTTAACATCTAAATTAATGAATGGAAACCTCCTGTAAGAGAAGGATGCTCTGTTACTTATATACCTTCTCTCAATAAGGCATATATGTATGGAGGTATTGGTAATGATTTATTTAAAAATGTAATTGCTTTAAATACATAAACTTGGACATGGAAAGATATTGGAGTTGGTAAAGGAGAAGCACCAGTAGAAGGAAGATTTGGACACACTGCAACATAATATAAACAAAGTATAATTATATATGGAGGAGAAAAAAAGTTTAACAATGTAATGAGGATTAGAGAATGTTATAATGATGTTAGGATGTTTAATCCAGCAGAAAAATTGTGGACATTAATAAAAACTAGTGGTGATATTATAGAAGGAAGAAGAAATCATATAGCATAATGTGTTGGAAAATATTTTATTATATTTGGAGGAATTAATTCTTATGGTAAAGTTTTAAATGATGCATGTGGTTTGAATTTAGAAACTAATAAATGGTATTTAATTATATATTATAGTTTAGGTCTATTTTACAAATAGAAAATTAATTTCTTGAAGGTGTATCTGATGCAGTTTCTGCTTCTTTATTCAATGGGGAAGTCAAAATGGAAAATCCATACTTTAGCTATGAATGCAATAAAAAGAAAGGAAAGTATCCTACTGTTACATAAGAGGGAATATATGTATTTGGTGGAAGAATGTAAAATGGAGAAGCCACAAATGATTTAAGAGTCATTTAATTCGGATTTAAACCTATTCGAATAATTAAGTTAAAAACTAAAGTACTTATCTGCAATCATTTTAGGGGTAAGTCCCAATTGCTCGTTATTCTCATAGTCTTAATTATTATTATAATTTGAATGCTTTAATTGTTTATGGAGGTAGAAATGATTCAAAATCGGATAATATACTTAATGATTTATATGTTTTATAATTAATGTAGATGAATTGGGTATTAGTTTAATAAATTGGAGGATTTAAATATGGTAAATTCAGTCACTGTAGTGTTTCAATAGATTCTAAAATCTTGATTTTTGGAGGATACACTTAAAATGTTTATGCTAATGCTGATATCTAATTAATTGAATTAGACTAAAATAAAGTTACTAAAATGATAAAAGAAAATAAGATTAATAATTAATTGACAATAAATAGTTTAGATTTATTGACTAATGCTAATTTGAAGGTTTTTAAAACTGAATTTTATTAAGATACTACTGATTTAGAATAGAATGAAATTCATAAACCATTTGATACTATGAGAATAAATTCAATGAATCTTAAGACTTTTATGCCTTTACCTACTAAGAATAATTCTTAATTGATGCAAGATTATAAATTACTTAGATTAAATTCTAAATTTTCCAAGACTAATATATTTTCAAGTATTTGAATAGTATTTTTATTAAAAAGATAATTGTATTTTATACTATACTTTAGATTATTTATTGTAATATAATTATCATTTTCTTTTTGTTGTTGCATTTGGAGGTTTTTTATTTTTAGTAACATTTTTTTTCTTTTGCTTATTAATTTGATCTACACTTTCTTTGTCTACAGCTATACCAAAACTTCCAATTTTTGAATCCTAAATTATTTAATTTAAATTATACCATTAATTTTTCATTATTTTTACATTGTTAATTTAATTTTTCAATAAGAACACTAGCCAATCTCTTTGTTTAATTTGAAATGTCATCATTTACAAAAATCAAAAATGATTAATCTTAATTATCAATTATAGCTTTAATCTCTCCATAATAAATCATCTATAATATTAATAATATTATATACCTTAAAAATTATAGTCTTTGTGACTTATTCTGATAATTCAAATCTTTACCTAAGATAATCAATAGAAATATTAGAAAATCCATTCTTAAAAGTATATAAATAGCATTTCAAAGCTTATTCTTAAACTCTTTCTTTAATTTACTATTAGACTTATTCATAAGAAGGGATTCTAGTCCAAAGTTATATTTATTTTAGAAGATCCCAACATTTAGTCCAATTTCCTTTGGCTAATTCTTTAGATGCAGCATATATAAGATCTCTCATATTTTCAGGTTATGGATTGAAAGTTTAAGAATCATAATATTAACAAAGTTATCGGAATTTTCTACTAATAATTTTGTGAGAATCCTCAAATGGATCTTAATTAATGTTTGGAACCTCTAATAACATAGCTGCCAATAAATAAACAAATTCAATAGTCTCAACATTAATTGACATATGATAAGGCACTGTATACCTATATTCTCCTTCAACTTATTTCATATAGTTTTATGAAAGTAAATCTTTCAGAACCTTGTCTCTACTCAATAAATCAGCTAAATGAAGATGAGTCTCAAAGATTAAACCTTATCTAAAAGCTCCAAATCCCAATTAAACCAAAGCTCTATTATAATATAATTAAATCAAAGTCTTCATTTATGAGATTTAATCATATGAGATGTTTGATATGAATATTTCATGAGCTTACTCATATTTTCCATTCAAAGCTAAATTATATACCCAATAAAGTGTTGCCTTTACAATGGTTTCCTTATCTCCATATTTTAGAATATTCTCAACAAGAGATTAAATTTTGGATGATATATCTCCATTTCCAAAAATTTATAGTGGAGTTGCTGCTTATTTATTAGTTTATAATTCCAATAACTTTTAGATGACAGCAGGACCAATATAATATATTGCTTCTAATTATTTGAAACTCATTAATGCAATATTAGCAGTGTCATTCTTGATTTTAAGTAATTCCAAGAGTTTTTAGGATAAATGTGTTAATTAATATAAATCACTGAGTCTTTCAGCATATTCTTATGTGTAATAATCAACATTTTAAAATGCTTTATTTAATTCAACTTCTAGTGTTTAGAAATTGACCAAAAGAGTACTAATAAATCTGAACTCAGAGAAAGAGTTTTCTTAATCATATTTACTATAAGTATGTAATTTTTCAACTTTGACTCCTTTATCTTAATGAAGTGAATACAAAAGGAATGTATTTTAATAGATTTATAACCATGATTGTCTATTGAAATAGAATGGTGCTTCTGATTTAGCTTAATCAATCTATAAAGAAATTGTGATAAGCAATATCTATGAGGATAAAATGAAGATTTACTTCCACAGCTCTTTGAAGATTTTCTTTGATAAAATATTATATGTATTTTTCACAGATGTATAAATTCTCTACTTAATTCTTTTAAACTCCTCTAGATGAGACAATTTACTCTAACTTCTTTTTGACTGCTTCAGCATCATAATCAATATGAATTTCTTTATTTTAAGCAATATCGAATTTAACATCATAATCAATATCTACAGTTACCTTTTTATTTGTTTTTTCTTATTAAATTTCTTCAATCTTTGCATCTTTTTTATCTGGTAATTTCTTTTTTAACCAATATCTTCTTCTAACCATTGGATCATTAGATTAAAGTAAATATTTATCATCATCTTCTGATTCTGAAGATTCTTCTTTTTATTATGCTTCTGGTTCAGAATCTGATCCAGCTTATTTTTTATCTGCTTTTACTTTCTTCTTTCTTTCATCTTCACTCTAATCAGTTGTAATAGGATTATTGATAAATTCATCTATTTTTTCCTTAATAGCTAAATGATTAATAAATTAAATTAATACTCAAATTATGCTTCTTAATTCTTTATTTTAATGTGTTATAAGCTTTGCTATTATTAACTCCTAATTTCTTTTTTTATTCAGCTGTAAATTAAAGAATCAAAACTTCTATTTAACACATAATTCTGATATAAAATCTAGGTAATCCACCCTCTTTTTCAAATACTTTAGCACTCTTTTCAACTTCCTTATTTAATTCTTCAAATTTATCTAATAATGTAACAAAATCTTAATTTTTGATTTTAATCTTAATTTCTTTTATGATTTCTCTTAATCTTGTATATCTTTTTTCTTTTTCTGTTACAATTACTCTCTATCCTTCATCATCATCTGAATCTATTAATCCTTAGATAATTCTAGTTCTTGTTGCTTATGATGCTTATCCTGCATCTACTTCAGGTCCTCCTCTAGGAGCCTCTTCTTCCCCTTCAGAATTTGATTCCTCCTAAAAGAATTTACTCATATAATTTCTTTTTAAATAAATGATTTATTTATTTCCATATAATAAAAATTTTTAATAAGCCCTAAAATATATAGATATTTTTAATAAGTCTCAAAAAAATAAATATATCATCAATTGCTACGAAATTTTGGAGATTCTGCAATTTTATTGCTCCCATAAAAACAATTTTCTTTCTAGTCTGAATCAAAGTTTGATTTAGTATCAATTTATAATTTTAACATCAATTATTAGCACCATTAATTAAATTGAATAACAAATTATCTCTTAGAAATCATTTATTAAACACAACTTTAATGTTCATCCAATCTCTTTTTGTAAATAGTCATGATATTTTAAAATGGCTTCATTTACATTGAATCAATAATATTCACTTCATTATGATTTATATCATCTTTCATTTTATATAATGAATCTGAAATAGATTAAGTAATTTATGTATAAGTCAATTATTCCTATTGTAATTACATACATAAGGAATCCTATAATAAATATAAATATATATATACTTTTAATTAAATGATAGTCTAAACAATAGAATGTAGTTATTATTCAATCAATTTCACTTGAGTTTAAAGTTAATCTAAATGCTATATTTTCATTATGTTTTATGAGAGTTATTCTTTAAAATTATTTAAACTTCTCTTTCTCTCTTCCATCTCTAAAAAACTATTAATTTCAGTTGGTAATTAGATTTCATTCCCATTAGTAATTCTACTAGGACATTCTTTTGCAAATTTTTTATTCATTAATTAACATTCACTTAATTTAGGTGATTAAGTAGTCTTGCTCATTAAATTTGATGCTGACAAACAATTTTGTAATTTAGGAGATATTTATATATTATTTTTTGTCCTATCTGATATAGCCTTTGAATCTTGAACATTTTTGTTATTCATTTTACTTAAAATTAGAGAAATTTAAGATGCAGTGGCTTATGGCTATTCCTTACATTTTGTCCCCTTCTAATCCTTTGATTAATTTTTGGCTTTTATGTAGTATTGATGAACTGATTTCAGCTACATAAATTTAACTAACTTTTTTTATTATTAAATTATTGTCCTAGATATTACAAAAAATGATTATTATGCATTTAGTACATTAATATTATTTTCATGTACAAGTTAAACATTTATGCTTCTAAACAATTTTTCGATTTACAGACCCCAGTCAACTTTCTAGTAAAAAAAAAAAATTTTGCAAATGTAAGAGAGATTAGATAGAAAAATAATATTGAATTAGGTCTTAAAATGGGTTCTTATTCACTACCACATAATATATGGATTAATACTCCTCTTACTACAAATCGAATTATAAAACCTTAAGGATCTTTGGCACTCCATCAAAAATTTAATAAATTACCTATTTATATGGGAAGAAAGGATATGATTAAAGAATTAGAGAAATTTAAATAAAGAGCTAGCTCTCCATCTCCATCAAAAAAACAGAAAAAATATCATAACTTATTTTATAATAATTTAGAAAGGAATGAAAAATTGAAGAAATATTTCAAGGCCTCTTCATAAAATAGTCCTTAAAAATTAAATAGTTTATCCAATTTCGATGAATCACGCTAATAAATATTTTCATCTAAAAAGTTTTATGAAATTAATTATCAAAGATTAAATTCTGTAAAACCATCTATACAACCAAAATTTCCTTAATTGAAAAAAACTTAAATGACTGAATCTAGTGAAATAGATAATAGCGAATTAATGAATACATCTATCAATTAAAATATTTAAGAGTGCTTCTCACCAAAAAAAGAAAAAATTTAAAACTAAAAGTATTATTAACCAAATAAATGTATTCTTTAAAGAAATAAGTTTTTAAATGATTCATACAGATTATATGGATTTGTAACAGAAATAAAAGATTAAAAATAAAAATATTCAGCATTACAAAATAGTAATTTCATTAACCTAAATAAATCAGTTGAATAAAATAATTATGCAAATTCATCTAAATCAAGGGATGTAACTCCAAAAGATAAAATTATGAAAAAGTCTAAGTCTTCTAAAGATAAATTATAAAATTTGCTTAAACAATCTCATCAAAAAAATCATGAAAGACATTTTAAAACACCTAATAAAAAATATAAATCTCCAAAAAAAGAAGAATATGAAATTAACAAAAATAGAAATATTGTTCTTTCTTATTTTCCAAAATAAGATTTAGAATAGATTCTTAAAAAAAAATAATAATAAATATGAAAAAAATATTTAACTACTTTTCTATTAATTTATATTTAAAAATATAACTTTATCTAAGATCTAATTATTAAATATAAATTATTATTTTTAATATTATTAAAACTTGGTTAATGTATTTTTCATTAAGATAATAAGTTCTTATACCTCTTTTCCTTACAAATTTTAATTAATTCAAAATATTGACATAATATGGATTCAATTTCATTAATTAATATAGTAAATATATTCATAATTAAATATGAGGTAAGTCCATTAATTCTTTGGATGTCATAATGAATACATCTCTTTTCATAGGATCTGTTGCTAACCATATCTATGATGAGTAAGCTTTGCAAAAATCAGTATCTGAATCATCATCACTTGTCATTTGTCCTCTGGCTTTTTAACTATATTTTTAATATAATAATTACTTTTAAACTAATCTCATTAATTATTCCTTCTATTCTGTTAAATATTGATTACCAATATCTTTTTTTTCACTCTCTGGCTCTCTAAAATAAACACTTTTCTTTCCCTATACTGATTTGGAATATGTTTTTTATGATCCAACATTTTCCTTTCTATTTTTAAGATTTGATCTCAATTAAATAGTTGTTTTCTCTAAGAAATCTTTGTCATCTTCGTCATCACTACTGTTGTCAATTAGTTTTCCAGCATAAGGAGTCCATTTAGAATGTTATACATTATACATATCATCTTCTAATAATTAAACTTCACCCAAATCATGAAACACAGGATATCTAGGTTGACTTACAAACTTTTATTCTTTCCTATATTTTGGACCTTTTTCCCTTTCTTAATGTTTACGAGCATATTCTTATCTGGGTTTTTCGTATTAAACCTCTTTTACTGCTGATTTTTTCTTTTTCTACATTAACATTTATTCTTTTATTTCCAATTCCACTTATTCTCTAAATCCCATTTTCTATTCCTCCTAATAATCTCCTTTATATTAAGGCAATTCTGCCTCAGCAAATATAAACTCTCCTAAATCTTGTTATTTAATAGTTGTCTTTTATGCTTTTTAAGGATTTCTTGACTCTTTAATTTATGATTACTTTATCTATTTTTCTACTTCTCCTTTAATATCGATTTGTTAACCAATTTCTCTTTTTATCTTTTATTCTTTTTCAGTAAGAGGTTCTGGATTCTTTAAATTAATATTTTTTCTATCTTTAAGATCAGTTTTTAATTTTTCAATTTTTTTTTATTTCTTTTCTTAATCTTCTTTAAATTCTCTAACTTCTCTATTTGTCATAACTTTACCATTTTTAACTTTTTATTAATAATGTTAAACTTTTCCTTATTCACCAAGATCTTCTGCTTCATCTTCAGCTTCTTCAAAAATTTCTTGAACTCCTAAATCATCTTTAGATTGCTCTATTTTGCTTAAACTAACAGATAGTCCAACTTTATTGTCAAATTCTTTATTTGGAGTCCATTTTCGTTTTTTCATTGATGAAAAGATGGCTTTAACTTCTCTATTAATATAATCAATCTTATGTTTCTTTATTATTTATTCCTTTTACTTTTATTTTTTTTGTTATTTCATTTCACCAATAATATTTTTAGCATTTTATTCATAAAAATCTTAATTTAATTTAGAAGAATGTTAGGATTTACATCTAATAGGAGATTTAGATTTTTCCCTTTAAGATAATGAAAATTATTTTTTATCAATGGCCTTTTGAGCTTCCTCTACCCATATTTTCTTAAAACGAGATTCTCTCTCTTAACTTTCAGGAAATAACTTAGCTAAATTAATTTAATTAGGTTATTTTTCTTCTTCCTATTAATCAACTTTTAATACTCTTTCTTATTCCTTTTCTTCTTATAATTTTGTATACTTCATTTTTTCCTCTTGTAATTTCTTTTAATTCACACCCCATGCAAATTTTTATTCAAAATTCTCTCTTTAAGTATGAGCTCTAACAATTTATTATTTACCATATTTTTTCATTCTATCTCTTTATTATAATTTTTCTTATCTCATTCTCTCCTATCTTTCTGCTTCTTCCTTTTTTGAATGTACAAATTTTTTATTATTTTCAGCAACAATTTTATTAACATTGCGATATACTTATGGATTTGATTCAGGTTAAGGTGGTTATCTAATTTCATCGTCTCCTTATTCTCTATCTGAAATATAGGATTCAGTTCCACTTGCCTATGAGTCATCATCTTAATTTTATGTAAATTTCTTCTATTCAAATAATGCTCCCGCTAAATTGGGGAATTATTCATTTAAAGGTTTAAATTATCTTGGTTCTCTGTAAGGAGCATTATGATTGTAATTTGGTGATTTAGATTTAGGAGATTATTTTGGTGATTGTTGAGATTCAGGAGATGATAATTTTTATGATTTTTAATGATTTGTAATGTTCTAAAATACAGTATGAGATTATATTGTTGATTATTATTTTTTTGATTCTGATTGCTTTTTTGAATTTGGAATTTAAGTTGATTTTTTAGGTATTGTTTTCTGTGAAGAATTATTATTAAATGTATTTTGTTTACTTTTTTCTTTCTTTACAGGTTCTTTAGATTATTTAACTAATTATGGTTGTGGAGTTGCTGTAAACTTCAACACTTTAACATCTATCCATATTATAAATTATTACTATCATTAATAGGTTATCCATCAATATTGTATAGAACTACTTTATCAACTTTCCTACCTATTATTGCATTAGACATTCGTTATTTATATAATTTAATTAATTCAATTTATAATTTGTATATTCATAAATTACTTTATCATTTTGGTATACTCATTGTAACTATAATTTATTAAGCTTAAGGTTTATTTGTTCCAATGATAAGTATTTATAAAACTTCATGCTTAATATCAATTGAAGAATTAATATAATAGATATTCAATAGTGTATTACTTAATATTATTAAACTACTTATCCTTTCCTTTTATGAATCTTTTCTGATTCAGCTCATTAGTAGATAAATTTTATAAATTAATAAATTTAATAAAAAGGCATTCTGAGATTATAAATTGAAAAATAAATTTATTAAATCTTCACCAAATTATTGCTATTCTTTGATTATTATTTATTGATCATATTTAGTAATAAATTTAATGATAATAAATAGAAAAATATCTTTTGAAGATAATAATAATAATAATTTTGTTGACAAAATTTATGAAAAGATCAAATAAAACTTATAAGAATTGCTGATATGATACCTCCATTGAATTTACCTATTAGTATTTTCACTAAAACCATTTTATCAATTTTCTACATTTATAAGGATGAAATTTAGAATTAGAATAAAATTTTTGCAAATTAAAGATATTTAGATATTTAATATATTTGAGCTTATAAAATTAAATCAGTACATTTACAGAAAACAAATAATCAATTACTAAGAAAGTATTTTAGAATTGAATAAATCTATAACTATAAAACTATTCAAAAAAAATAAAATTTTAGTTTACTTTAATTGATTTTCTTAGAATTAAATTTCAATTGCTATTTAGATAGCTTTAATTAGAATGGTAATAAAAAGAATTTAATTAAATTAAATTTTCATATATTTTCATATAATTTTACTATATCAATAATCTTGAATGCTGATTTGAAATCTATTTTTTTCTTTAGTTAATCATATATTGAAATATCTTATCGATCATGGATTTTCTATTCATTATAATTACTTTAGAAATCAAATAAATCATCAAGATTTATAGATATCTATGATAATTGTAATTATTTTACTTCATCTTCTTCATCTCTTTCATTATGATCTTTAAACTTACTTACTTCAATTTATTTATGATTTTAAATATTATCTCTATTTAAATTTTTTTCTGAACATACTTCAGTCTATTAATCGTCAATTTAATCTTTTTATTAAAACTCATCAAATTAAGAAGGTATATCTAATTTCTTGGTCTATTTAAGACATGATTTAGGATTTTACAAATTTCCATTTTTAAAATCCTTGATATTTTTTGAATTTTAAACTTCATTCTAATTATTTGAAGTCATTTTTGATTAGGATACTTCTTATAGGTTTTTCCATTCAATAATGCTATAGAAATGTTGATAATCTTCAAGATCAGAATAATTTCCAGTTTCTTCATCAGATGATGTTTAATCATAGAACCATTTACCTTTAGTTGAACTTGATATTTTTCTGCATAATTGTTTCCTATTCTTTTTACTCAAATATTCAGATGGACATTTAAAAATAGAATGAATAATGTTTTTTTCAAAACAAAATGTTACACTTTTAGTTTTCTTTCCATCTTAATCCTCTTTTGTCTAATTATCTTGTACTTTTTAAATTATAACTTATTAAAATTATCAAATGGTTATTTTAATTTATAACAAAATACTACTTTTCAAATATAATAACAATTTTAATTGTAGATTAAAATTAATACCAATTCTAATAAAGTTAATTGTTAATTTTGGTTCTATTAATAAATATATGATATATTTCATTTTATTTCAAATGCCTTATTTATGTTCCTTTAAATAAGTAAAATAGTATTAAAATGTTAGCAATTATATTTAATTATAAACTGCTAGAGTTCATATTTGATAAATATATTTATAGATGAAAAATCTTAGTATTAATTTAAAAGGTTTATTATATTTTAGTTTGATATGCTATCTACAAGTTTAATCCCCATAACATATATTTTCAATCAATATAACATTTATATTGCTACATATGATATAATAAATAGATAAATAAAATAAAATGATCAACTAATAACATATACACTCTAAAAAGAGAGAGAATGATTTTTATTACTAAAATTTGATTTTAGAGTTATTGATAAATTATTCAATCAAAAAATGCATAAATTCATATATTTAAACATATATATATGTTTCATTCAATTTTTATAAATTTAATCAATTTATATTAAGTTAAATTATTTTTACAAATATAATTATTTCGAATATGAATAAATTAATACGTTTTCTAATAAATCAGTTAAGCAATTACATTAAATCGAAAATCTCAACATTATCAGAATATATATTCAAGTATTATTAAGATTTAACTCTTTATGTGAGATTCTTTTTAATGGCCATATGTATCGGGTAGGATGTAAATTCAATTTTATTTACCGTCCTAATTTCTATTTAATCAAAGTTTTTCATTTTTGATTAAAGTTACTATCCTATCTTAAAAAGATATATTTTACAAATAAATTAGATTTATATCTCAAAATTAAGAAGATATAAATTTGAATTATAATTGTTAAATAAATGAAGAGTTTTTTTCACCTAAATATAGACTTGGATAAAAGGAGTTAATTTTGTAACAAATAAATTATAAAATGGAAACTTTTAAAATTCGGAAGTAATCCTTAAAGTTGAACATCAATGAAATTATTTTGGAGTAATTTAATTCAGTAGAAAAAATGAGAGCTTTAAGATATTATATAAAATATTTATTATTATTTTCTATAAATCAAACAAAACAATTATTGTTAGAATCATGCTTGTCTAAGAATTTAGTTTGGAAAATTCTTAAATATAAAGTTGAATAATTTTGTTTAAAGTTGATATATAAGTATAACAAAAATACAATTCATTCATTATTTTTACAAGTTCTTTTAATTTTTGGTTTATTTACTAGCAAACTCATTCATCTCTTTTTGAAATTTAGAGAATACATTATTATGAATTCCTTATTGAGATGGAATAGCTTGAAAAGTAATAAAATTAGAGAATTATTATTCAGATGGTAAAGTTTAAAAAGAATATTGTTAACCAGTTGACAACTAAGAAGATTTTTGTCTTTCTTTAAAAACTCCAAACTGATGCTGTTTTTTAGGTTAATATTCTTCATCTGAATCAGAAAGTGAAACCATTTATTGTGGCTCATCAAAAGGTGAAGCATGTTTAGTATTTTAAGGAGGACTGNATAAATTATTTTTACAAATATAATTATTTCGAATATGAATAAATTAATACGTTTTCTAATAAATCAGTTAAGCAATTACATTAAATCGAAAATCTCAACATTATCAGAATATATATTCAAGTATTATTAAGATTTAACTCTTTATGTGAGATTCTTTTTAATGGCCATATGTATCGGGTAGGATGTAAATTCAATTTTATTTACCGTCCTAATTTCTATTTAATCAAAGTTTTTCATTTTTGATTAAAGTTACTATCCTATCTTAAAAAGATATATTTTACAAATAAATTAGATTTATATCTCAAAATTAAGAAGATATAAATTTGAATTATAATTGTTAAATAAATGAAGAGTTTTTTTCACCTAAATATAGACTTGGATAAAAGGAGTTAATTTTGTAACAAATAAATTATAAAATGGAAACTTTTAAAATTCGGAAGTAATCCTTAAAGTTGAACATCAATGAAATTATTTTGGAGTAATTTAATTCAGTAGAAAAAATGAGAGCTTTAAGATATTATATAAAATATTTATTATTATTTTCTATAAATCAAACAAAACAATTATTGTTAGAATCATGCTTGTCTAAGAATTTAGTTTGGAAAATTCTTAAATATAAAGTTGAATAATTTTGTTTAAAGTTGATATATAAGTATAACAAAAATACAATTCATTCATTATTTTTACAAGTTCTTTTAATTTTTGGTTTATTTACTAGCAAACTCATTCATCTCTTTTTGAAATTTAGAGAATACATTATTATGAATTCCTTATTGAGATGGAATAGCTTGAAAAGTAATAAAATTAGAGAATTATTATTCAGATGGTAAAGTTTAAAAAGAATATTGTTAACCAGTTGACAACTAAGAAGATTTTTGTCTTTCTTTAAAAACTCCAAACTGATGCTGTTTTTTAGGTTAATATTCTTCATCTGAATCAGAAAGTGAAACCATTTATTGTGGCTCATCAAAAGGTGAAGCATGTTTAGTATTTTAAGGAGGACTGTTATCTACTTCTAAAGTTTCAACTCGTTCCACCCTTTTGCAACATTATCCATTACCCATTTATATTTATTAATTAATATTAATAATATAATTTTTGTCATTTTGGTACAATCTAATGTCTAAGTGGAGGTGTAAAATACTTCTTTTGGTTTAATGAAATATTTCTATTTTAATTATTATATCATACCTCAATTAATTAAAATAGAAGGAATCAATATTTTAACAAGGAAAGTAATATTTAAAACTATGCACTTTATCTATATCATAGCTATCATTAGATTTTTCAACATATTATTATTTAAGTTCACTTAATTATACTTCATCAATTTCAAATTCATCTGCATTTACAATAATATTTTTTTATTTTATTTTTCTCCTTTTAATTTTTTTTCTTTATTATTATTTATATTCATTTTTGACAATTTATGATCCCATAACACTTTTTTAAGATTCAAAAGTGAAATGAGTTAATGGACAACAATTACTCATATGATCTGTTAAATTACATGTAAAGCAACTTAATTACTAATTTAATAATATATTTGAATAAATACCAATAAATCATATCTTTTGCCAAGCATTACTAAATCTTTTAATTAACAATATCTTTCATAATCTGCTTCAAATTTCAATAAAGTATTAAGAAATGTTGTCCTATTAATTTAATATAAAGTTGTTTAAGTTTTAGTTTTTGCAGAACATTGTCTACCATCCCCTGTAATAAAAGAGTATTATCCAAAAACTGCCCCACTCTTTAAATGAGCAATCAAAGGTTAAGCTACATTACTATTATTAATAAATAAGTCGACTTATCCTTCTTTTAAAATATATAATGAGTAATCATCATTAATTGATTCTTTATCTAAAAATATTGTTTCATCAGCTGCAAAATATACTTCTCTTAATTCTTCTGATAATTCCTTAATAAATTCAAATGTAAAATTATCACTCATCCAAGGTATCTTAATTAGATCCATACCATAAGATTCAAACATCAACTCTTATCTTAAAGATGGAGCTAATGAACTAATAATAACTTATTCTAATTTCTATTCTCTTGCTCTCTACTTATCCCAAATATGATCTAAATACTTTCTTATTTTAGCTTATAATGAAACTGATATCTATTTATCTCTCATGAATCTATTGATAGCTATTAAATGTCTATTAATTATAATATAATTTACATACTTCTAAAACTTTTTCTTACTTGCCTTATATTCTAAATATACTTCTTAAATAGTTTATACATTTAAAGCAAATAAAAATATTGCTGTTAACATAGCCATTGTGCTTATCAAAATTTCTAAAGGATTAACAGGAGTAATATCACCATATGAAACAGTTGTTAATGTTGCAACAGACCAATATAATGATAAGAAATATTGAGATTATAATGATTTACTGTAAATTTCACCATTAAACATATCATTTTCTAACCATGTACCCCAATTAAAATTCTCTTCATCTTCTTATTTCATATCATACATATATATTCCTGCACGATAAAACAAAGCTGCATTTAATTATACTATTATTAGAATCTCAACAATTAACTTAAATATTAAATAAATAGTTTTTGATTTTCTATGCAACTGAACTCTTTCTTAAAATCTTTAATCATAAATTGAAAGTCTATAGAACTTTAAGAAAAAGAAGTATCTTATAATTGTTGACTCATTCACTTAATCTGATATTAGACATAGATATAACACAAAAAGTGGAATAAAATCAAATAAGAACCCATTTTTTAAATAATTTATGTACACTTATTTTTTATTCTTTACATATTCTCCTCTTTCGAAATAAGATACATGCATTTCTATTAATATATCTAATGTCATGAAAAGAGTGTAGAGAATATTCAATAAACCTGTATATCCTTATTTCCATTAATCCCAATACCATTCTTAATCACCCTCATTTTTTGAAAAATATAGATTTATCACAAGAAAGTAAAAGTATGTTAATAAACAAATAGACATTATTATATTCCATAAATTAAGGTAATTAGATGTTGGTTCTATAACTGAAATTTTGGAACTTTTATTAATTATATATATTCTTACAAAAATCTCAGAATCCATTTATTTGATAATTAGGACTTTTCATTATCTATTATAGAAAATTTCTATTTATTAATGATCTCAATTGCATTCTTTGTATATTTATTTCTAATCCAATGGCTACTTTTATCATCAATTAATTTAAGATGATTGCTCAATTAAATTCCCCATTCTTGTACACTTTTCTATGGCTACTCTCGTTGCACATCTGCTTTCTATTCTAATTGATTAAGGATCTTCATATTAATCCCATCTTTACGGATTAATTTGCAAACTAATTCTTTGAAATTGGCAATTTATCTTGTTCTAATAGAGATGCTGTAGGGTCTTCATTTACTGAATTGATATTAATTCTAGGCATCACAAACGAAAATGATTCTGCATTCATTTTTTTCTTGTTTAGAGCAGCATGTTTTCTAAAAGCATACATTTAGAATAGATGAAAATTTAATTAATCATTTATGATTAGCATATAATACTAAAATTTATCAAATATAATTAGTTATAAATTATAGTAATAATCTTTTTTCATTTATCTTAAATTATTTGATTCTAAAATCATTAATTTTTAAGTAGAAAATTATTATAATATATATATATATATATTAATAATTAAGTTTAAGAATTACTCATTGATTTTTAATTTAAACTACAAAAAAATCATCTATATATATAATTTTACATTTATATAATAATTATGTATGTTTCAACGTTTTTTCTTATAATCCTTAAAACTTTCCATTAATTATAATTATACGAGTTTTTCTTCCTCAGAAATACCTTCGAAATTGAATTCCTAATTATCAACTTTTTATGGAACTCTTGCTGGTATTACAGATTATGGTATTGGTGTTTTTTAGATTGGCTGAGCTTTTTCTTTTTTTTCATCTAGTAACATTTAATTAAACATTTATTATTGTAAATACTCTTCTGAACTTATTCCAAATTCCTCTTCTAACTCTATTTATTTCTAAATCTCTCTTGCTATAGCTGTATCTGGTCTTCTTAATATAGGATTATTATTTTAAGTTTAAAATTGTTATTTATCATTTTAAGAATTTTTATAGCTCTCTAAACTTTTCTATGCTTGTGTTGGTTACTTTTACTATTATTATGTTTATGGTTGGGATTGTTAGGATTATTTATTAATATACTATTATCTTTCATATTAATTATCAAATTATGTTGTCTCTTCTTTTTTTTATGAATTCTATTATTTTTAATTATATGATTATTATTTTGACTATGTTCCTGATGTAATGTTCTATTGTTAAGGTCTTTAACCTGTTTAATTATTAGAAGATGGAGGTCTAATACCATCTTTTTATCTCTATTTATCTTCATCTGTTAGTTGATATTTTGATTTTTATTCTCCTGCTGCTTATCCAAATTTATATCCAGATCCTATAGGTTTAGTTTATTGTTGTTATTATTATTGTTATTAGACTTATTATTTGGATTAGATTTAACTTGAAGCATTTTATTAAGGTGTTTCCTTTTTACTATTAAATTTCTATTGATCAATTCTATCATCAATTTTAGACATGTCATAATTTGGTCTATCATAAATTTCTTAATTGGATGGTTTTTTCTACACTTAAGAAGATTCAACTTTAGGTTTAGGTTTACATTCCTTTACATGACTTGAATATTCTCTCATTATTATATAACTATTGCAAATATCACATTTTTCTGTTCTACTTCCACATTGATTTTCATGTTAAAATAATTAATCAGCTGGGAAACTAAGATCACAATGCATACATTATTTTGGTTTCTTATAGCATTTATGTTTTTTCAAATCTATTTTTATAATATAGATAAGTGACCTTCAAATTCCAATAAACAATATTAACATTTTTCTTTTTTATGGTATTCCTCCTCATGACTTTCTGGATCATTTTTATCATAAAATACACCACATTTAAGACATTTTATATTATTACGTAAACAATATGTTTCATGAAGCATATGTTTAGATTCTGCAATTGGTTATTTACAATTAGAACATGGGATAGTAATTTCGTTCATTATATTATTTAATTCAATTATAACGAAATACAAATTTTTATTTCAAAATGTTCAACATCTATTCGTTATCTGGATGATACACATTATAATCTATAAACACAACTTGATATCCAAGTCTAGAGAAATACTCAGCTGCCCTTTCAGTCTCAATAGTATATACTTTATGTAATCCTCTAATTAAACGAGGATACTCATCTAAAAAGACTACAACCTTCTATTTTGTACAAGCAAAATCAACAAGATGTGGAAAATCACTATAATTCATAATCCATTAATTTTTATCAAGTTTCAATGCTTACCACATTAATTCTTTGAAATGAGTATGTTAAATTACATTTTCACTCCTCTATGTTAGTTTCCAATAAATATTAAAATCTTAATTTGAATAAGTTTCTTCTATAGTATACTCTTCAAATGGATTTTTTAATATTGGAGATAATTTATTGTGAGGTTTTGGACGAGCAAAATTGAATGCTTATAATAATCCTTAATAATTTTTGTTTCTATATTACAATTTTCTAGATTTACCTTATTCTGTTAATTTTATTTATCCTTCAACTTTATCAATAAATTCTTAACAATCTTAACAAGTATTATATACTTAATCTATTTTTTTTTTATTTGCAATAATTATAGATTTTAATTCTTCATTAAATAAATTAGGCCAAATTTGATTAATCTAAATTAAATTTTCTAATAGATTTGGTAAATAAATAAGATTATTTACTAATTTAAGAATTTATGGAGTTTTAAATAATTTAGTTTATGGTTAGAATTCTGGATTAAAAATTGATACATAATATAAAACTTCAATATAGCTTAGAATAGGTTCTAAAATTGAAACTCTTTTATTTATTTTTTAATTTGAAATTCTTTGAAATCCATTTTTATATAAAGTATTTTATAAAGATTTAAATTTCTGAGTTAAATTTACAATAAATTATCTTTAATTGACATGATTTTATGTTTCTTAATTTTTATTATTATTTTAAAAATATGGTAGAATTTCTGCATATTCAGCATCATTAAAATCAAGTTCTGCTTCCTATTCCATATTTTGATTAAAAATTTCCTCAAAATTTAATAATTCTTCATCTTTAATATTATTAACATATGAAGTGAGAGTATTTTTAATAAAATTATCAACATCATCAAGTATAGTGTGATCTGCCATTATGGATCGTAATCCTTTAAGAGCATTACTATTCAATAAATACATAATCTGCTTTAAATCATACTTTGATATTTTGAAGTTTAAATTTTATTTATGACATTATTTTAATAATAAGTAATACAACTATGGATTGAAATACTTAAAATACACTATAAATATATATGATTATTATTTACATGGTAATGCATAAATCATATGATCAGCTTTGAATTCACCTTATTATATTGTATTAGAAATTAAATGATTAAGAGATTTTTAGATTAATTTAAAATCATCTGGTTTATAAATCCATAATAATTTCTTAGCTACATCTTTAGTATTCAAATTTCGATGAACAACAAAATTATAATTTTTATTAAACATTCTCTCCAATCTTATTAAATATATAATATATTATATACATTTTTGCATAAGCTATCTTAATTTCTGAATATTATTCTTCACTCAAAAAACTAAAATGATGATTTATCATTAATTGAGAAAACTCATATTTCATAATTTCAGATGCTACTAATTCAAAATTACTTAATTTTTGTATGTATTTATTACACAAATAATCTATAAATCCTGGTTATAATCCTAAATCATAAGGAGATGTAGCACAATAATCAAATAATGTCATTATGTTTCTAAATTAAAGTAATGATAATGATTCTATGAATTCATCATCTATCTTTAAATTTTGAATAAATTTCTAAAAGATATCTGGATGTAAAAACCCAGCTTATTAACATAATCTCATATATTCTATCTATTAATAGATATTAAGCTAATCAAATATTTTAAGACCATTTAAAAGTAGGTTTTATGCTATTACTGAATAAAATGCTGGTAATAATTAAGCTTCTTTGTTTAAATATGTGATCAGCATATTTTCACTAAAATTCATTTAATCTGCTACAAATCTTTCTAATACTTCCATTTAAACTTATTTTTAAATTTCGAACTGCAAATCCTTTTTAATATATGCTTAAAACAGCTATTCTTAATTAAAAGTCTTGTAATTTTAACGAACATAGTAATTCAGATTTTCAGTCTATGATATTAAAAATTAATACAGCTTCATTTTTTAAACTCCTTTCAATATTTATTTATATCCCAGTAGAATTTTGAAAGAACTTCAACCATTATCTACCTCCTGTTGCTGGCTCTGTTATTGTAGAAAAGAGTTATCTAATTTTAAAAATCATGAGTTAATTATCACAAATATATTTTTTTAATAATTCTTTGGCTTCATTATTCTTATTTCCAAGTTCCTCTAATCCTTATTTATGCACTCCAATATAGACTATATTCTAGATGTACTCTAAATTTATCTTTCTTACTATAGACAATAATCTCAGATGACTTGTATGTATTGTATAGTGTAAAATTCTATTGAGAATCTACTTTATGTATATATGATATGAAATATTCTCCATATATATCATCATTTATCTTAGAAGACATTGATTTTGTATGTTAAATTGGTTAAGCATATCCACTATTAGGTAACCAATCTTCTTTTCCACAATCTTATTTAAATAAAACATTCCTAACTAAAGTATACAAATTTGTGCTATTCTTTATTCAAATTTTAAAATTAGATTTTTTCCCATTAGTATACATTTATTTACTAGATTTTAATTTCCTTTATTGTATTCTACTTTTTTATTTATAAATCAGATTGAGTAATATTTTAGGTTTACACTTATTAAAAATCATCTGTCAGACCCATATTCATTATTAAATATTCCATTAATTTTGTAACAATATTCAAAAATTCCAAATACTTATACATGCTCATTTATGGCCAAAAAAATTTTATATTTGAGATGATTTCGTATTTAAGAAATAATGACTTGCATCTTTTCTCTCCACTATTAAGGCAATCATTTTGGTTTTATTGAATATCCATACCAACTTGTATTCTGTGAATTTCTAATTATTGTGCAACACTTTAACCAAAAATCATCTAAATATTCAAATAAATATGCAAAATTGATTTCATCCTGATCTTCTTCTAATATATTTAATTAATATGTGAATCCTTCTATTAAAAATGAAAGGTCTTATAAATTTTTAGATATCTCTTGTGAACTTCTAGTACTTACACTGAGTTTCGCTTCAAAAATCTTATTAAGAACTTCCATAAGCAATGTAAAATAATTAAATGAGAATGAACTTTAGCCTGTAACAAACTCATAGTGTCTTTTTCATTTCTATTAAAAATAAACTAATTTATTAATTATTTTCTTAAAAAGTACATAATATAATATACATAATTTTATTATGATTAGTGAAGTTATTATTGGCATAAAAATAAGTTTTGGATATATTAGGCTTATTTTTACTAATTTAATAATGTATCTTTATCTCATGTTTGGTTGGTTTATCAATTTAAAGTATGGTAAAGATAATTTATTTAAAAAAATGAAAATAAGAAGATAAGATATCCTTTTCTTCATATATAATATCATTTAGAAAGACCCAAGTAATAATTTTTAAAGTAAATAAAACTTTATTTCTATTAGATTATTTACTATGGACATTTTAATATCTTATTGATAAGTATTTAATACTATCCTAAAATAAAAAAAAATATTTAATTTAACATTATTCAATTCTATTAGATAATTTTATATAATTATTTAATGCAAAACAATTTCAATATAAAATCAATACTCAAAATGGATGAAATAAAAAGAGAGAAATGAGTACAATTTTTATAGATATAAGAAAATCAAGAGTTCTTTTAAATTTTTAGAATAAATAAATAATAATTGAATAAGTAATTTTTCTAAAGAAGATAATATTATTATCTATTATAAAATAAATAATACAATTATATTATAGTTCACTATTAATTATACATTTAACCAAATAAATTCTTAACATAATTTTCAAATAATTCTTCACTACATTAACTAACTACCTTTTCTATTAAACTAATATTTTAATATTACATATATATTCTTATTAATCTTCTTAATTTTCTTCTATTGATTCACAATCAACTTATCTAATATCTTATACATCTTAACAAATAGCTTCCAAATCTTTATCAACTTCTACTAATACTTTATCTTTTAATGGCTATTGTATTTAATTGAGACCTTCAATAAGTTCACTTAATGAAATCATCATCAATCTCAAATGACATTTGGCTATATTAATCTATTGATTTTACTATTTTATCTTTGATATCAAATACATATAGTAGATTTTCGTCATCATAATTCTAAGTATCCTGTTTTCTTTCAGTAAAATTGTACGAGCAATTTAACATGATAGAATTTTCAGGCTAAAAAGAATTTTAGAATTTAGATTAATTACGAATACTCTATTAAATATTTTTCATAACATAACTGCTTTCAAATCTTTTTATATCCATTTCTAAAATAGGCATTTTTTCATATTATACAATTTAATTTTGATTTTTCTATCCTAAATAACTTTAATTAGGTAATGCAATACTATTAATAATAGCATAATTTTATTCAATTTTTTGTTAATCCTTAATTTAATCTTATTTTAATTCAAGATTAGATGTTTTTTTCATTAATTGTCTTTTCATAATTTTAGAATTTTGTTTCTTTTGAAATTCTTACATACTTTTTTGTTCTTCATAAAATGGATTATGTAATAAATCTTATTCCTCTTATTTTATATCAATTTTATTTATTTAAATTTACTCTTAAATTTATTAAGTAACTTGATTTAATTATTTTTTTATTTCACTTGCATGTTAAACTCCTAATGTTAAAGCCAATAAATCTAATCTTGGTGTTTCAGATACTATTTTAATTTGTTCATTTAATCCTTCATCACTCTCTGAATCAAATTTTATAATCTCATCCACTTCAATTTATTATTATGATTATTCTTAATTTTATATATTATTTTCCCAAAAATGATTAATAATCCAACTATCTTATGAAATAGGTTTTTTTTATTATTATATAGATTTTATAGAATTAAGTTTCCATAATAATATTGTATTCACTTCTCTTGACATAACAATTAAATGTGTATTATTATTGGCAAATTCAATCATAACTATATTATCAATATCTAATTCTTCTAATTTTTTATAATCATTTTAATTCATATATTTATAAATTGTAATCTTATTAAATGTGGCAGTGGCCAAAATACTGTAATTATCTTGATGAGACACTCTTAATTTTAAGCAATCTTAAATATTTAAAATTAGTTTTTGATGATTTTATAAAATATCAATTACAGAGATAACTCCATCCTATATAATAAATAAAAGGTTTTAATCTTAATCAATTGAATTTATTCTATTCAATTAAGATTTATGGTAAACATTATAATTTTATTATGAATATTCCAAAAATATTAAATATTTATCTTTTGAATATGTAATGATCTTATTTTAATAAGTAAAAATATTAAGAATTGAATCAGAATGATGTGAAAGAAGTTTATAATTTTTAAAATTTGATTTCTCATATATGGCTATAGTTTTATCCTCTGATCCTGTCATAAAACAATTATTGAAAGTCCAGTATTAAATTACTGTTATTTTCAAAGTATGAGCTTGCACAGAAGCCAATTATTTAAAATTGACAAATGAAAAGATTTTCAATAATCCATAAGTGTCTCCAATAGCTAAATATTATCCATCACTTGATTAAGAAAGACACCTTAATTCATTATATTGAAAATCAGATTTAAATTATTCTAAATAAGTTACATTATTATGCATATTAAATTTCTTAATTTAATTCAAATTAGAATTAGTATGCCAAATGGCCAAATTTTATTCACTAATTGAAGCAAAGAATGATACTTCTTATATTGATTAAGGTTTAAGAACAATTAAATCATTAATTAAATTAGTATGACTATAAAGAACTCTTATTTATTCAATCTTATTAATAGATTTTATGTTCCAAATTGCAATATTTTTATTTCTATAAACAGAGATCAAATAAACATCATTTGCTTCAATCCCTATGCAATCATATTCATTTTTAATTTAATTATTATAAGTGAGAAAAGAAACATGTTACAATTCAGTATCACATATTTAAATTTTAGAATTAGTACTTCCAAAAAAAAAGTATGTTCCATTAAAGGTGTAAGTTAATAATTAAATTAAATCTAATTGCATAAAAGACATTAATTATTTTGTAACCAAAGAAAAAATACATAATATAGCATCTGATGTGAATGCATAAACATTATCATCAATAAAACAATCTATGTAATTTTTTTATACAAATTAATCAAATAATTAAAAACTTTTGGATTATAAAGTTAATCCTTCAAATATTGGAGTTCCATCTTAACGAAATTACCAATATTGTAAATGAGATTAACCTGTACTAATTAAGATAGTACCTGTTTTTGAAAATCTAATTGAATTCACTTTATTCTGTAGCTTATTGATAGCCAAACTTTTATTTGTTTATAAATCCCATAAAAATAATGTTTTATCTTATTCTGTTCCAAGTGAAAATAAAAATGGTTTTATAGGAGATTCTAATAATTGTTTTATTCCAAATTTATGACCAATTAATCTATGAACAGGTTAAAGGATTTTATCTGTAGTTATTTTATAAATATTAATTGCTGGACTTTTAAAACTTTATTCTCCTGTAAATATTAGATTACCATCTCTGGAAATAAGTATGGAATTTACTTAAGCTTATCCAATAAAAAAGTTTAATTATTCATTATTTTCGATTGAATAATACACAACCTTTTAGCCTGCTGAATAAGCAAAATAATCTTATAAAGCTATTTAATTGTTATGTGAAACAGAATTTCCAAAAATTTGTTCCATTCTATAGAAAATAATTAAATTTATATTTTATTCACTTATTATCATTAGTGATTCAAAATTTCAAAAATATTTATAATAAATTTATAAAAACTTCAATTATTAATAGATTATCAATTTTAATATTATAGTTATATCATTTTATAATTAACTATTGTATCTCAACATTCTATTATATTGTTAAAATTAAAGTTATTATCAACTATTTAATTATTATAAACTTTATTATTATTAATATTTGAAATAGCAATAATAATAATAATAGCAATATTAAATAAAAAATATCTATTGATTTCATATTTATATAAAACAAATATATTTTTAATAGTTTATTTATGATAAAACGAAAACGAAATTCAACAAAATAATAATTAGGGTTATGATTTCCAAGGTATAGAATTCATTACCTTTGGTAGTGATAAATCAGTCCGATACCTAATGTACTTTTATTATAAATTCTTTAAGGAATAAAATGGATTAATGTATGTTTTAATTTCAATAGATGCAGGCTAATTAGAGGATTCAAAATTTGGCATTTCAGAAAATGAGTGTATAAAATGTTGATGATTATGTTAAAGTTATGGTTGTTGTTGATACTCTTCACTAATAATAGATAATGAGGCTACTCTAAATTAAGATGGTTCAAATTTCTCTATTTCTCTTTTGATTTTTTCAAATCCATCTCCCATATCCTATTACTAATATAATAGAATTTCTTATAACATATAATTAGGAGTAAAATATATTTAATTAGTTTTAAGATTAACCATACAAGGTGTCAATTCATAAGACTCTTCTCTAGTAATTGATTCAATATTTCCTACTGCTAATAATAAACTTTAAAGATGATTATTATGAAAATGTTATTTTTCATGTTAATTTTTCAATTCATCTATTGGATATTTACTAATTCTCCATAATATTTTATCAATTAATTTATTTAAATCATCATCTACTTCATCTCTTTTTAATAATCCATTAAATCGATTCTTCACTTAATTTTCATTTCTTTTTAATTATTTTGCTATTTCTGTCCATTTCTTACCTTTTTATTAAATTTAATAAATCAATTCTAAATCTTCTCTATCTGTCCAAGGATCCTTAATTTTTATTAATGATGGATCTAAATAATTAATCCATCTTTCTCTTAATTATTTACTTGTTCTGTAAATTTAATTCACTTTGCTCATTTCTTAAGCAATTTTTTTCCATCTATTTTCATCATTTTTGTATTTTTCAAATAATATTTATAATTACTGATCTTCTTCCTAAGTGAAAGGTTATGCAATTAAAGATGTTTTGTGCATAGAAGTCCATTTTTATTTGATATTCTCAGCATTCCTTCTAAATAAATATTACGCAATTTCATTAAAATCGTCACTATTTAAAAATCTGCAATTTTTTTATTTCAAAGAACAATACTTACCAATCACCCAAACTAATACTTTTTTTTCATCAAAACTCCAACTTTTTTTTGGGTTTGAGGAGAAACGCCGATTGTTTAGTTTCTTTTGAATTTTTAAAATTTCAACATCATGGGGACAATCATTTAAACCAACATTAAAATATTCTTTAAGATATAAAAAGTCTATTGAAATGTTCTGGCAACTTTCATAGAATAGTTAAAACAACTAATATTATTTTTAAGACTCAAGTTTCTCCTAACTTGTCACTTATTATAATCTATTTAATTTTACTTTGACGATCATTTGTACTTCTACCTCTTTTCTTTTAAGGATATGAATCAGAGTCAGATAAATTTTATTCCTGGAGCATATTCATATAAATTTAAAAAATAATGATATTTTGCTCTAATCTTTTATAAATAATTACTTCTAAAGTTTATTATATTCATTTTTTCATTAAATTTAAAGTCTAAATTATTTTGAGCTTCTTTTGTAAAAAAAATTCATCTTAAATAAAACAGAAATCGTTAATTCACTTTAATATACAAATATTGTTAATTATTCGATAAGTCAAATTGGTAAGTAAACTTAATGTAAATCAAAATATTAGATTTTTAATCTGGTTTTAATAGATGTATCTATAAAATCACATTTGGAAAATATTCAAAATACAGTCCAAATTTATATAAATATATTTCATTTCTTCAGAAAATATAACAACCAGCACAGCTAGTTTCTTTAAACTTTTTTGTAGGAGGTTAAGGTTGCTCAAGATTACTCACGTCTTCATTGTATTTTTTCCAATTTTCAACTATTATCACTTAATCATTCTTTTTAAAAGAGACTTCCATAACACTCTTACATTCTCTTTTTAATCTTTTGTTATTTATTTTTACAGCTTAAGGTGTTGGACCAAATTAATGTCTATTTTTGTTAGAAAACAGACATTTCTCTGATTATATCTATAAATTCATAAAAATTTATGATAATTATTAATAACAATAAAGTCTAAATTAATGATATCACTACTATGATTTAGTTTAAAATGTAGTATACAATTAAATCTAATAAAGGAACTCTAAGAACTACTTTTAAATCAAAAGGAACAGACGAAATAATATATATTTAATAATATTATTTTTCAGATATTCTGAATTTTATAATGAAATATAGTTCTATTTTAGTACTTTTAAAAAGGATTAGTATATTAATTAGTAGTTAAACTAATTTTCTCTGTATTAAAAAAAATGAATTAATGAATGCGAATAATTTAAGTTTGACTATAAATAATCACTTTTTAATTAACTTTTTTAGTTTTTCCATTCTAATTTCTTAAAATTCTTTTCTTTTTCTTGCTATTTCTGATATCTTTTCTTTAGCTTCCTATTCTTCACTTATAACATTTGGAAGTTTACTATGAATATAAGAATTATTTTTTACTCTTTTTCTGCTTATGATAATCTTTTATCATAAGATTGTTCAATTGGTCCTTTTTCGAATAGAATTTAATTTGAATCTTTAATATTGTTTTCTATATCTTTCATCATTTGTTATTCCCATTAAATTCTTTCAAGTTCTTATTAATTTTACTAAAATCCTAATTAGGGATTTGCAATTTCAGGTCTTTGATTTATTAGATTTCTTTATGCTTAATGAATTTCCTCCTTCTTTTTCTTTATAAATTCTTGTCTTTCCATTTCATATTATCTAACAAATAATAAAGTATTTAATACTCTTAATCTTTTTCACTCATATCATTTAACTATTTTAAATTAAAGTCTATCAATGAATTCTTAGTTACTATTCCTGTTTGTTTTTATCTATCATATATTTCAGCCTTTTTTGTTAAAATTGCATTAAGTTTTTCTAAACGATTTTAATCAGTTTCAGCAGCATTATCTTTCATATCCCTCTTAATTCTTTCTTCAATTCCTTTGTTGATTCTTTTTTCTTATTTTTTAACTACTTTTGCCTTGGAAAGAGCACCTTATTCATTTTATTTATCCTTCATCAATGCTATTTTCATAGCAACTATCTGTGTTTGGATATATTATATAATTACAGATGAGTTATCTACATTGATAGGAACTGCGGGTTCTGGAATCAAGGAACTTTCTGTCAGCCATCCATAACTCATGTTTTTTAATAATAAATATAAATATTTTAGTAAAGGAATGGTTTAGAATAAAAGACTTTTCTATTTTTTATATAATGGATGAATAGAAAAATATGTAGATTTTAAGATACATATTTAATTATTAATTGTATAACAAATCATAAATGATTTTAAGATTATAATTCATTTTTTATTATAACAAAGCAGATGAGTTCCATATAATATCCAGAGTAATTTTCAATAGCTGCTATTAAGTTTGGAGAAGCTCACAGTGAAGATAAGGCAAGTTTTGTAAAAGGCTTAAGTGTAATTCAACGATCGACAATAAGAAATTTAACAGGGCTACATTGAAGACCTTAGATAATACTGTAATATTGTGACAGTTTGTGAAGCGTAGTTAATCTTGAGTTTGGGAGAGTATGATTTAGCTTATTTGGGAGAAGTGATAAAAGTAATATTACAGTATTATCATGAAAGACTCTATCTGGATATCATTTGGTTATCTTGAATAATTTGTTATTATGGATTCAATAATTCTAACTACATTTATCTCCACATCCCAGGAGTGTGCCTTTTGAATGTTTAATATAATAGAGCATAAAAGAAAAACATAAGGTGGCTAAGGTCAATTAAAGTCGAGCAAGTATTGAAATGTCATCAATTGGTGATTTTATTCATAAACTCTCGATTAATAGTAAAAACATTATTGATTCGCATCCAAGTCCAAAGGAGGTTCCTTAAGGAATGTAAATTGTAGAAGAAGAAACTGAAAAAATGAGAGATGCTATTAAAAATAATTAAGGAATGTTAAAAAAGCTATTGATACAAAAAAAGAAGGTACATCAAGAGATTTAAACAAATATGAGTAGCTTTGATATTATGTTTTTATAAGAACAAAATTAAGAGCTTAAACAATTAATTGACACAACAAGTTCAAATTATGAGAGAAGATTGAAAGAAGAGATAATCAAGTATTAAGAAGCTAAAATAATAATGAAAGCTTAAAAATCAGAATTAGATCATAAAATAAGTTTGATTGAGGCATAGGGAAGTGAAATATTGAAATTAAAAAGTAGAAAATAAGTAAATAGTTTAATTAAGAAATTCATACAAATTCCAACAATTGAAGAAAGGAACAAAAGATTTAGCATAAGTTAAGATAAAAATAATAGAAGCATTGTGTTTTCTAATTAAAAAATAAGATCTACTTCTTTACCAAGAATTGAGAGAAGTTTTGAAAGCTTTAGTAAAAGGTTAGACTTATAAATTTCAAAAAATTCAATACCAAATCAAGATAGCAAATACCTTTATTAAAAATTAATGTTACCTTAAGAACAAGTACAATTTCTTAAAGCATGTCAATATGTTGGATTATAATATCCACCTAATTTATTTGAAAATTAAGAAGGAGGAGAATCACCAAAATATAATTAATTTATCAAATTAATTTAATAACTTAAAGTTAGACATTCATAATGTATGCCAAAGTGTGATCATTTAAATTTTTTGTAATGAAAATCTAAACATTAAAATATTAAACATCATCTTGTCTCCCATTTTATGTAATCTTGATTTGATAAACCATAAGTAATTTTAGCTATCCACTCTGCTCTTTTAATTTTCTCATTTAATTTTAATCTATAATTTAACAGTATTTTTGAGATGACAATTTTACTCTCAATTATGGCAAGATATTGTCCAATACAATTTCTACCTCCAGCTGAGAATGGCACAAAGGCAAATGGATCAATAGTTGAATCATTTAGAGTCCCATCAGATTTCCATCTTGTAATATCAATCTATGTTGGATTAGAAAAGTATTTATTATTTTATGCATTTGATAATACCATATAATTAACATACCATCCTATACATTAATATTATCAAATATCTACCTTTTTTAATGAATATATCATTAATATATATATCCTTTTATGCTTGTTTAGATATTAACATAGGAGCAACTGGTTTTAATCGAAGACATTCCATTAAAAATCCTGTAACTTTTTATAGATTTTATAAGTGTTTAGCAGTGATTATTTATTCTCCATTTAATACTCCAAGTATTTCCTAATAAACTTCTTCTTAAAGTTGTTGATTTTCAGCTAAGAAATAACAAGCTGTAGTAACTAAATTAGCAGTAGTTTCAGTTCCTGCAAAGTAAAGTGTTATAGATTATTATAGAATTTCATCTTCAGTTATGGGAGGATTCATAGAATCATTTTTATTTAAGTAAACATCTAAATAAACATCTAGATAATCCTGATGTTCAATATTCTTACAATTTTTTAATTTTTCCATTCTACTTTTTATTGCCTTTTTCATATGATCAAGCATAATAGTATTTAATTCATATAAATCTTATTCTATTTTTCTTGGAAATACACTGAATACTTTTTCTTCAAGTAATGCTCTCTTTATTTGAAAGAATCTAGACTCAGTAATTAATTATCCAAATCGAGTGATTAATTATGTGACACATAATGAAGGATCTTGTCCATTAAGACTTAATTTAGCAATATCCTCACCAAAAAAGGCCTTGAGTACAACTTCACCTGTAATTGAAGAGGCTATATTCATAGCTGGGAATATTTCATTTGGTAAATTAGCCAATTTCTTTTAGGCTACATCATTTATCATTGGTATAAGGTTAATTAGCTTATTATATTCGAAATGAGCACCTAAAAGATTTCTTTATTACTTCCACTTTGCTCCTTCTTCCATAAGCATGCCTTTTGATATCAATCTTTTGTCAACTATCATATGGAATTTACTATAATCTTAATATTATTGCATGAATATTCGATAGTATTTTGGTTTTAGGAATACAATCATTGGTCGAAATAATAAATTAGTAACTAATATGTCAGCTTATCTATTATTTTTTATCAGTATGGACAATGATTCAAATGCATCTCCATTGATTGATCTTGATTGACTTAGAGTACGAAGAAGTCCTAACATAGGAGCATATTGAATAATCACTCTTTTGCCATACTTAATTTTGAAATAGATAACAACTAAGAGTGGCTGAGTGATTAAATAGATTAGAGCGAGTATTCCTAAAATAATATATATCATAATTAATTAAATGATGAATTAATAGGTGTTTGAATAACTAAATTCCATTCTCTTTAAGCAAAAATTCGAAAATCAAATCAAAAATATGTATCCAACTTAAAAAAACTTAGAATTCAAGTATTTAAAATAACCCACTTTATTAGATTCATAATACTTAAAAAAATTGAAACATAAATTACTAAAACTTATAAGAAAATCACAAAGTATTGGATTGCAGATGAGACTGGTAGTGCATTCTTGAATTTACATGATATGGATGAGTCAGCCATATCTCCAGGAGATGTATGCGTAATGGTTGGAGCTTATACAAACCTTTTTAAAGGAATGATGAATATTCATCAAGGTATAATATATAAAATATTAATAGGTAAGAATGGTATATTCAAAAAAGTAAGTGAATTTGATCTTCAATATTTAACATAACCTAATCATAGCTTAAAAAATTGGGGTAATGATTAATAAACCACTTAAATTTGAAGTTAATTATTATCATACTATTAGAGTATAAAATATAATTAATAAAATAAAAAAAAGAAAATGAAATAAAATGTAATGTAGAATCTATTTTATTTGATAGATAGAGTTTATTAAGGCTTTACTGTATCATTTTTTTTCTTTTTTTTCATATTCTTTACATTAGTATTTTGAGATAAGGTAATTTCTACTAAAATTTCAGAAATTTTTAGTATTATTTAATTTCTTTTATAGAAATATATGTTTAATTGAGTATTATTATCTTTTTAATTTATATCTAAATTGTTTAATATTAGATCCAATCTTTTGGAATATTGTTTCTTTATTTTTTAGATTCTAAATTTAATCCAATAGCAGAATCAATTTCTAAGAGCATTATTATAATATAGACTTTATTTATATGATTCTTAAATATGTTTAAAAAATTCCTCATTTGATATTTCTTAAATATAATTAAATTCATTATTTTTTAATGATTATAGTTGCAATTCAGAGTAATAAAGCTTTTTAGTTTTAGAAAGATTAATTTATTCTATTTTTAGTTACTTTTTGTGACATTGATATTTTATTATTGATTATTTTCTAAACTTAACAATCGCAGAATTCAAAAACATTAGAAATTTAAAATAGAAGATAATTTTAACTCTTACATGTCTTATTTTATTTTTTTGATCATTTGATTAAGTTAAATATTTATTAGTTGGTAGAGTATGTGAATATTCTTAATCTTAGGTTTTAGATGAATTAATATATCCACTGTTTTATTAGCTACAAGATTATATACAATAATTAGATTAACTATATATATGTTGAGTTGACATCTTATTTAATTGATTTATAAGTTATAACAGAGTCTACAATGATGGCATTATTTTTCACTTATCTTAACATTAATGTTAATTATATAAATGGCGAATAGATTAAAAACTTAGATTCAATTTAGTGATGATGCTCCTATTCCTTAAATGGATGAACCAGAAGTATGCAAAAGATTTGAAGACTATTACTAATGTCTTTAAACTTTAGGTATAAAATTGATGAATATTTTAAAGGACAAGGAGCACATGCAATAGTTAAGATAGCAAAGAAGAAAAACACAGAAGAGATTTATGCTGTAAAAATAGTTAGATCAGGAGATTAGGAGATTTAGAATAATGTTAAACGAACATTCAATAATACAAGATGTCTTAGACATCAAAACATTGCTCAAGACATAGAACTTTATATTAATGAGAAGATGGAAACCTCATATCTAGTAATGGAATACTGTAAGTTCCCAAGTTTAGAAAGTATAATTAAGAAAAGACCTCTTACTCTTGATGAGTTGAAGGTTGTGATAAAACAACTTCTCTTAGGAATTTAGCATGCTCATTCTAAAGGAATTTGTCATAGAGATTTAAAGCCAGATAATATTCTAGTTAATTTAGAAGAGGATAGTTAGCCTCCTCATGTAAAAATTGTTGATTTTGGAGTTTCAAGAAGGTTCTCATCAAAAGGATAAGAAATTGAAATGGCAACAAAAACGGGTAATATCTTTTATTGTGCACCAGAGATATATCATAGTGTTAGTTATTCAAAGGAAGTTGATATTTGGGCAATAGGTGTGATTACTTATTAGTGTATTTTCCAAAAATTACCATTGCATTCAAATGAATTATCAGATTTTATAGAATTGTTGGATAATCAAAATGAATGGAGATTTTAAGAATCATTAAATACACTTGAATAACCATTAAGTAATTTGATAATGGCAATGTTAAATCCTAATAAAAGTGAGAGAATCACTGTAGATGCTGCTTTATAACATCCATTTTTTTAAATTAGTACTATTTAAGATGTGATGGTTTTTTTAAACAAATTAAATTTTGTTTAGGATAATTGTTGTAGATGTAGATCATTACACTCTAGTCTAAAGTTAGATGATTAAACATGGGGGAATGTTATTTAAAAATTATAAAATAGTTAAAATAACGATAGAGTTGATGAAATTTTGATAGAGGATCTTGTTAAAAGTTTTAATGATATACATATCATTTAAAAGCATGGTGAATAATGTGGTCTTATACAATTGATGAATTCAATTACTAGTAGCACAGCACTTATGAGTAGATTAGGATCAAAATAAGAACTACTAGATAGAAGTTGTGGATAGTAATTTAGTGGATCTTAAAGTATTAAATTATATTTACTTAGATAAATTGTGTAATGAAGACTAATAGGATAATATGAATAAAATCTAAAATAGTATTGTATTGAAGGAAGAATAGTAATTAACTAATAATAATAATAAATTTCTTACTTAATTGGGTGCACATTTAGATAGAAGCATTGATGTTATGCCATATGATGGTTTTATGATTTAATCTAAATATACTCCTCAATAAGATTAATAAGGAATTCTTAAAAAACCTTCAAACTTTGACAAAGATATATTTGGGGGACTTTATATAAAAGAAGTCGATGAAACAACAGAAGACTATTTTTGAATTAACTTATTATCTATAAAATGTTTTTATTTAATAATTAGATTGTATAATATTTTTAATATTTTATTATTTTATTATTTTATTCCAATAAAAATAAACTTAAAATGAAATCATAAATTCAATCAGCAAGAAAACCAGGAAAGTCTATTCCAAAACCAAAAGATAATCAAACAAATTAATCATCCAATTCAAAAAAAGAAATTACCAATGAATCAAATGGATTTGATGCTTCTAAATAACTTATAATCTAACCTATTCCAATAGAACCTAAAGTTAAATAGAATTGTTTAATTGAAATTGTTGAATTGGCCAATTCTCTTAAAGATGATGATAATGTTAGTGGTCTTGTCTTTAAGCAAATCATCATATCAATTGAAGCTAAATTAACAGAATTCTAAGAGAGACTTGAAAATAGAGACAATTTAACAGAACTTAATACACATTTATAGAAATTACAATATCTTTAATCTAGTCCATATAGTCCAAATGGAAATTAAACTAATTAAAAAAAAGATGACTCAAATAATGACACTAGTGGATTACTACGTAATTAAAGTTAAATTTCATTACCATAAAATGATAATTTTAGTGTTATGAGTGCACAAGATAAAATGAAAAGTCCTTAGGGTAGAAGATCAAATTCTAAATAAAATTCAGGTAAATTCTTATTATTAAATAGTCATTCTTCCAAATACATCATAATAAACAGTGTCTGACAATAATAAAATTGCAGCTTTGGAAAAAAGACTCAGAACTAATGAAGATAATTTTGTTAAATTGACCAAAGAAATATAAGATCAATATACTGCCAACAATTAAAAATTAGAAAAGACAATTAAGGCTCTTAATGAAAAGTTTCTGTCATTTAGTGCTAACAATTTACAATAATAGTACATTGAAATTACTGAAAGTTAAAAGGCTTTGATTTCACATTTACATTAGTAATCAAAGGAAATCACGTAATTGCTTCCAATTATATAGCGAGATCAATAATACCATACATAAATTAAAAGAGACATAAGATTCTTAAAATATAGAGATTTCAAATAAAATCGAGCATTGTTTATAATTGTAAAATGAAAATTTTGTAAGAATTTAATCACTTTCATCATCTCTTTAAGCTATTGATGCTGATTTAATCATAATTTTAAAGTGTTACAAAGATCTTCTTAATGATATCTTTAAAATTGATTTAATAGATCAATAATAAAAAAAGTTAATTAGTCTCTTAGATGAATAATGAATTATATAATAATATTTATAATAGTTATACATAATTCTATTCATTTTCTAGTAAAAAATGTATTTTTGTTTTCAAACTCTGATGGTTTCTTTCTATAATCCCCTTAATTAACAGTTGAATAATTGAAAGTTCTTTCAGATTATTGAAATGAATTTGGTTTCTAAGCCAAATGTTTCTAGATATATATATATAAATAGTATACATCCTCTTTATATTTCAATTCTTAACCATAACCATTTGAAAGTAATTTCTTGCATTCTAAATGATCAGTCTTTCCATATGATTCATGCTTTCCATATTATTTTCCCTAATTATCATCTAAAATTGGATTTCTATCTGCTGGTTTTGAATCAGCTACTTTAAGTTCTCTTTTTTCAAAAAGATCTTTTGTTTTTGCAGGAGCTGGTTGAATTGATTTTTAACTAGATTTCCAATCAGGTTATTATGTTTAATAATTCACTTTAGAATTTGGATTTTATCTTGAAACTATAGGATTATTATGAAAATTCCATAGATTATCTACATCACTCAAAGGAGTTTTTATAATATGACTCTTATTTTCATTTAAGGTTCTACTTTCTTAAGTTATAGGGTCACTAGATTTAAGTGTGGGGTTGTTTTTTTAGAGAGTTGCAATTTTATTTAAATTTTCTTTACACATTTCAATAGTTTTACTATCACATTCAGAGGGTAATGTACATGTAGTTTTTTCTTGTTTTCTAGAATATTTAATAATACATACACATATTTATTAATTTTGGAATTGTAATCTTTTGCAAGACATAATTCAGCTTGAGGAGAAAGATTCCTTTATAAATTTGCATAATTGACTAATCTTTATTATCCTCCATAATTTGTAAGAGTTCGAAGAGTTGATTAAGTGGCTGATTTTTACATAGATTGTTGTTGAGACATTTTATTATTTTAATAATGTCGTTAAATGCTTATTAATTAATTAATTATTGTTGCATAAACAAAATTATATATATATATCATTTAAAACGATTGTTATTAGATTGGGATCAATATAAAATATTTAGATATTTTCTATATATTTAGCAAACAAGATAAAAATATGAAGTTAATGAATTTTAATTAATCATTAATTTATAATATGATAAAACATTCTTTAACTCAAACATCTTCTACTAATCACAATTTTTCATAGAAACTTTAATTGCAGAAGCTTAAAAGAAATAAGCAAATGGTCTCAAAAGCCATTGATATGCTTTAAAATCCATTTGATCCCCATCAAGTATCTTAATCCTTGAGATTTCTTGAAAATTAGTCATAAAGAAAAGCATTGCTTGATGAAATTATTGGAATAAGAGAAGAAAGAAAGAGAAAATAAGAATTTGAAAAAATGTCTTCAATGAGAGGGATATTGACCAAAGTATAGAAAAGGTTCTCTGTTGTTAAAACTCAAGATATAAAATTTAATAGAGATTTTAATGATTTTAAAATTTTACAAGAGGAACGTAATAAAATGGAAAAATTGCAGTATGAAAATCTCAATCTGCAAATAAATGAAAGAAAATCTTAATTCAAAAGAATGTCAAGTCTTAACTTCTTAACACGAGAAAGTGATAATCATCTCTTCAAACATCAATTAAGTCTTGATCCAGGAGCTCCTCAATCATCTTTAATGCTAACTAGAAAAACATAAAGAAATACAACGCTTTTGCTGTCTAAAATAGCAAATAAATAAATGTATTAATTTATAATTAAAGAATTTTAGACATACAGAGGGTAATACTGAGAAAGTTCTTACATCACCTCAGAATTGCCTAATCATAACATAAGAAACTGATTAAGAATGATTTATAAATATAAAAAGTTTTAAACCTTGAATACATAAAATTATTTCAAATAATGAATTTTTGATATAAATTATTTGAACTAATTTAAATTGATTAATTATATGATTTCTTTATTTTCTAAAACAACTAAATATAATAAATAATATTATAATCTATACAATATATATATTAGTTTTTGATATTTTGTGTTTAATGAACTTAATCTAATAAATTAACAAGCTACACTTGTAATAATATATTAAATTAATATTTTTACTTATAATTGATTTATATCCCTTAAAATATTCTACAACTTAAGGGAATTTGTAAAATAAGGAACCAAGCTAATTATGAATTTTAACTATTTACATATAAAATATAAAATAATTAATATACCTATATTAATATTCTTATAACTTTAATTACACATATCTAAAGACATAAATTAATATATCCTAATTAATAAAGTAAAATTTAAAAGTATTTACAAACGTTTTATTTTTCATTATTATTAATATTAAAAAATAGATTATTTACTCTTTATTCTAGAATTCTATAAAATGTACTTTCATTAAACTAAAATTAATTTCAGTAATAAATAAAAAAATTAAGAAACTATTTAAAAATACAATAAAAGATGAAATAGAATTGCAATTATAGTTTTCATCAGTTAATAAATAAAAATATGAAAAATAATAATAAATATTTTTATTCTATAAATTTCATGACTTTTATTGTTCATTTTCTGAAAGTAGTTATTGTTAATCATCTTCTTATCTTAAGTTACTTGTAGATACAGTGTCCGATTCACAATCTTTCTTTTTAAGTTCAGCCAACTATTAATCTCTTGATTACAAAATCTTATCTTCCTAAACAACTCCTACCCAAGGTAGTGGCATTAAAATAAATACTCCTGTTACAATAATAAATAGCCATAATTTAGAATAATCATTTTAATTAACTCCCAACATGATTAAAAATAAGGCTCCCCATTATGATCCTAATGTTGATCCTATAAAAATATAAAATATATATATTGATTACCAAAATTAATTGTACTCATTAACATAGCATACATAGTAGCTTCAATATTCTTTGGACACATTCTACATGCTAAGACTAATATAGGCATCAAATTCAATTCACCTACTAATTATAACATAACTGAATCTCCAAGACAAAAGAATTTATCATTTATACCCCATTCAACATTTTTTCTTGTAACAAGTATTATCATAGATTAATAACAAAAATAATAAAGGATGGTAGTAGTAATAAATATTTTTTTGAATGGAACATCTTTGAGATAGTTATTATAAAGGAGCACTCCTAAAATTGTAGACAATGCATAAACAAACTTCAATTATCCAAGGAAAGAAGGTTCAAAACCTAAAACTTGGGTATAGAAAAAGAACATGATAGTTGAACTTGAAGGGGCCATCATAAAACAAAATATCAATGCAACTGGCCTTGAATCTATTATTATAATACTTGTAAATTAATGGGTTTTAGAAAAATGTCCAAAAGTCTTTGATACATTACATAGTGTTGTTTCTTCTGTCATTTTAATCCAAATTTCTAGGATCAACCTTCTCTTCAACATAGAAAAATGATACTAAAACCAATAATGAAGGAAATGCTGCTGTCATCATAAATATTTCTTATTTTGTGAAATAATGTAATAATTATCCTGAAAAGAATGCACTTATTAGTGTTCCAAATGCTCTAACTCCAAAGAATATTGAAACATTCTTTGATGCTCCATGTTAGAAATTTGTTTATTATCTTGAGGCTTAAGAAGCAACTTCTACTAGAATAGCTTCTCCAACAACATTCACAAAACATGTTGACAATTAAATCAACAACAATAATAAAAGGGCAGAATATAAACTATCAGTTCCATATTTAGATAAAGCAATCCATCCTAATGCATCAAATATCCCAAATAATATTATGTATGATTTTCTTCTATAACCAAATAAAGGCTTAGAATCTGTTATTAAACCCCAAAATGGTTTTACTATCCAAGGAGTTGTAGTGTAACTTAAATAAAGTCCCATCATAGCTGGTGATAATCCAAAATCATCCTTAAGCATATAATTAATTGATAAATCAGCTAAGTGTTATACACCCTAAGAAAAAGCAACTACTGCAATTATAAAATAAGAGGGGTTAAAGCTCTCATAAAATTAAGAGAATTGCCTAAATAGCTTATCAAACATTATGCTCATGTTGATCAAATATTTTAATAATAAAAACGCATAATTATAAAAATCAACAGAAAACATAAAACTCAAATATTCAAATAGACTATTAAAGACTGATTCTAATAAAATTGAAGGTTTTATTCTTATCAAAAATGAATTTAACTATCTTAAACTATCAGATGGAATATATTCTTATATTTTATTAAATGTAATAACAAATAATCAATATAATTTGTCACTTTAATCTCAGAATCTTCAATATAGTTCAAGTGATTTGCACTTATAAATTCTTTCAAGAAATTTCTTAATTAATTCATAGACGATGAATAGCATGTTCACAAATCAATATTTCTATTTTTTCATCTAATTGATTATAAAATAAACAACTCAATATGATTAAATTAATCAGCTCAGATGAGAATAGAGGTTAATATAAATTTGTCAATTTTTAGGTGGAACTATACTTTCAACTTCAATTTTTGATTATCTTTTATATGTATTCTGATATTCTTATTAGAATAATAATATTTGAATTTCAACCATTAATATCAAAACAGAAATGAATTAAATGAAAAAAAGTCACAGGTTGATAAATTATTACATAAATGAAATAGAAAATATTTTAATAAACAATAATAGTTGGTAAAATTTAATCGAATTTATGATATGAGACTAATAGTTGATGGAAATTTTTGCAAAATATGTTAATAATAATATATTTATGTTTAGTAAATCTTTCTATTGTCTAATTAAATTAATTAAAGTACAAATGTTAGGGTAAAATATCTAATTACAATTTGAAGTACTCTTTCTTTAAAAATATAACTATATGTTACATATTTATAAATATAGATACAGTATTCAAGAAAATTATCATACTTAAACTATAAATTCAATAGGAAATTCTAAAATATTCTTAATTTTTATAATAAATTATTAGAATTTTATAAGCTTAATACATATAAAATAGATTAATTTTAATAGAGTAAGTATTTGTTTATAGTAAATAGTATAAATTAAATTAAAAATTGTGAAATAACTTCTAAAATAGAATGCTTTTAATATACATTATCTTAAATTAAAAAATCAAAATTTAGTTAGATCTATTGATAAATAAGCTTTTTTACAAAATTAATTATTTCATACTTATATAATTTTCAACAAATTATGTATCATAAATTGATGATATTATTTGAATTAAACTAGATAAAATACAATAATTGATTAATTAAACTTTAGAGATTGAATTTTTCAAATTCTATTTATTTATTTTATAAAAATCAATCATTTTGCTCATCATTCTCTTCAGCAATTTCTTCTGGATATTCATTTTCTCCCTCTTCTCCTTCTTCATTTAATTATTCAGGATCAATTCCAAATAAATGTAGATTTTGCTATAAATTATGATAAAAAGATACACTAAAAATTTCCCTGAATTGATTATTTTCATTAGCTAATTTATCAACTTCTTCTTATAATTATTATTTTTCATCACTCATATGTTGATAGAGTTGTTTGAAATTTTCAATTAAATCTATATATTTATATTAATTGATAACCTTCCAATTTGTGAATTTCTTCATCTTTAGCTTCTAATTATTAACCCAACTCTTATATGACTTCATCCTTTTCATTATCTTAGCTCTTAGATGACTTCTTATTTGATGATTATTGTTTTTGCTTTGAATTGGTTGCCAATTTATCTTATAATTCATGATAAGCTTCTTAGTTGTCTTACAATTATGATTGCAATTATTCTATAATTTGATCTTTCATTGATGATTCTTATTAAAGTTATTCTATCATTGATTGAATTTCTTCCTAATGAACTGAAAAGATTAAATACTAAATTATAATCTTCAGCAATATTTTCTAATTCTTATGTTTTCTCCTGTAATGCCTACTCCAACTATTTGATTTATTCTGAATATTGTTTCTTAACTTTATTAACTTCATCTTATAAATGTTTGCTTGCTTAACTAATTTTATTATTCAAATTTCTATTCTCATCTGTCAATTATACAATTTTCTATTTATCATCTTTTGATCTTTATTCATAATCTTATTCAACTTTTTATCTAAATAAATATATATATATTAAGATATTACAATTTTCTTTAGAATTCTTTCTCTTTATCTTTTGCTAATGACAGCTCAGCTCTTAATCTTTCTGTTTATTATTGTTCTTCTTTTAATTAATTAATAATTGATTGAGATCCTCTATCTTGATCAAGATTGTGTTTCTAGTTTGATGAATAGGGCCTTTTATTACCTGATATATATTACTAATCAACTCTTTTATCATTACTATCTATCTTTCTCTCCAAATAGTCATGTTTATTGTTTACTCTATTGACATCAAATGTTTTAGAGTAATCTTATTTTTTAGAATCATTGCTTAAATAATCTTTAGTTGGCACCTGACCTGTGGGTTTCATTTCATTTTTTTTTAATGAATTTCTCTAATCATTTTTCTAAGGAACAGGAACAAAACTTTAGTTTTTCTAATACATTTCTAAATTGTGAATTAAGGTATTATACCCTAATAAGGTATAATTTCTGTTTTATGTTACTAATCTATTGGACCAGATCGATTGTGAATTTGGGAATCACATGAGTAACATAATCGAAATGTTTACCCATATCTACATTAATTACATTTGATCGTTGCAGGTCTTTATTGACATTTCTAACATTTAACAAAAAGAGATTGCATATCTATTTTAATCCAATTTTTGAAAAATATAAATACTGTATAAGTTATTAATAAAACAAATTTGAATTTTTATATTATCATTCACTTCATAAATCTAAAATTTACTATAATTCTAAATAATTTAGAACCAATAAATAATATAAATATAAATAATTCAATTGAAGATTAAGAAATACTAATAATCTAATTATTTATATATTATTAATAAATTATAAGATAAATAAATTCAAAGAATTCATTTCAAACATATATTAGCCGCATATTATTCATATTTCATAAATTGAACATTCTTTATTACTTAAAATTAGGTTTTGTTTCTCAAATTACTTTCAATATTTATATTAATTAGAATCTCTAACTCCATTTATTAATAAAGAAATTATAGATAGAGATTTACTAATTTATTTTAAATAATAATTGATACATTTAAATCTAATCAAATATATCTAATATTATTTACAGGATATTATCTCTAATTGATATCTTATTGAATTATAAATTCTTTTTATGTAATGTACTTTATTTATAATATCATTTTCATTTCTTTGCTTTGGTGGTGGTTGGAGCTTTTTAAGTTGGTTATGGGGCTGCCTTAGCTGGAGCAGTTGTTTTTGCTGGAGCAACAGCTTTGACTGGAGCTTAAGCTTTAGTTTGAGTAGCTTATTTACCAACTTATGCTGGTTTTGTGGTAGCTTTTGTATCCTTAGCCTAAAAATAGTTTTTATGATTACCTTTGGTTATTCTTTTACCTTTTCTTTGATTTCAGATGATGCTTTTCTATGTTTCTTGTGAGCTTCGTGAACATCATGAGCTAATTTTTTATATGCTTCCAAAGCTTATTTGGCTTTGGTTCTTCTAGCTTATTCTGTCTTCTTTTGAATTGTCTTTCTTCTCAATCTTGATTCAGTAACAAGTCTTTATATTTTTGGAGCCTTTTATCTCTTCTTTCCATCTTTAGTTGTCCATGTTCTTCTAATGAGATTCTTTTAAACAATGGCAACACCATCTGTTTTTTTGAATCCAAATAATCTTCTTAATTTAGTCAATCTCTTTGGACCTAATCTTCTTGGGACATTTTGATCTGTAAGTCCAGCAATTTCATTGGCACCTTTTTTAACAACTTATAAGGCAAGGACTCTAATATCTTAACCGACAATGCATCCTCTAATTGATTTTCTTTTCATTTCTCCATCTTTTCTAGGTCTATAACCTTTGTGTCCCTTTCTCATGAGAATTCTAACTCTTCCCTTGAAGAGGACTCCTTGTCTCATTGGGAAACCTTGTTTGTCGTTACCACCTGTAATCTTAAACACATATCCTTTATATTCATCACCCAAGTTGTCTGCTTCTACTACTTGTCCCATTCTCTTGTCAAAGAAGATTGAGCTAAGGAATTCCATAGAAATTATTACCATTTCTTGTCATCATCAATTTCGACTGTCTTTTAAGCACCAGTTAAGGGATAGGAAATATTGAACTAAACAAAGTATATTTTGTATATGTTACCTTCATAAAAATCTTTGGATTTTTTAAATTAGATTTAAAATTATGTGTTTCACAATTTAATATTAACAAAGAGAGCAACCAGATCAATATGTATATATAAATTAAGTACATAAAACTAAACAATCAAACACATTCATAAAGTATTTTAATAATGTTCCTTTATTGTATATTTAAAGTTTGGACATTAAGCTTTATTACTACAATTCTAAATCTACGAATTTTGGCAACACTTAAAAATTTGTATAATCCATAAATTCCACTTTTAAAAGTACCTTTTATTAAAATTTATTCAAATTTTGATTGCATACTTTGATTTGAATTATTCCATGGCAATCTTATTTCTCATCAAAATAATAACCATTCTTTCATTAATTAAGCATAATCGTTACAATATTAAACAAGTCCATATGAAATAATTAGTATCATGTGTTTTCATCTTGCAAAATTTACTTTTAACTTTCTTAAATATACTATTACTCAAATCCATAAGTAGGTATCAGTAATTCAGGATAGAGTATGACTTTTAGAAGTGAATTTATTATGCCTAAAGCTTATATCAAAGAAGTCATAATCGAAAAACTTATAATATTAAGCTATCTACTAAACTAAATGACTTTAGTAATTAGGTATTATTGATTTGAAAGCTACAAAAAAATTGTAATATAAAAAGAATTTAAATAAATGTTAGTATATAATCCTTTGCTTCCTTTTTCTAATTAAATTTTTTTTAACTGTTAGTTAAACTATCATACACTATAAAGCTAATATTTGTTCGAAAATATTGAGTTTCTGAATCAGGATTTATTGATATTTTTTTTGATTAAGTCATAACTATACCTCAAATAATTAGCATATGAAAATTTTAAACAATTTTATTTTCTACTGATGCGTTTATAACTTATCTCTCAATTTCTTTTTGAATTACAATGAACTAATCAATTTAATCATCCTTTTCTATAACAATAAATAATTATTAAAACTAAAGCAAAATATATAACTTGAGTAATTTTAAGGGATATAAAAGTTTATCTGTTATGTCCATCTAATATATTTGTAAATAATTTTAAGTTAAAAAAAACATAGCTTTTTTAAAAGGTTTCAATTACTGATGGTATTTAGAAATATGAACTTATAATTTAAATGTACTATCTCTAATTCCAAGTATTATAATTCTTGCAAATACTTTTTCTTTAACATATTGAAATGTATTAAACTGATCTATATGAAATAATTATTTTTCTAGTAAAATATTAACACGAACTTATTGATTATACCATAATGCAATATATGTTTCTACTTGTTTTATGTTATTTTTATTCATTTATTCTTTTGATTAGTATTATAATTTTGGAAAATGATGGATTTCTTTTTGATATGGTTTATAANGTACCTTTTATTAAAATTTATTCAAATTTTGATTGCATACTTTGATTTGAATTATTCCATGGCAATCTTATTTCTCATCAAAATAATAACCATTCTTTCATTAATTAAGCATAATCGTTACAATATTAAACAAGTCCATATGAAATAATTAGTATCATGTGTTTTCATCTTGCAAAATTTACTTTTAACTTTCTTAAATATACTATTACTCAAATCCATAAGTAGGTATCAGTAATTCAGGATAGAGTATGACTTTTAGAAGTGAATTTATTATGCCTAAAGCTTATATCAAAGAAGTCATAATCGAAAAACTTATAATATTAAGCTATCTACTAAACTAAATGACTTTAGTAATTAGGTATTATTGATTTGAAAGCTACAAAAAAATTGTAATATAAAAAGAATTTAAATAAATGTTAGTATATAATCCTTTGCTTCCTTTTTCTAATTAAATTTTTTTTAACTGTTAGTTAAACTATCATACACTATAAAGCTAATATTTGTTCGAAAATATTGAGTTTCTGAATCAGGATTTATTGATATTTTTTTTGATTAAGTCATAACTATACCTCAAATAATTAGCATATGAAAATTTTAAACAATTTTATTTTCTACTGATGCGTTTATAACTTATCTCTCAATTTCTTTTTGAATTACAATGAACTAATCAATTTAATCATCCTTTTCTATAACAATAAATAATTATTAAAACTAAAGCAAAATATATAACTTGAGTAATTTTAAGGGATATAAAAGTTTATCTGTTATGTCCATCTAATATATTTGTAAATAATTTTAAGTTAAAAAAAACATAGCTTTTTTAAAAGGTTTCAATTACTGATGGTATTTAGAAATATGAACTTATAATTTAAATGTACTATCTCTAATTCCAAGTATTATAATTCTTGCAAATACTTTTTCTTTAACATATTGAAATGTATTAAACTGATCTATATGAAATAATTATTTTTCTAGTAAAATATTAACACGAACTTATTGATTATACCATAATGCAATATATGTTTCTACTTGTTTTATGTTATTTTTATTCATTTATTCTTTTGATTAGTATTATAATTTTGGAAAATGATGGATTTCTTTTTGATATGGTTTATAATATTCTAAAAATTATTGAAATAATTTCACATTTACTTGTTTAAATCGTTGTTTTATTTATGAAATCTTTATTGTATATGTATATTAGTAGAACTATCGATAATTAAAAAAAGATAGATATTTGTATTTTCTTTATTAGGATATTTGTTATAATTAATTTTTTGAAATGGGATGTTTTTAGTCTAGAAATGAAAAATTGATTGAGGAACAAAAGGAACAAGCAGCTATGAATGAATAAGATAAAAGTACTGAAATCTCATATATAGTTAGATAATAACTTAGATTTAGTGAGTTGTTCATGTTCAGAGAGTGTCATTAGTTAAAATAAATCTACTAAGAAAGTGTCAATAGAAGAATGTCGTAATTCTTTTAATAAAAGTATTGATTTAATGGAAGAAGTGAATAAGAAATTAGAAGCATTTTCAGGAAATGATTCAGATTTATCAGATAGTGAATTAAATTGATAAAACAATACATATACTGAATGTTGATATAATTAAATACAATTATCATCATTAATTTGCTGATTCAATAATCTCTTCATATTTTTTAATACTTAAGTTGATATTCATTAATTATAATGCCAAAGCTCCATCAGAATAATTGTTTAAAGACTCATAAATTGGTTTAACAATAACTTTTAGAAACCCTGCTTCATTTTTTGCATATTAAACTTCATTGTCTAAATTACGTAGATATGGTGTTTAGGCAATACCAATTATATCCTCTAATTAAGACTAAATTAAATGATAATTCAAAATATTACTTAAGCTTAAAATTCCTTTCTTAATCTTTCACTCCATGCTCTTGCTACTGGCTATTATTTTGCTGCACCAAAGAAATCAGATGCATGTGTTAAGAACCCACTTAATAATAGTTTATTCTCTTCAGTTTCTAATTTAATTATTAATAAATAAATATACCAAAAATCTTTGGATCTCCTTTAGATTATCCAAATCTAATTTCAATATCATTTAATAAATTAAAATGATATTAATTATCAGTAGCTAAAATATTGTTTACAACATATTTTCTTATTGTTATTCTATCTTATTTAGGTATTGAACCAAAAAAATCACATTATTTATGAGCTAATATTTTATAAGTTACTGCAACATGATGATTTTCAAGAACTGACTTATCATTATATAATAAAGCTAATTTAGTTTAAGCATTAACTTAAAATAAATTTGTTGTTCCAGAATGATCTACATCATGACATAATCCAGCAAATGTCATTGCATATCTTTATAAATCTGTAAAATATGAACCAAACTTTTAATGATGACCAAATAAATAACAACCATGCATAACATTAACTCCATGTGTAAAATTATGAAATGGATTTGATTTTTTATTGTATTTATGTTTAAGTATTGTCATAAAATTAATAAATTCTTTTGTTAGTAAAGGATATTATTTTGTATATTCACACATATGAAATAGATTATATGCAATTATGTATTTATTTTTATACATTTTCTTATTGAGTAGATTAAATTCATAATCTAATAATTTTTACTATAAATTTGGATCTATTGCAATTCTTCTAAGTTCTGGATTTTTTTAATCTTCTTCATCCTATTTGTTCAAAAATTATTATAATTTTTTTGTTGCTTATTTCATTGTATAATTTCTATATTTCTCTAAATCTTAATCATGATCTTGATTATTAGTTTATGTAATTCTTCTCCTGTCTTAGTCTGGAAGATACATTACTAAGGCTGATTGTCTAAGGAATTGATTTTCCATCATAAGTTGTTTAGATTTAAATGCCAAGGTAGCTTTTCTTATTGTTAGTAAGATCTTTACTTTACTTCTAAATATTCTAAATAATTCAGCTAGAGGTCTATGTATATAAATAATTTATTTACCTTTTTACTTAAATATTAAATAAAAATATGGATATTTATTTTATTTATTATTTAAATCCTCTTTCTATTTTAATTGAGAACTTATAAAAACCATCATTAAATTCTAAATGATCATTAGGAGAGTCAATAATTTCTTTTACTTTTTAAATAATAGTAGGATTTTAATCAAATATTTTATAAATGGGATCTCCATAATTAACTTCTTTAGGTAAATTATATTTGGAACTATATTAATAATATTATATACACAAATTGATCATGGTTCCATTGAACTGTCATATAATAAAGATTAAGGAAATGATTAAAAAATAAACACAAAATCATTTCATTATGTTATGTAACTTACTAGAATGATTCTAATAGATCTTTTTTAGATTTCAATTTTTTCTTATATTTTTTGATTGACTTTTTAAAAGTACTTTTAACTTTATCTATTAATTAAAGTGATAGATTGCCTTCTAATTCAATTCCAATAATATCTAGATTACTTGAAAGTAATATTAATAAATAATTAGAAACAGTTTATTATTTGGTTAATTCTTTTTCGAATTGACACAATAAATTTGATAAATTAAACTATTGCATGATCTAAACTAATATTTGAAACATTAATTTATAATTATACAATAAAATAGTTTTAGAGACTAATTATAGAATTTCAGTTCTAATAGATTACATCTTCTTTAATCCAACAATTTAATATCCTTAATAGATTAATGTGATAAATTTATCATATAGAAATGTAGCCATAAAATATTATGAATATGTTTTATTAACATTATCACTAAAAGTCAAAAAGAGTACAGCATGCTATGAGATTATATATTACTTTGGGAGATTGTGAGTTTTCAGTAAAGCATAATGTTCAGTTTAAGTATTATTTAATTGATGAGCATTTTATTTATGTGCCCAAGAACTAATTTTATATTCTTCTTTAAAGAATCTAAAATCAAAATTATTTGTAAGAATAACACATTAATGTCCTTCTTCAAATTAAATCAAATAAAATTCTTCCACATAAAATTGTTTTAAAACTAATTTTATTAAATCTTTAATTTCCTATAAATGATGTTATGCTTTAAAACATTCTTCATAAATTTCATTCATGTTATTCTAAATTATCAAATTTGGAATACCTTGATGTCTCTATAAAATTCTTTTATTTTCCCTTTCAATTATGAGTTGATGCTAACAACAGATTCACTAATTTTTATTGAAAATAAGAGTACAAGTATGATTTAATAATATGTTCGCATCCATTTCTATTATTGAGTATGATTTAAACTCCAGATAAAAAATCATTTTACGACAAACCCTTTTCATAATCTATAAATAGTTATTTCAATTCAGCATTATCATTAATTGCATAATCACATAGACGAGTATATTGATCATGTGTTATTAATTTTTTATTTTTCAGACTTATAAGTAAAGCAGTTAATCGACTTGATTAAGCTAAATAACTCATATTAATATTAAAATATTTTTATAAAATTTTACAATAACTTACAAAGAAAAAAATTAAATTAAATTAATTTAGAATTAAGTATAATTTACATATATATTACCCCATATATATATATATATAATAGTTTAATCAATATATTATTATATATATATGAGTTAAACTTAAAATAAATCTATACTTTTTCATTATTAAATTTATCTTTCCCTAACTGAATTAATTTTATTAACCATATTTAATCTCCAATTTCTCATTTTTGGATTCATTAATTCTTTATCAATTTATTAAAAATCACTATAAAATTATATTGTATTAGATACTGTTTAAATGTAGTCATAAATTAACCCTAAAAGGATGGAGTTGTAAGAACTTGGGTTGCTTTAAGTTATGGACTCAATGGATAATAATCAATAGATGCTCTCTATTTAGTAAAGAAGATATCAGAATTAGAAATAGGATTTCTATGATAAATTTATTAATTTTACAATTTAGAATAACTATTTTTGAAATTAGGTAATCTTTCATAGTTTTGATGCCATTTATAATCTAAATTATAATTTGAATTTCCATTTAATTACAATTTACCTGTTGTGGAATTGTTTGGTGCTTTCATAATTTCTGGTATTTCAGGTTATTTAAAGTTAATGTGATTAGCCTAAAGATTAAAAAATTAAATAACACTTTATATGTAGTTAATGCAGCCAAAGCTAGAACACTTCGTTCTGGAGTAGGCTTGAATGATTGGATAATATCATTTGAAATTGGTTTCTAAAAATACTATTTGTAAGTAGTTGTATTTTAATTTTGTGAACTGTATTATTTATAATCTTCATATATTCTAGAGTCAATTCCTATTTTTCGATCTGCAGATTTTAAAGTGAAATCTTTTGAATATTAAGTTTAAAACTTTTAAGGTAAAACAAAGCGTGACATATTCAAATCTCCTATAGCTCTTTCTTATAGGTATAATCCTAATAAGTTATAAAAGTAATCTTTGTTGTCTTCTAATAATTTTTCAACTGTTGTTTCTTGCAATAATTCTTAAGGGATGATTTCTAACCATATTGGATCAGTATGAGGAATTTCAATGCCATCAAATACATCCTAAGAAATACAAGGGATAGAATTCGAGGTTTAAGAGCCAATATTACTATTAGACTTGATTGTAATTGTCTCAGTTTTATCTGTTTTCTATGATTTATCACCTTTTGATGAGACATCTTAATTACACTTTTGAGGTAGTTGATTAAGAGTATTGTTGCATAATTTCTTATTCTTTTTTTTTAAAAGAACAGTTTTTCGAGAGAGTTGTGGACCTATAATGTTTGGGGTATTATTGGATAGAACTTATCGTAATTAATCTGATATCATATTTATTTGATATTTTATGTTTCATCTTTTGATTAGATTTAATAAGATAATATGATGAAAATCACATAAAAATATAGATGATTTGTTAAACTTCATTAATTCTTGTTATTTATCATATTGTTTGATAAAAATGTGGTAAATAAAAATGAATAAAGAAGGGTTAGGAGATAGTGAGTTTGAAATAACAGAATATAAATTAAGTTACATATTTATATCAATTTAAAGGAATATTAGTATTATAATGAAATAGTGTAGAAATAATATTAGATTTCTATGCAAACTTAATATTATTTTAATAATTAGAAAAACGACTTATATAATGAAAGTCATTATTGCCTTGTTCTTAATATCGTTAGTGTTAGCAGAACCAAATCTAGTGGGATAAGAATCATAAGCTAAAATTCATACATTTTTAGGAAAAGAAAACTGCAATGATTGTGAAGTGAAAGGAGGTTCATATTGTGAAATAAAAACAAATACTTATGTATGTTGCAGAAGTGATGATCAATGTTAAAAAGGAGTAGGATGCTTATAAGCATTTACTGGCATCATATGTTGAAATCATCATTTAATATATATATATATATAATAATAATATATATATGCATTTCATTTAAGCAAATCAATTACTTAATTAAATTCATCTTCAGAATAATCCCAAAGATCTTTAAATTTTATATCAGTCAACTTTTCTAAGAATGAAGTAAACATGCCTCTCATTTTGATTTCTTAGATTGATGGTATTTCTACAATATCAAGTTTCTCATTTGTATTAGATAATTTATCTTAATTTTCATCATCAGATAGAGATTGAGATTTTTAATCTTAAATGCTTATATCTTGATCATTATTATCATATTATTATGGTTATTCTTAATCACTATCTTCAATTTGAATATTTTCTTCAATAACTTCTTCAACTTCTTCTTCAAAATCTTATTTATATTTTTCACTTAATATTTCATTGGTTGATTAATTTAGATCAGACTATTCCATAGGTTTATTTTACTTTAATTACTAATTTTCTTTTTTCAATTCTAAAATAATTTGATCTTTTTGTTTATTTAATTAAGTCAAACAAAAAATGGGTGTATGAGTTTTCATATCATATTTTTTGTATTTCTTATTACAATATTCACAAAGAATATTCTTAAATTCACATAAATCACGATGTTCATCAATTTCAATATATTAATACTTTTCTTAACACCATTCACATAATATAGGTCTACAATCACATTATTATAACTAAATTAGATAAAAATTTATACATGTAATTCTATATCCATTCTAAGTTTATCCTCTTAACAATATTTACATTAAACTATACCATATCTACATTCCAATTAATGATCTTCAAAATTTTTACGCAACATTGTCTCATAACAACCTACATTCTCACAACATTATTCTTAATATTAACAATATTGATTCTCATGCTTTTCACGAAAATCATAAGATATAATTTCTTCACATCCGTCTTACTAAATATATTTAAAAAAATAAATACACGATATCTGCAAGTTAACATCAATTTACTTAATAATTTAAGCATTACTTTTGGTACTTTATCATCCATAATACTTTAATTATAAGAATATCCATTCTTGCTTTTTAAATCCTTTCTACAACATGGACATTAATGATTTGGACTTTTTTGAAACCTAATTTATTAATGAATATTAAAATACCATCTTAAAATGCATTTACCACAAAATGTTTGATCACATTCTGAGCAAATCTTTGGATCAATAATTATATGACAACATATTGGACAAATAACTTCATCTAAAAATACTTTGACTTCTGATAAATTTATTATTCTGCTTTGATCAACGAACTATTCATCTTTAAAATCATTGTCAGAATTAGATGATATTGTACGCTCAGGAGATTAGTAAGAATCTTGTATAAAATCTTCATCTTCATCAAATTCTAAATCTTAATTAGAAACTATCTATGAAATATTTTCATCAGATTCTTCTATTGCATATGGATAATACATCTGAACTTTTAATAAAAATAAATTTAATCATTTATATTCTCTAGTTTCTAATGAATAAAATTTATAATATATTACAAATAACTTAATAAATTAAATTATATATATGTTAGATAACTTAAATTAGGATGTCTCAATTTTATAACCATCCCTTCAAATGACAGATTCTCAAGTTCAAAATAGAATAAGACAAATGAAAATGGAAGACCCTGATGAATAAACTTGTTATTAGAAGTTCTGCAACTTATTTACTATTGAGTAATCTATTTATAAATATACTCAGATATTATCGTGAATATTTTGATGTCACAACTGAATTAGTTATAGCTAAAGTTGTTAATGCATTTAATCCATTTTCTGGAACATTTTTTGATATTGGTGGAGGAATACCAGAATTGTATGGACCATTCTGGATTTTAAATACGTTAATTTTTACTATAGCATTATCTGTCAATATCATTAAATACATGTAATTGCAACCAGGTGAACATTTTGAATATTAATTTGAAATCGTTCCCTTTCTTGCTATATTTATGTATCTCAAAACATTAATTGTACCTATGATATATAGAGTGGCTCTTAAATGTGTATCATAAGATCGTCTCACTCTATTACATTGTTTCACTATTTATGGATATTCAGCTGTTGTTATGATTCCAATTTCATTACTCAATTCAATTCCTAATCCTGTAAATCATTTATTTAATATCTTAAAAGGCAATATAATGGATGTTATTAGTTTATGTATTGTTTGCTCAAACTTCATTTCTGACTTCAAATTTCAATTAAGAATTAAAATATTTACCTAAAGAAAAGAAGTATATGATTGTAGGACTTGTTGCAGTAGTACAGATTACTATAATGATTTTGTATAAGTTCTATTTCTTCAGTTCATTCAATTATCAACAATTGGGATTAGTTAAAAAAAGAATGAATACTCATATACTATAACATATTTTGGGCGCTAATTGAAAATAATACTATTATAATATTTATGATAAAAAATTGCAGCCATTAAAAAGTGGGTTATCTTCTTGAGAGATCTGACATTAAAGAAGTGTGTGACTTATGTTATGACATTGATTGTATTGAGTCTCACAAATTTGTTTAAAAAGTTGAATTATCAGATTTTATATCTAAGACACTTCCACTCTTAACAAAGTTTTCTTAAATTTTATTTGATTAATTACCTAATGCGATTACTACTTTTACTTAATAATTAGGTTCCATTTATGAAAGATTAATTTAAGAATCACCAAAAAAGTAAATTAATAGCATGATTGAAATTTTATAAAATAAAGATGATAAATATTTTGCTCAATTATTAGACTTTTATATAACTAGAAATCATATATAAATGATTAAAGAAAAATTAAATGAAGTTTGTAATGTATATAATATGGTTTAAAAATGTCAGGAACAATTTAAACCAAATTAATCTGAAACTCTTGAAATTTAAGATCAAAAATCAAAAAACAAATTTGAGAAGTTAAGAATATTATTTTCTAAAAAAGATGAGTCATTAATTCAATAATTACCATTAATAGATATTAATAGCAAAAACATAGAATTAACACAGAATTTTGAAATACCAACAAATTTTAAGTTCAAAAGATTATATAGTATCACTTGGTTAAATGATAAATTTATAGGTATAGCAGCTGGAGAATTTCATCCTTTTATTATTTATGATCCAATTAAAAAATATGTTCATTAATAAATACTTGAAATGAAAAATGGAGTTTATGATTCTATTGTTATAAACCAAACTTAAATTGTTTTAGCTTATGTTAGAAATTTAAAATTATTTGATTTTGTAAATGGAAAATTTGTAACCAATATACTTGAATTTCAAGAATCATAAAGTACACCTAGTAAATTATATTATTGTAAATAATCTAATTCTGTATTTGCATCTAATAATTTTAATTAATTAAGTCCTATTAATTATATTAATAGATGGAAATTAGATAATGGATAACTCATTAAATATGAAATCCAAGCTAAAACATATGGACCATTATGTATTATCAATGATAAATAATAATTTTGTACTAGTCTTTGGTGGGATAAGAATAAAAAATCATAAAGAAATAATTATATTTTTATTTGGAAATATGATAAAAATGAACCTATCAAATAAATCAATACTAAAGAACCTTAATATGCTATGAATATTATTGATAATGAAATAATTGGATTTGGTACAGAAATTACTTTTTGGAATCTCTAGAATTTTAGATAAACTAAAAAAATTAAATTTCCAGAAGAAAAACTTAATCCATGGAATTCATATATTATTGATGAAATGATAATTTTGGGTTGTGAAAATGGAAGTATTCTATAATTATATTATTAGATATATGGATGACAAATAAAGGATTTGATAAATGGGAAAAGTTGATGAAAATGAGAGCAAAAACTATGAAAATTAATGAAAACAATGGAAAACTAGTAATTACTGCATTAGATTGTAGTTTTTGCATCTTTTAAATTAAAAATTGATCAAGCATATATATATTTATATCAAATTTCTTATCCACTTGAGGCTACATTAAGAATTTAGAATAAAGCTATAAATCTTAATTTTATAATATACCTGATCCAACCACAACAAATAAGAATACACCTAAAAGAATTGGGCCAACAGGAAGATTTTCTTCTTTTTTCTAATAACAATATTTTATTTCATTACAATTAATGATTTAGGAACTTTTCCTTATTTATGTACATTTCCTTAATAATTTTAGCTTCTCAATTTCATTGTTTAAGCAGATGGCTAAATATCTAGAATATATAAGTACCATTTTGTTCCTAAATAATTATAGATTTTATTTATTAAATTCACGCGTGTTAATAGTTTCAATATGAATTGTATTAAATAACAATAAAGTTCTATTAAAAAATAATGTCAATATAACATTGATTTTGAATTTTAAAATACTATTTTGATAAATATCATAAGAGTAAGTAAATAATGAATGTTTTATAGTTTATTCTTATGTAATATATATAAACTAATAGATGAAAGTAGAATATATATTCTAAATATATTTTCTATTATGATAAAACTTTGAATATGAAACAAAATTAATATTTTTATAATAACTTTGATGTTAATCATATTCACTTTAATCATTCTTTTTGAATAGGAAATACAGTATCTCTTTTAGGGAATATATTATTAGAATCTATATAAATCTCACTATAAATTATTGTAGCATTCATAATAATAAACTATATTTACAATCTCAACAATTTTGATGCTTTCAATCTTAAAGACATAGATTTATTTGACAAGATAATGATCTATGTATTTAAGCTTAATTGTGTATTTTCTAACTTCTTAAATCATTATGAAAATCATTATTCTGAATTGGTGATCTTATTTATTTTCTTATAATTTCTAGTTCTCAAGGAGTAATAATTATAGAAATGATTGTTGCAATCCAAAGAACTATAAATAATCTCTATTTCGTTTTTATATAATTAATATAAACTAAAACCATTCTCATTTTACAATGATATCTAAAAATGGAAAACCTAACATTTGTTGAGTTAAGATCCTTCACTATCAATTTTTATTATATAAATTTTCATGTATGTCATGTTTTAAAACTTCATTATTATTAAATGAAATTATAAAGACTCTCTTTAACTCAGCGTAATTAGGGTTGAGATGGAACATATTTTTAATTATTCAATACAAATGTTCAATATTGATGGAATTATCTGATTATTCAAAATTTTATGTATTGAATGTTTATTAATTGATATAAGTGATGAAATCAATCTATACAATAATCATTTTAATTAGTACTCTGAATGATAAAATAAACGAGCGAAATATCTCAGAGTTTTTGAGAATTATTAATAATTTAATATTTACCAAATATCAGTTATGAACATAGAGACACCTATAACAATTAAAGTTTCAAAAACTAATAGTTCTAATTCCAATCGTTTTACTTTGATTACTGAGAAAATTGATTTTAACGATCCAAAACCATTATTAAGATTTAAGACTTTATTGGCTCATTAAATCATTTAAAAGTGAAGTAAGTTTAAAAACCTTATCTTTTAAGTTCTCTTCACTCAGTTCCCAATTTTGCAATTTTGATCTGATGATGTGAATATAATCAGATAATATAAAATATAAAAAATTAACTAATCCTTCTTATTCTCCCAACTTCAGCAGTCTAATGAATATTATTTCTCCAATAATAATTCATGGTTACCATACAACAATCAAGGATGAACATCTCTATTGTCTGTTGAGAGAACCTTTTTATGGAATGTACTATAAATATATGTAATAAAAACTACTTTCTTCTAGAAAAAACTACTTTTATTAGGAATGCCTAATATAAATTATTATGGATTCCAACTTAATAAATCCATTTAAACTTATTTTTAATACAATTTAAAATGATTGTATAATGAAATAAAATGAAAATTCGTTACAAAAATAAGACAAAGGAATTGATATCAATGATATAGTTTTGTAATTAATATTAAATACTCCAGAATATCTATAGGATAATACTGAAAGGATTTCATTAGATTGATAAAAATATATATATAAATAAAATCATAATATAATAATGACATCAAATTTATTAGCAGTAGTAACATTATAAACTGATGATGTTCCCAATTTTATACATATATATGAAGATGATGATATAGAATTACTTGTAGCTGCATTTTGTGAATTAAACAAAATTACAGAAGTAGGATAACAATTCATTATTTCAGAAATTAAAAAAAATTTAAATTCAGTTTATAAATCTACATTAGATATCATACTATAAGCTGAATACCAAGATTAATAATAATCTAATAAAGACAATTAATATTGTAAATTGTTAAAAAATAAAGTTTTTAGAAATGATCAACTAAAAAATGATATGTTTATAGCAAAATAATCATCATGTTTTTAATCGAAACCTTACTCTAAATAATGTTGATAAATAATAAATAATGTAAATTGAAGATAGATAATAATTATATACTGAAACTATCAATTAAAGAAATTTAGTAGAATAATATAATGTTAATGGAATCCTTGATGATAATTAATAGAAAAGGAAACTAAACATTTCTCCAAATTATCGATATGAAAAAACATCTTAAAAAATAAAACAAAGATTTGCAGCAAAATTTAACATATATTCTAAATAAAATGACTATTAATAAACAAATAACAGAAAAAAGATCTTTGATGCTAATCAACCAAAAATATAATATAAATAAGATTTTTAACTAATTAAAAATATCTTTAGATAACTTGATAATGATGGAGATGGTTTTATTAGTTTTGAATCTATAAATTTAAAAATTGCTGAATAAACCTTATAACAAATAGCTCCTGTATTATTTCATATGTAAGAGTAAAGGATGGTTTTAGATTTTGATTCGTTTGTATATTTAATAATATCTTTTAATATATTGATTTATTGAAAACTAAAATTTCATTATTAATACTCTTACAAAAATAATAAAAACTAGTTAAATACACAATGCTACAATAAAAAAAGTAATAAACTGCACATCTTAATCCTATTCTATGGTAACCTTTGGAAAAATTATAATTGATGCATTTGAGTCAAAATCTCATTTATTCTGGAATTATTTGGATTAGAAGTGAGGATCAACAATTACATGAGGAATAAGTTTCTTTATATGCTGATAGGTAGATAGTTAGAATTTATTAAGATTGCAAATTCACTAATTGTTTTGTAATTTGAGCTAAACAATAATAAGAAAAAATATTCAAACAATAAAATTAGTATAAGGGAAAAATAGTACAGAGATATTTTTCAATAGAAGTGCTGATTTGGAAAATTGGTTTAATATGTTAAAAAGATTAACTATTCAATTAAATTTTAGTAAAGACTACAAATTGAATAAGAGATTAGGATATCAAGATCCATAGACACAAATTTATTAGGCAAGATGTTTTTCAAATAATATAAATTATACTGTAAAAGTAATACAAAAAAATAACAAATTCGATCCTAAATTAATACAATAGGAAATTAATATTTTAAGAAGAATAAAACATAAAAATATCATCAATTTAGTAGAAGTATATGAAGATTAATATACAATATTTTTGATATTTGAGAATTATTTTGGTACTGAAATGGTATATAGATTTGAAGATATATTAAATAGTCAAGAACCATAATATGCAAGGATTATATATAAATTATTAGAAATTTTATCTTGCATTCATTCTTTGGGAATTATTCATGGAGATATAAAATTAGAGAATATTTATGTGAAATCTGATAATTTAGTGGATATCTGTTTAGCCAATTTTACTTAATCTGAATTCATTGATAGTTAAGTAAAGGCAATAAAAGGAAGTGAGGGGTAAATTTAATTGAAATTTAGATTCTTAGTTATTAATCGCCTGAGTTATTGAATGGGAAGCCTTATGATTAAAGTATTGATATTTATGCAGTTGGAATAATTTTTTATTACTTTATATATTAAGTGATGCCATTTAGTGAATCGTAAGAACATGTATTGATTATTATAAGGCTTAGAACGATAATAAATCAGGCTAAATTGAATTTCCTCAAGTCAGAAATACTTCCTATGCCATTGATTTATTAAAATAAATGCTATAAGTTGAACCAAAATAAAGAATTAAACCTAATGTAGCAATGAATCATGAATGGTTTATTAAAATGAAAGTTTAAGAGAAATTATTCAAATAAAAAAGTTTTAAAGACTTTACTCTTCCAACTATTTTAGAAAAGTCAGACATTTTTACTTAATCTCCTGGTTAATTACCTAAAAGAGAATGCATTGGAGTTTTTGAGGATGAATTCTTATTAGATAGTCTCTCTGACAGAATGGGATTATTAAAAAATGCATTTAATCCATCAAAGTTGAATCATGACATTTTTTAGAAGAAATAGAAATGAAATCTAACTCTATATTATTATTAATATAAACAAAAATATCAAATCATGATTGGTTGAGAGAGTGAATCATAATTCTAAGGAGTAGGGATGAAAGATTTCTTTTTCTATAGTTTTCTCTCCAATATATTAATTACTGAGTATTAAGAATTTTCACTGAAGAACCTTTATCTTTTTCTAATTGACTTTTTTGTTTTCATTATTTCTTTTGGACTTGTCAGTTCTTCTTCCAAAATTGTTTATAAAGGAATATTTAACTAATTTTAACAGACATCATTGGCTAAATCTAAATCTGGTATATAGAAAGTGGACTGCTTAATTGGTCTAAATATTAAAGATGAGTCTTACTTAAGTTAAGGAGTTTCTGGTAATTGATTATGATAATCAACAAATTCTTCAAAAGTCAAAGCAGAGTTAAACCTTTTCCTTTTATCACACATATAAATAATTATTTTCAAAAATATTTTTAAATAATTGCAATACATTATCAATTAAATAGAGATAATTTAGAAACCATAATAAATGATGTAATAAATAATTGGAATTATAATTTATTTTGTCATTCTACATAAATCCCTTTCAATATTAGAATTAAAAAAATTGCATTAAGATATTCTATTCTTCAATAAATTATAGTTTTTATTAAGTAAAATTAAATTTAGAATATAAATATAATTTAAATTAAATAATCTCAGATGTAGCAATAAAAAAGAGAGAAAACTATTACATTTTCAGATGGCTAACAATAAAAATAAGAAGAAAATTAATATTAACCAGTCAAAGGATAGCATTCAGAAGGATAGTATTATTTGTTATTTAAACTTTTATTAGGTATCAAAATAATCCCTAATCTCAAAAAATAATTCCTTTTTCAGCATATGCTTAATATGCTTAATACCCTTAAAAACTTAAGAATGCAAGTCTTTATAAAACAGATCAACCAATGCACCCTATAGATTCAAAAAAAATGGATTTAAGATCACTTAAAAGGCTGTATAAATTTTAAAGCATCATAGTTTTTTAGTTTGCAATATTCTAATGTTAAGTTAATTATCTACCTTTACATTTTTTAGATGCTATTCAGAATTTTTATATGGAGGAAGAGCAGAGAGGATAGCTTGTATCATGTTTATTATCTCGTAATAAATTTCTATTAATTAAGGCTTGTCGTTTTTACTTTTGGAAATTGTATAAGTATATGTTCAAAAAAGAGATTTTTATATTATTAGGTTATAATGGGCATAAGTTTAATATTTGAAATAAGTGGATCTATTATTATATTTGCCTCTTTTAATTATGTAGACTAGAATTTATATTATCAAGAGGATGAATAAAAATATCCAAAAGAGGTTGGGTATCAATTAAATATAAACAATTAGATTGATATATTATATTATTAGTTTCATTCTAATAATGATTACTGATGGAATTTTAATATATTGTTTAAGGAAAATCAGATTTAAGTAGTTAGATTTGATTATCTCTAAGGGAACTACTGAAATATAGACTGATGTTTATGAACAAATTAAATTATTGGAAATGATATAAGATGCACCATAAATTTGAAAGATATATATATATATACATTATTTATTTTTTTCATTTTATTGTTTCATTATATATTAATTTATTAGATATGTTTATTTATTTATATATAATTTAAGTATTAATATTAATGCCAATTTATAATGAAGTTTGGGAGGAGGAAGGTAAAATTAGATCTATTCTGTAGATTTCATGTTCAGAAATATGATTAATCTCTAAACTTTAACAAAGAATCATGTTAAACTTTTGGACAATCTTAAATTTGAATTTGTTGAGTACAAAGTAATCAAATTATTATATATTAATGGCAAATCAATTATTAGCTTGTCATCTATATGATAGAATGGCCTAACATTGCAAGAATTAATTTGGTCTTTTCGAGGATTCTTATGTACCAGAATGTCTAGATGCTAGAAACTATTTTTAATTGTGTGTAAGAATGAATGCATCTTATGGTTTGGCTAAAAAGTATTTCCCAGAGTATATAATTTATATATATAAATATAGATATTTCTTAACTAATGAATATTCTAGACCAAATCCAAACTTTAAGGAATTAGGACTATGAAAATAATAATAATTTATAAAGCATAAAATTAATTATATCAATAATCGGATGAATTAGACTAATCCATTTAATTCTGTATACTACCTCTCTTTTTTGTCTTTCTTTAAGATAAGTTTAACTATTCTATTTTTTTAGCCTAATTAATAAATTATATAAATTTACTCTTTTTTATAACTTTTATTACAATTTACCTAATAATGATGCTACCTTTCTTTGTTTTGGTGATAATCTATTATTTTCATACCTATCATTTTCTTTTGAATCAACAGGAGATCTAGATCTTGGTAATGATTTTAAACGTGATTTAGATTGTTATCTTGATTTGGATTAAACCTTTTTTGATTTAATGAAATTTATGATTGAACTACTTGAAGAACTATGTGATGATTTAATTGATGAAGATTTTGATACAGATTTCTCTTTTTATCTTCCCCTAGAAACTGGTTTCTTTTTTTCATAATCTCTATACTTTTCTTATTGTTAATCATATTGAATATAATCCTTGAAGCTTTTAATCAAATCTTTTTATTAATTTTTAAATTTTGATTCTTATTATTAAAATAAAATTTAAAAGTTACCTGATAGTTCACTTATTTTCTTATCAATTACTTCTTCAAATTTGCTCATTTATTGTTATTATTATTATTATTATTATTATTATTATTATTATTAAGGTTATGGTGTAGATGTTACTTATTAAGATTGTTAGGTTTATTATTGAGTTATTTAACCATTATTATATACTTATCTTTTATTGGCATCAAAACTAACTTCACTTTAATTCTATTATATATATTTATGTATTGAATCCTCTTATTCTTATTATTTATCTTTAATTTAAGTAACCAATTTAAATAATCGTTAAACTTGACTCTCTAATTATTCACATTTATCTTTCCATTCTTAAACTTCTTTTTTTAATATATTAATTTCACTCAAATTTTTGCTCTATATATCTAATACCATTCTTTCTGTTGATGTCAATCTTTAAAAAGAATCTGGAACATCTTCTGTAATGTTGCTTTTATGGAATCCTTATTTAGTTTATGATTAACTTGATTTTCCTTATTAATGACTCTATTTTAAACTAGCAACTTCTCTTCCCATACTATGAATCTTTTATGCTAAATCATGATATTCATTTATTTTAATATCTTGTCTTTCATTTCTATCATTTCTTTCATTTCTATCTATTCTTTCCATTCTTTCAAATCTATCCATTCTATCAGATCTTTCATGATGTTCAAGTTCCTCTTTTTCAAATTGTTGTTTATATTAACTATGATTATTCTCAGTCTATTGCTAAGATTCTGTTACGCTCTCTGTACTAATCATAGCATATTCTTCAAGTAAATATACTTAATTTAAATAAGTTTTAGAAGCACCAAAAGTCTCCTTTATAATGATCTTAATAAATTGATATCTAGTTCCTAAAGGATCGATTTAAAATAATTATATTCCTTATTTCAATTCAGGATATAGAGTTGTCCAAGTAATGAAATTTTCTCCATTTAATGATACCATCAATTCAATCACTGATGGATTACTTTAATAATCATGCCAACAATCAAAACCAAAACATTTAATAAATTTAGGTCTTTCTTAAACTTGAGATAAATCTAATGTAATGTATTGAGGTAATCCTGCTAAAGACATCCATAATGCCTATAAAATTAATATTTTATTATTACTTTCCTTTCTTAAATTAGAATATTTTCAGCTGCACAATTAGGTAATGTAGAACTAACATTACAAACTCTAACTCCATTTTCAGTTGTACAATAATTTTAATGTTCCATTTGAATTTAAATTTTAAAATAAATAAACTTAAAAAATTGAATAAATACAACATTTCAAATAACTTATTGGACTTCCTATTTTTCATTATTAATAGATATAAATAATCATCATAATCTAAATTAGATAATCATAAAATTAAGTTTTTATAAGAATAACTTTAATTTTAATTTTATTTATTTGTGTACATTATATGGGCAAAAAAAATAAAAAACTAAGAAATCAAGAAAGTGATCCAATTGTTAAATAAATTAGGAAAAAAAAACCATAATCAATCAAGAATTAAGAATAAGTTGAAGAAATAACTGATGATGAAGAAATTTCAGAATAACAAAATGAAGATGATTAAATTTTTGAACATGTGGTTGATTTTAAAAATACTAATGAAAAACCTTCCCATTATTAAAATCTACTCAAAAAACTTAATATAAAACAATAATAAGCAGATGATAATTATGGTTGTTCAGAATCTGCTAGATTAAATATTAAATAAGAAAATAAGTCTGTTTATGCAAAAATGAAAAAATATGAATTAGTTAAAGTACCTAATCTCAATCCATTTTCACATTTTGAATATGATTATCAAGAATTAAGAAAAACAATTTGTATAGGTGATATTGAAATAGAACAACCTGAATAATTAAATGCTTTTTTTAAAGAGAAAACAACTAAATTAATAAATACTCTTAATAATGGAATCGAGTTTAAAAAATATGAATTAAATAAATAATTAAAAAACAAAACATTAATTGATTTGAATTGCAAAAATGAAGACTATAATATTGAAACTTTATCTTAAAGATAATTAATTAAAGATGATAAATTTTTATTACCTGTAGTGAAAGACTCAGAAGAAGAAAAAGAATTATTATAGTCTAATCTAATATATAGTTATTTTGATTATATTGAAACAGATCCTGATGAATAAAATGCTGAAAAATTTAGAAAGACTTATATTACACATATATCAAATCATTTAGATAAGGAAAAAGAATCATATGGATTTACTAGATGCAAAGTTTTAATATTAACAGCCTTTAAAGGAGATGCAATTTCAATAATAAATTAATTAATTTAAACTGATAAAGAAGTTGTCAATAAAGAAAGATATGAGAATGAATTTTGTGATGAAGAAAGACTTGAAGAAGATGATTTTAGAATTGGTATTCAATTTTCTAGATAAGGATATATAAAATTGCATGCTAATTTTGATAAATCAGATATTATTGTCACTTCTACTTTAGGAATGAGATTAATTATTGGTACAGAGGATTAAAAACATAGAGAAACTCATTTTCTATCTTCTATTGAAATATTAGTAATAGATAGAGCTTCATCTATGTATATGTAGAATTGGAGTTATTTGGAGGACATCTTAAATGCAACTAATTTATTACCTAATCATAAAAACATAACTAGTGATTTGAGTACTATTAGACCTTATTGTTTTGAGAATTTAACTAAGTTTTATAGATAAAATATAGTTTATACTGATCATTACTTTTAAGAATTAAATTTTCTGAGAAAATAATACTTCTCTAATTATAAGGGATGTATAAGTAATAAGATTTATTATAATTAATTGTTTTAAAAGTCTGTCAATTTTTAATAAGAATTTAGATAAATTGATTGTTCTAATACTGAATAATAAATAGAATAAAGATTCAATCAATTTAAAAAACTTTGGAATGATATTGAAAATAATAAAAGTTCTTAGTTTAAGAAAACTTTAATATTTGTTTAATCTTATTTTGATTTTGTTGCTATAAAGGGACATTTTAAAAGAATTAATAGTAATTGTGAATGTGTAAGTGAATATACAAAAAAGAATAAAGTTCAAAGTATCATTAGTAAATTTAAAGATGGTAGAATTTAATATATTATGATAACAGAAAGAGCATACTTTTTTGAAATAATATAATTGAGATCAATGAAAAATATTATTTTTTATTAATTACCTCAACATTCAATTATTTATAAATAATTGATTTAAGGAATTGAAAATTTAGGTAATAAAACTTAGATTATTACCTACTATAGCAAATTTGATGCATATTAACTTGAAACAATAGTTGGTACATTAAGGGCAGAAGAAATGATTTCAGAATAAAACAAGAGAACTACTTTTATTTTATGATAAACCCATTTTGAATGTTTATAGATGTGAAATGCATATATTATATTTTTATTCACCATGGTATATCCTAATTTCCAGTATTCTAATTTTAATAATTTTCATATCCATCTTTTAACTAATAAATACCTTAATGATTTAGATTATCAATTGATAAAGAGGGGTAGTTAGTGCTGCTAATATTTTAATTATGAGGTATATTTAGGATCTCATTATACTATGGAATTTATTGTTATGCTTAATACATTGATTATGAATAATTAATCTATTAATGTTATTGAGTAGTTGGTTTTTAAATTTAAGGTTTAGTTTATAATTTTTGTATTTCTGTTTGTAGTTCTTATTCTTATTATTTCAAACTATTAAAAATTAATTATAATTTATTCATTTATTAAATTAAAAATTCTATATCATTCTCTTTTTATTAAATCAATTGTTTTTAAGCATTATTATTAGAATTATTTTAAAATTACATAACTAATTAATTTAATTGATTTTAAAGCTATTATTATTGCATAGTTAATGTCTGTAATTCATTATTCTATTAATTCTAAACTTATTAACCTGATTATACTCTACAATTATTTGATTGTGAGATTTATGGAGTATCATATTATACTTTGATATCTTTAATTATAATTGATTATTGAGGTTAGCTTTGGGCAATTAATCTTTAAAGAGAATCAGGTAAATATTGAGGTAATGGAATATTTTTTCTACATAAAGCAATTAAATGAATGGCTACAATATATTCATTTTTAAATAGGAATCCTTTTTAATTTGTATCAACTAGTGCCCATAATTCTTTTAATATTTCATTAGATAATTCAGATTTATAAAAGATTGCTTTTGCAGATTCACCCTCAATATACCCTTAATTCTTTCTATCTTATTATTAATAATGTAAACTGTATTTATCATAAAGTTCATTACTAATATCAAATTGATTTGTAATATCAGAAGGTGGTTTATATTATTGTTAATTTAGAACAGGAGCTGTTTGATACATTTGAGCCATGGGCATTTATTAATAAGCTCCCAGAGATGGAGATGGCTATTAAGGAAGTAGTAATCCATCTATCACTGGTAAACGAACGTATTAATTTTCCATTAATAGTGAAGGATTCAATTCAAATCCGTTTTGACAATACGCTATCAATTTCATAATGATTAGAAATTCCTAAAGGTATAATTTGTTTTCATTATTTGAAACAGCCATCAACCAAATAGCTTTTAGTTTATCAGATGGTAATTGACTTCTTTTGAAAAATTAAATTGTGTCTTTGGCATTAGTGCTTCCAATACCCTAAAGAGTTATTTCTTTTATTTACTTAAGGATCAAGAGTGCTCCAAAGTTGTCTAAAATATTGATCTTCTTCTGGAGTCAATTATAAATTATTCATTAAATTTAATGTTATCTATTAATCAAACAAAAACAACTTAAAATCATTGTTGTAAGTATTTTTTTATTCATAAAATCATTTTCTATTGACAATGATAATATTAATAACAGAATTTGAAATCTTTTAAGTAGTTAAAAATTGAAATAAAACTTGCAACTTCTTATTATTCAGTTAGGATTAACAATATTATTTATTATATATATTGTAATTAATATTAATGAAGATGTAGAATATACAATTATTATAATTAAAGTTATGAAATAAATTCAAATGATCTTGTTTATATCTCTATTTCTAATGTAAGTTTAATTTATTATTTTTAGTCCAATATTGGGTTAAAACAATGAAAAAAAAAATTCAATGGGAAATAATAATGTATATAAATATACTTTTATTGGAATTTTATAGTATTGAAAATGGCAAATTCATTATTCTGTTAATATTTTTGGCATTAATTTCTCGTTATCTTTATACAAAAAAGGTAATTTAAAAAATAGGGGAATTGATTATTAATCTTAGAATTCAGCAATAAAATTAATAGTAATAATAAATTCCAGAGAATGATGAATATTATAAAAAAAGTATTTGATATTTAATTGTATTAGATTCTATTATTAAGCAATTGAAAAAAATTGTTAAAGTTTTAAAAAGCAAATTCAAAAAGACAAATGAATCATCAATTGATATTTCAAAGAAATATAGCTAATTTGATATGGAAGAATCTATTTGAAATTTAAATATCATACATATAATATACACATAAATATAATTATCAATTCTTTCTTTACTTTTTTTTATTTTTAGTATTGTTTTTAATTTAAACTTCTTCCTTTTTTATTTTTTTAGACTTTTAATCCTTTTTTTATAAGACTTCTTATTTTTATAACTATTATTGCACTTATGGAGGATTGTTCTCTTATTTTTAATATTAGATTTTATTTAATGGTTCTTCTTTGTTTAAACAGTTTTCACATTTGCATAAATCAGTGCACTTTTAATTAATACTATAGCATTCACAATATTTCTTTTTGCATTCGGATTTCTTGCAATTACAGCCTTTTTTAGTTTCCTTACTTTATTCTTTTTATGATTTGGGTTCTTGTAGAAATGTGATTAGATACCTGGAATTATTTATGGTTATTATCCATTGTTAGTTAAAATTGCAGAAAAGGCTTCAGGATTTCTAAGTAAGGCTTCTTCTATAGCTTTTGATCTTTCATTAGGATTATCAATTCTATTTTTACATTCAGTACAATTACAGCTTTAAGAGCAAACCTATGAATAAAATGAATGATAACCCAATTATTAGCAAAGCATTCGCAATATAATTTTAAACATTTACTTTTTTTGCAATTACATTGAAAGGGAGATACTTTTTGAAATTAAACTAATTAGTTAACTTTAGACTAAAGTTCTTTAGATAGGGTGTTTTAGTATTACGATGAATCAAAAGGAGGATAATAGAATGGAGGTCTATACCATGGATGAGGATATGGCACAGGATATTTCATTTGCATATAAAGGTTATTTTGAGGATATTTCATTTATGGGGGAATTTATTAATAGTAATGATTGTAAGGTTGTCTAAATTGATCTTCTTCATCTGGAGCATCACCTGCCGATAATTTTCGAAATGGATATTTAGGTTTGTTTTTATCTTAAAATTCATGTTCAGCATGAAGATTAAAGTTTGACATATTTTAAGCAGGGAGGAGATAACATTATTAAGGAGTGAATCTTGGAGATTAGGATGGAGGTTGTTATGGCCATTCTTAATCATAATAGTGGAGTTACTTTTCTACCTTATGTTCATTGGAATTGTGATCATCTTAATTCATAATAAATTAATTAAAAATTAATAATGGCAGCCATCAATAAGGAATAAGTTGATATGGATAATCCAGCATTTGCATAATAAGATCCACATCTTAAAATAAATGACGATGAAGAAATGGGATTACCACCTTAATTCAGAAATCGTTACCCAAGAAGACCACCACTATTTGATGGCTTATTAAACAATGTTAGAGCTGTTACAAAGAAAGTAGAACACATAAAAGGATTTAAATTTGAAGTAGCAGGAGGATTGTCAAATAATTTTCATTTGGCACATTCATGGATGATACCACCATCAGTATAATAAAATATTAAAATTATTAGAGCAAAGGCAAAGCTCCAAATCCTAATCCAATGAAACAACCACCTGTTCCAAGTTATACTTTGGCTGCATAGTATTTGGGAGGCTCTCCTAAAACACCTTTTGATCATCCTACATATGTTATGACAGGAAGATGGGATTCAAGTGGTAAATTAGAAGCTGCTATTATTAAGAGATTAAATGAAATGTTCAATTTCAGGTAAATATAAAAATCCTATTAAAATAAAAAGATTTAGTGCATTTTATTTAAATTCTGATCCTTTAAATTCTTAAATGCATTTAGATTGTGATATAAAAGGAGAGGATTATGTTCATTCAATAAAAATTGGTACAGGACTCTATAGTTTCAATATGATGTAAACAATTGGAAACCGACTTGTTTTAGGATATGAAATGATGACGTTGGTATCCATTTAGAAAATAATTTAAAGACTGAAAGAAATCTTTCATTTATGAGTTATGCTATGAAGTTTGGTATCAACAAGAATTAGAATATTTATGCTCAATATGTTGGTGCTGCTGATTAATTAATCTTAGCTTATAATCATAGAGTAACAAATTCATATCGACAAATAGCTATTAGATAAAGCATATTTTATGTCAGAATTAGAATATTCAAATTAAACTGGAGAATCTAGAGCTATACTTGTAATAGAATATATTTATAATATTAAGGGTTATAGACAGAAATTTGCTATTTCAGAAGTTATAGTGACAGTGAATTCAAAATAGAAATTCAGTTCTGCATTAACTCTTTAGGGATTTGCTTATTAATTGAAATTGTGTGCAATTGCAGATTATAATAAGGATAGCTATAAATTTGGATATGGAATAGCAATGGGTTAAGTTTGATAACTAGTATAAATCAAAAAATAATTCATCTTAAATTTTTACTCATACTTTTTGATAAAGTTTCTTATATTCTTTTATTTAAATTAATTAATTTTTAATCTAAACCATCTCCTTTTTAAATATTTATCTTCATTTCTATATTTTCCTAATTATTATTTATATCCACATTTATTTTACATTTCTACTTATCTATTTATTAAATTATGTTAGACTACTATTCTGACAATCCAATCTATTTTTCTTTGTTTTATTATAGAATTTACTATAATTCATTCCAATCAGGTCTTTTTTCATTATCTAAATCAACCATAGATCTCAAAACATTTTCAACTCTTCCTGGATACAATTGTTTTAATTTCTGAAGCTTTTCTTCAAATAGACCATTTTATAATATTCCTTCATTATATATATCTTTACAATCTCTTAATAATGCTAATGACAATATTATCATGCTAAAAAGGTATAATATTAATCATTACCCAACACAAAAAACATCTTATTTAAATAAATTATGTTTTAAATTTGTTCCATTTAAAGATGCTAAAAATTAATTATAGAACAAATGTGGTGCTTTTGCTCTAAATGGACTAACATCTTAAACTCTATATAATAAGTATTCCTCATCAAAATATATTGACTCAAGTGTCAAAGCTGAATGGGATACTCCTTTTTTTTACAAGAATAGTAATGCATCTGATAGACCTATTATCATTTTCCAAATTTCATCCTCAGGAACATATTCTCCAGTTTAAGATCTCTTTTCTATTAATTATTTAACATCTAAAGGCAAATATTCATAATATATTTTGAATTCTCTAGTTTTAATTTAACTATATTTATCACTCACATCCTAATAAAATAAAAAACTAATTAAATTAGGATGTCTCCATTTTGTTCTCTCTTATATTGCACTTATTTCTGCTTAATTTATAATATTTGTCCAACAACAAAGATATTTTGCAAAGGGATCAACTCTATATATAGCTGATGTTGATGTTATGTCAATAACATGAATTAATGATGTATAAGCAGATAACATATAATCTTTTGGATTTTCATTAGGTAATCTTTATCTTGGAGCATCTTAGACAAAAGGATTGTAAGATTAAGTTATTTTGTTTATTGGAAAGTTTAACTTTTACTATCCAATACAATATTCAGAGTACATTCTTGTCTGTTAAATTAATTTCTAATATTCAAATTTTTTATAGATAATGTTTTAATATAACAATAGTATATAATTAAATGCATCATATTTTTGGAATTTTCAATAATTTATTCAATTTTATTCTCTCATTTTTCTCATTGCAAAATAAGAAAGAAAATACATAATATCCATTAAATGAATATTATTGAAATATAATAGTATAACTCAATATTAAACTTACATAATTAATTGAATTTAATATTCTGTTCAGCTAAATGTATTTTTCTAAATAAATTATATAAATTTGATTAATGCGATATCATAAAAATTATATGATAAAGATTTAATCAAATTGAAATTAATTAATTTATAATAATTGTAATCATTTTATTCATTCTTAGACTTCATCATCAACATTATATGGTTTGTTAAAATTAATAAATCGATCAAAAGCATATTAATCAAATTCGCCTATGTCTTCACTTAATTTTGATGAGTTTGGTTATTCAGCAAAAGATGGAGACTACTCTTAATCATGAGATGAACATTAATTTATTCCTTAAGTTTCACCTAGATTAGTTGAAAAGAAAATGCTTTTTTTTGTTGGAATTTTTAGAAAACTATTTGTTAAATCTGTTTGTTAAACATCACATTTTGAATCAACTGAACGATTATTTTTAATTGTGATAGTTTATGAAGATCTTAATAGGATATTTCTCTATTTATGACTGTTTTTAGAATATTTTGAAGATAATCGAGGCATGTTTTTTCTAATTGCTAGTTTTCTTAATGATTTCTTTCTGACTTAATCATCATCTACACTTTAAAACCATTAATGCTTTAGGGCAGCATCAGGATGAGGTCTAAATGCCCAATCTTTCTATAATAATTATATAATTAAATCTTTGGCTTCTTTAGAGACTTACTCAAATAATTCATTTGGAAATTCTATAGCTGCATCTTTAATTTTCTCAATTAAATCATTCAAACTAAAAAATTTATTAAAAATAAGTTACTAATCTGATAGGAAAGGCAATTATCCAGACAACATTGAATACAAAATACAACCTGCACTCCACATATCAACCATTTAACTAAAGAATAAAATAATAAATTTACTTATAACCTTCTCCAGAAAATATTTCAGGTGCTGAAAATGCTACTGTTCCAGTATATGTCCACATTTCAATTTTTTCTCTATCTTTTAGATCTCCAAATTCTTTATAAGCATCACTAAATTTACTTACATTAAAGTCAGTAACTTTGATCTAATTTTTGTCTATTAAAATAATATAAATACTTTCAACACATAAAATATTATTGGGTTTTAAGTCTCTATGGCAAATACCATTCCGATGCATATATTCAATAGCACTCAATAATTACTGAAATAATTCCTTAGCATCACTCTCACTGTAATGTCCTAATTCATTTATCACCTCAAACATCTCCTTTCCTTTAATCAATTCCATAACCACATATGCTTTACTTTCAGATTAAAACCCATTATTGAAATCAACATATAATTTATGAACTTTCACAATATTTTCATGTTACAACTTAAACATTGATTTAAACTCAAGAATCATCTACTTTTATTATGTTCTCTTACATTTCTTATTATTTCATCATCTTATGTTTAAACTATCTTAACTGCATACTCAATTTATGATTATTTATGTACAATCCTTTTAACCAATCCCAAACAACCTTCTCCCAATATTTCCATCATTTCATATTCCTCATCAAATTTTTTTAGATTTGGGCATATGTATTCTGAATCAAATTCATTGATTTCTACATCCAATTTACGCCCTAACTCCTGTAGTTCTTCCTGTAAATCCTTTTCATCATCTAAAGGTTTCTTTATTATTAATTGAATCCTTCCTAGTAATGTAATAAATATATATACCTCTTAATTGCTATTTTATTCTGTCTCGATTATTTTGAGCTTATGTTTATTTGTCTTCAGACTCAGATTTGAGAAAAGTAAATCTTCCACTTCCCTTTTTCTCAGTGGTTTATAATCTAGGAGGCAATCTTTGAGTTTCAAATGTAGAAGATTCACTGAGTGTTATTTATGACAATTAATCTAGCATAATACAGTAAAATATTTTATAAATAAAAATGTTACATTTTATATAAAGAGGTCTTTTTTGTAATTTTTTACTTTGAAATAACTGACAAGATTTATTTATTAAGATTTAAACTCATAACTTTTTAAATTATGTTTAAGCACTCAATAAAAATTACTTAGAAAACCATTAAATTATAATTTCATAAATAATCAAGATTAAATTAAACATAAGAAAGAACAAATTAGATGTATTTATGAATATTTTCTATAAGTAATTTTGAATTTAATGTACTATTTATTCAGAATTTACTAACTTCAAATAAATACATAATTAAGTACACTTTCAATATTGTTATCAAATTTAACTACTTACTCTTTAAAGTAATCTTTTCTTCAGTATTTCAGGAAGTTTAAGCCAAAATATTTTTAAATACATTATTCTGGATAATATTTTGCATTATAATAGAAATAAGGGATGAATTAAAACAAAAAATGAATAATAAAATTCATTAATCGAAAAAGAATTAGAATTTTTAAAAAAATTGTCATAATATTTCTTTAGATTTGCTTCTACAAATGCAATATTAGGAATTTATTATCTACTATCTCTAATTTTCGTAGGAATTATTTTAATTCAGAATGATGATGTTTTAGGCTTAATATTATTGATTTTTAGGTAATTAGGCTATTTAATTAGTTATTCTTTATGGGAAATTTCATTTTAGATAGCTATCAAAACATTCAAAAATTAACAGCCATATTAATCAACAATTTCATTTTTTGTTGGTATATTTGACTGTTATGTATAATTCTTGATATATTCTGCAATTAAAGAAGCAAGAGTTTTTTATGTTTTTTTCATTACAAAGCTTTTGGGTTGCAACAGTAGTTTTTTTGATCACATTATTTTTCTACAATATAATGATTTTAATAAAGTATTAAACACTTGAATATCTACTACATTCCTCAGATACTAATGTTTAAAAAACCATTAATTCATATATGAGAAATTAAATTTATAATTTATTTATTAAATCTCTCAGAAATACCCTTTGACTTCAGAGAGTTTTCCTTAAGACATAAGTCGTTTTCTGTCATAATTTTCCTCTATGATTTCTTCATCTTATTAAGTTTCTGGTTTTGTTGGAACTTTCATGATATATTTTTCATAATTAGAATTACTGCTAAATCTTACATAAGGAAACGAATTTTTATGAGATTGAGATCGTAGTTAAATAATCTCTTATTCAAGTACATTTTTACCAACAACTTCGAGATTTCCAATATCGTCAGGAACGGTTGGTATTAATTTCATAATAAGATCAGAATTTTCAGAAAGCTTTTTATTTAGAGCAGATTAAGAGGTGAATGTGCTAAAAGGTTTGAAATCAAGTTAACTTAAAGAAGATCTTCTAACAATTTCTATTTATGGAGATTTAGGATTGCCATAGATCTAATAATTTTTTTCAAATTATTCCACAAATGTCTTGGGTTTTATATTCGAGTCTTTTTTTCTTAACCCAAGACGCTTTTTATTTTATATGATTAAAAATACCCAAAATTCATTTCCTTATTTTTCTTCAATTGGTTTTAAAGCATCAAGCATCCTTTTCATTTCTTCCTTCATCCTATGTTATTCAATTCGATCCAAAAGAGATTGACCAGGTAATCTTTAAATTTTTGATTCTATTTTAATTTTTGTCAAATCCCAATCCTATTAAACCTAATCAAATGTTTCAATCGCTCTTTCACATTTACTCATTTTTAAAGATTCTCCTTTTGACATTCTACTTTGCAATTATCTTGTTTTTTTCTCATTCTTCATTTTTTGATAATAAATAATATATACCTCAATCTTATTCTTATCAATCCTCTGTTAGATTTAAGAAATATGTTCTTAAACTTGATCTTCATTTAAGATTATTTCTTAATAATCTCTAACTTTAACTTTAGTTTTCTTTTATTATATATCCTTACTTGATTATTCTATGGCTATATAAATGATAACACATACCTTTAGAGCTAAAAATCACTCTTTCTGTTTGATCATTTTGTTATTATGTTGAAGGAGTAGCCTAGGAATTTCCAGTAATACGTATCTATGCAGGTTTTCTATTTTACTATTAACTTCTTGATTTTTCTGCCAAAAATTATTACACACTTCCAACAACTGTATATTTAACAATATTCCCTTTGGAATCTTATCTTGGTCCTTTCTCGTGATCAGGGATTTTATCCAAAAGTTCTTTTGATCCACTAAAGAAATTTTAATGTGCTGCTTCAACAGCCACAGGAGACACATGAGTTAGGTATTAAGGTCTAACTCTAAATAGATTCATTGTACTATCCTTACTCTCAATACCAAATTAGTTAAATTTCTTTTGCATTTTTATTTATATTTTATGTAACATCCTAGATCAACTTCTGCTCATTATAATACATGCAATTCTTAATACGGAAATGGTTGGTTATTACATGAAGGGAAACAACAAGTAAAATTGAATGAAACAACTGTTCCTACATATGCAGAAATTGTTAGAAGCATGCAAGTAATATCAAATATTATTATGTGTATAGGACTTTAGAAGAGCTGAAAAGTTAATTAAAAATAAATTAGTGGCTCAAAAATTTGGTTTAGAACAATAAAAGTAAGAGACAGAGGAAGAAAAATAAAGAAGAAAAATTGATAATAAGGTTCCTCCAAAACCATTTCCAGTAAGAGAAAGTGAATATACAAAACCAGATTAAGGAATTAATGTTGGTATTTAGATTTAACTATTCAAATAGGATCACCAATTTATGAAACATCTAATATGTAATATGGGCAATTAAACCCAACGAAATTTGAATTAATTGAAAAGTTTTATCCAAGAGATGCTAAATTCACATAAGGATTCTTAGGAAATACATTTAAATTTGATGGTCTTAATACTAGTGTTGCCTTTTCAAAAACCCATAAAGCATTGGATGAGTACTGATTTAAATTTTAATATTTTTATAAGTCATAATATAATCAAATAAATAATTATTAATTCATTTATTAGGGAATATCAAAGAAATCTTGAATTTTATTAGATTTCATCAAATGTTCATATAACTTTCTAAATGCTTCCTAAATCTCAGGAAATCTAATAGCTTTATGAGAAATTATTTAGTAATTAATTGGTGAGTAGATTGTGAGAGGATTATAAGGGGGACATTCATCCAAGGCGATAAATGGGTTTTATTACCTAGACTAGATAATTTTTGTACCCATAACCATCTATGTAAATGCCCTCTTTTAAGGGATCAAATTAAATTGCATACTTTTTTAAAAAGTCAAGAAGAATTTATTTTTTATCATTTTGAGTGTAATGCTTGCACATATAGACAGCAGTTAACATTATTGACAAACAAAATGAAGATATTCCTCCTACAATATTTATCATGAATGATACCTGTATGAACATCATTAAGATTTTTGGATTTAAGCAAATATTTCAAAATTAACATTATCTCTCTATACCAATAAAATCGATTGACCCAATCTTTGATAATTGTTGTTGAAACAAAGCCTAAATGTGGATTGTTATAAATATTGCTCCATTAATATATCCAAGTTAAATCAACCTAAATTATTTTTCCTAAGATAATCATCATAAAATACCAGGATCTTATTAATCTAGATGAAAACTGTGCCAATTTTATTAAATATAAGCATTGTCATTATAAAACTCAGTCTTAGGATTCAATTCTAATTTTAGTATTGGCATATGACTTTGAATTAACCTATGATTGTAAAATAATCATACTATGATTTTACAAAAAATGGTGTCTATTTTAAAATCGAATTTATCTACTGTAAAAAGTTAACTATCTAATTATAACTCAATGTTTATGTTCCCCAAATTCCTATATCAACATCACTTACTTCTAAATCGAGTCCAGTTTCGAAGGATCCATAAGCGTAAATATTTAGTTCCGAATTCATGGAAATAATATAATGTAATCTATTAAAACATATTCGTTTTCTTATTTTATTTTAATAACTTTTTATTTGTATGTTATTTATAAACTCATCTATGTCTTGTGTTTTAGATTTGTTTAAATTTAATTATTTACGTTTTATAGGGGTTGTTTGTGAAGAATATATATATTATTTGTTTCCAACTTTTTCTATATTATTGTAATTTTTCTTTTTATATTTCTCCTTGTTATTTTGTTTTTATAAACTTGAGTCTTTCTAATTGTTCTCATCTTATTACAATAAACAGTCATCAGATTCTGATTGAGAATTCCCTGTTGTTGTACTTACAGCACCAATCTATATAATATTTTTAAATTACATGTAATAATTAAGCATCTAAATCACTAGACTCCTTTTTGCATTTCTGAATATTCTCTATTTAATTCAAACTAGCTAATATTTATTATTTTTATGAAGCTGTTTACTATTTTAATTTATGAAAATTTTGAGGAGAAGTCTAATTACATTATTTATCCTTAATATATTAATCTATCTAAGGTTGATGCTATTTTTATGTTAAAGTTTAGTTTTTTAAGGTTTTTCGTTGAGAGTCAACTTTATTTTTTTTGTTTTTTGTTTTTTTATGAGACTTTTTATTTTGATGTTAAAATTATTGAACAGATGGTGGCAACTAAAAGGCTTCGATATCACTTTAGTCTACCATTTTTTATGATAAATCTTATTGACTTTATAAATCCTATTGATTCTGTTATTGGTAATTATACAGATGTTCCTCTTCAAGAACACAGAAAGATAAGGTTATTATACTTTTTATACAAATGATTGAATCGAATTCATCATTCTTCCTTTTAAATTACTGTTTCATCTATGACATAGAAAAGATAATATATATACCTTTCTTCCTATAGTTCCTTCTTACTCTTAAGTACATTCACTTGTTAATTTTTCTTATTAGCATTCTACTTATCGTTTTTTTTGACTTTAGGTTTTTGTTCCTCTAATGACTTCATTAATCTTATTTTCATTTATCTGGAAAGATGCACATTAATTTAGCGTATGAGAAATCATTTATAAATTTATTATATGCATTTAATGATTATTAATTAATCATTAAAAATACAATTTCTATTGTTTTAGGATACGTTATTGAATAGTTTGAATTTTTGATACTAAAATCATATTATTTGTAAATATATGGAGAATAATACTAGTATAAAAATATCATAATTAGTTTAGTAAGATAAAAAGACTTTTTATATTTAAATGTATGTCATTTAATCATTTTATATTTTTTGGACATTTCTTCACTATTATCAAAAGGATCATCAACAGTAGACAATCTTTTTACATAACCTAAGGTTGTGTTACCGAATAGAAATGAACCAGTTGATTGATGTTATGGTGATAATAATTGTGTGCTAAATGAAGCTTTACTTTTATTCTTAACTAATCTACTCCTAGCTGATTATATTTTTAATCTTTATTTAAATTATTCTAATTCATCTAATATTTTTTAATCAACAATCTTCCATTAAGGTTCTGTAAATTATTTTTCTTCTTGAAAATGATCGTTCAACTTGTAAAATTATTAGATTTATGATGTTAATCTTATGTAATCAGGAATCAAATCATTCAATTAAAAAAATATAGGTGTTTGTAATGTTTAAAAATCTAAAATAAAGTGCATTATAATCCTATAATAAATAATAATTAGAACTTCTCAAAAAATAAGTAGATGGCTATTACATCATTCCACATAAGTAAAACAATTTCTCCAATAATGTCTTCCTGATGTTTATCTAATTCTGATTTAATTATCTAATGATAAATTATATAAACATACCGATGTATAAGTAAATATAATTGTTAATAAATTGATTGCTTTGTAATAATCTGATTAATTTTCTGTAAAACCTTCAATAAATATATTAACTTTACTCTCTAAAGTATAAGATTTTTGTGATTTGGCCATTTTTAGTAAGTACAGACAATTAGCAAATCTTTGCAGCATTTCGAAATATATCTTGATAAACTTTTCTTTGTCTTGGTTCTTCTCCCTACAACCTATTTTTCTTAGGTTTACTTATAACGAAATCCATCCCAATCGAGAAGAGATTCACAAAATTATTCACCATGCATAAAGTCATCCAAAAGAACATGACATGTTGCCAAGATTTTGAGTTTTACTCTATATGATACTTTATCAGGTAAAGACTAAAAGAATTTCTAAAAAGTTTTCTTGATTGGTTATGGAGTACGGCAAATCAATTATTATTCTTAAGGAAATCCTTACATGAGTTATTTTAGATCACCAATATTTAGAAAGGGTTAGTTATTTAAAATGGAACTATTTAATAGAGCCTTCTCAAAATCTGTTTATTATTTGAAGAATTTGCTAAACATTGTAAAAATAATAATAATATAAATATCTCTATTATTAATATTTCTTTACTCAATTCCTCAATTAAGAACATTAATAATTGAAAGGAATCTTAAACTAATTTAATTCACTTTACTTTGAAAAAGCATATATATCATGAAAAAATCAATTCCATAATATGAAGTCCAAACTAAAAATTCCACAATACTATTTCCAAGTATCCATTTATTTCTTAACTTAAGTATTTCTTCATTTTGACTTTTAAATTAACAATATGCCAAATGCCATCAAAACTTATTGTGACAACACATCAATAAAAATCCTTTATATTTCTAAAATATAAATATCATATCGTAATATTTTGTTCTCATACTTATTTTTAAAATTGCTTAGATAAAGTAATATGAAAAGTACAGTTAAGAAAACAGAACAATTAAAGTCAAAATTTGCTTAAGCAATTAATAATGCTAAAGTACTTGAATAGTGTCACCTCATCATACAACAATTGTTGTGCTGCAATTCTTAATTCTTACATAACCAGATGGTATTGTTGCTTCATTGGTATATTCGCTGATATAAATTTTTAATTTGTTTTTATATAATCGTAAAAGAAAGTTGTGATTTGAATTTAATTTTGAACTTAATTTATAAAAAGCATAGAAATGATATCAAATATAATAAACTTATCCAATCCTTATAAAAGGATGACTTAAAGCAAAATGCAAATCATATGAATTTAATTAATAAAGCTAACTCTAGTATTTTAATCCTTTAAAAAGCATACATCTTAAATTAGAATAAGAACAGAAGACTTAGGATTTTCGAGTAAACTATAAAATTATAAAATTTAAGATCAAAATAATGAATTAAATAATATTATTGGGATTAATTAAAAATTATAATTAAACAAATGATAATTCTTATTAATTCATTGATGATTATGCTTCTATATAAAATGTATAAATTTGATTTCGAATATAGATGGTGAGTATTGATACTAATGAAAATGAATTTAAACTCATATTTAGAATTATTAGGTATATGATTAAATAATTTTATTCTGTCCCTGTTAGTAGATCCATTAATATATCAAAGGTAATTTCCAATATATTTTTACAAAAGATGATAAAACTTATAATATTTTGAGGAGAAAATATCATGCAATTAGAAAACCTTAAAATTAATTAATCTAAATAAAATTTCTATTGCGATGTCAAAACAAAATCTAAAGCATGTCTAACAAAATATATCTGAAAATTCAGTTTAGAAATATAGTAAATAATATGATTATAAGATTCTCTTTTATATAAGTTAAAGCTATAAGGGATTACATTTGAATATATTTCTTATTGATCTTGAAGCTCATGATCAACAATCCATGAGTTTAGCAATAAATTATTTAATATTGTAAAATCTAATTTATTAAATTCTTATACTTGAAATACTTTCATCGATTTCATGCTTGCAGTCATTTTCAATCTAAAGTAAACTTCATGATAATTTTTAAAAGATGATATCTTTTATGCATGAACTTATACAAAATTTAGCTTATATTATCATTAATTAGAAATTTAAAGACATTTATATCTTAAGAAAATTGAAATAAAACTAGCATTTAGATTTAAGAAATTTAGTTATTAATTGATTATAATTAAAAATACTTTAAAGATTATTAGCGTATAATTCTTTAGATATATTTTAATGTTATCCTAAAATATAACAAATAAATCAGCAACAGCCATCCTATTTTTTAGGTTTTTCTTCTTAGGGCACTGGAGTTTGTAAAAATTGTTAAGGTTGTGGTTTTCTTACTTTTCCAGCAATTCCTGTTTCTTAAATTTATTATGTAAAAGCTTGAAATGCAGCCTCAACCTAATTGATAATAATGTAAAATACTTAGTCACTTGTTTTTGCACTTACTTCAAAGAATTTTAGATTAAATTCTTTGGCCAATTCTTCAGCCATAGCTGTAGTAACTTATCTAGACTCATCAGTGGCTAAATCGCTTTTGTTTCCTAATAGCATCAATAAAACATTTTCATCCGCATAATGATTAAGTTCGTTCATCCAATATTTACGGATATCTTCAAAAGACTTAAGGTTAGTGATGTCATACACGACAACAATCCCTTATGCTCCTTTATAATAGGAGTTAGTAATATTTCTAAATCTTTCTTAACCAGCTGTATCCCATATCTACAATTTAACTCCCTATCCATTAACCCTCAGAGATTTAAAACGAAAATCAACTCCAATTGTGCTGAGATACATATCTCTGAATTGATCATCGCAGAAACGAATTAGCAATGAAGACTTTCCAACAGCGCTATTCCCAACTATGACGATTTTGTATAATTATTCCTCCATTTTTTAATTATTATTTTTCAAGAATTCATCATCACTTTATTATATATCGTTCTGTATTTATACATTCAATAATATGACTAAAAATATATGATATTTGTAATTTAATCTAATATTTCCAAAAACTAGCTCACTAATCAACTATTTTGGTACAATCTAATATCCAAAGATTATATTAATACTGATAATTGAAGTCAAAACTTTCTATAAATTATATTAATTTTTCATCTACAATAATTTTGTGAATATTACTATATTATTTAAAAGTTCTACATATATTTTGTAGGAGGTAAATTCAATTTTAATTTATATGAAAAATTAAAATTCCATAAAACTTTTTCATTTCTTAAATGAGATACTTGAAATTAGATTTGGAATTTTCTTTCATTTATTACAATCAAAAACATATATCCATCTAGTCTGTCTAGATAAAGCTATTTCAATTGTTTATAAATAATATCTAAAATACTTCTTATTATTAAATTGATGATGCTAATGAATTGAAATAATTTTAAAAATTTTCTATAATAAATAAACATTAAGCTCTAAGGCTATAGCTTTTACAAGAATATATGATTTTTTATTAAATGATATCATTAGTAAATAATTAGATTATAATAATTTATTCTCACAAAATTTTTGTTATTATTATTATCAGAGTTGTTTAGAATTTATGAGCATTCAAAATCAACAACTTTAAAGATTAATCAACAACACATATATCACCAAGAAGAGAGTTTCAGCTGGGTCATTTGGGGTAGTTTATTGTGCATAGGATATTAATACAAAAGCAATTGTTGCAATTAAGATCGATAAAGGCAACAAAGAAGATACAAGTTTAGAAAGAGAAGTAAAGATATATTAAGAAATATTAAGGCAGAAATTCTAAAAAGATTACAAAAAACTCCTTAAATACCAAAATTATATTGGGCAGGAAAAGATGGAGATTCAAATGTTTTAGTTATTTAATATTTGGGCAGAGACTTAACACATTTTATGAAAACCTTCCGAAAGTTTTCTCTAAAATGTGTACTCAATATAGCTGAACAAATGATAAATATTATTGAGAACATACATAAAAAGTAGATTAGATTTGCTTTATTTTTAGTAAAGTGTTACATAGAGACATTAAACCAGAAAATGTGCTTGTGGGTAAAGAAGATGAAGACAATCTGCTTTATATTGTAGATTTTGGTATAAGCAAGTTTTATAAGGATGAAAATGATTCACACATGTAAACTTCCTAAAATAATATAGATCATTTCGAGAGAATTAGCCATTTATTGGAACTACTAGATATGCAAGCATCAATGCACATAAAGGATTTTCATTAAGTCGAAGAGATGATTTGGAATCATTGGCTTACATGCTGATATTTTTATTAAAGGGTATGGTGTAAGTCAATAACTTTTTAGGATAATTGCCTTGGTAGAACCTGTAATTTATTGACGAAGAAGATAAAATGAGATAAGTTGGTCAAATGAAAATGAAAATAGACATGAATGAATTATGCAAAGGAATTCCAATTGAATTTGGAAGATTCTTAGATTATATCAAAGGTTTACCTTTTAAAGCAGAACCTAATTATAAATATTGCCAATCTTTATTTAAGAAATTATCATAAGAACACAATTATTAATAAAAGGATCTTATTTTTGATTGGGATTTAGGACCAAAATCGGATAGATAAGATGATAAAAAAAAATAAACAATTGAAGGCCATATGCCAAGTAGTTCTAATAATAGTAATTTAATTAACAACAAACCATCATTGTATATATTTAGAAATATTTTAGATTTAAAAAATCAAAAGATGACATCTCTTCAAATAATATTGGAGGGTCATTATTAAATTATTCCCAAGAACAATTAGAAATGAATTCCCTACTTAAAACTCCAGAATAACGAAAGTCAAGTTTAGCTCCAGATATTAATAGGCGAAAAAGTAGAATGCAATCTGTTAGTAGCTATAATGACTCTCACTCAGAAATAGATTTCAATAATGGTAGTGTGTTATTAGGAATACAACCTAGTATGTTAAGTAGGTTAAGTAAAATCTCATTCAATTCTAACTCAAGGGTCAAAGATAGTAAATAAAATCTAAGTTTAACTCCTGAATAGAAAAGGTCTAATTTACATGAAAAAAAATTATCAATTACTCCGAATTCATACCTATAGTAAATTACAGGGTAGAAATAAAATAAAATTGTAAGAAATTCTAATTCATAATAAAAATTATCTTATAAAAAAGAGGAAGAAACTATTAAAGAATTTTCTAAAATGAATGAAGCAGATGAAGGAATTGAAAGTAAATATATGCTTTTAAAATAAGCATCAGTAAATGCGTATGTAAATTATACTTACCATATTGTAGACGCTTCAAAAAATCAATTAATTGATAGTTTCCCAAACTCTGAAATTTTATTTATATATGTATTAATTTGGTAAAGAATTTTAAAATAATATTATAAATTGCATATATATATGCATTTATATAATAAATTCTTAATTCTTCAAATAAATATTCGTATTCATTTGATAGCTTCACGCTAAATAACAAAATCATTTTCATCATTGTTCTAAATGAATTTCAGGCCTTATTCATTTGCTAGATGTAACATAGTCACAAAACAAGTTTATATTGAAACTCTTCCTTTATTTGTAGGCATTTTTAATATTTCAGGTAAAATTTAATTAATCTAATTAAATTCTAATCCTTGATTTTCTGTTGATAACTATTGTTACTTAAATTAATTACTGGTATTTTTTTTGATAATGTGGACCAGACTTGGCTTTTGAGTTCTTTAATAGGTATATTCAGTCTCCCGGTTGGGTTGTTTCGTAATGAAGATCCTATTCCCATATTTTATTATAACTATTATGGATGTTCATCATCAATTCCACCATATTCATAATTATCATTTTATATTTATCCTTCTTCAAAAATCTCTTCTCCCCATTAAGGTATTTTGGCAATTTAAAATGGCTAGTATAAACTATTATAAATCAAAATTAACTACTCTTGTCTATCTATTTAATAAGATTTAGGCAAAAGATTTAACTGCTTTAATGGATCCTTATTAATACAATAGTTTTCCTTCTCTTTAGGTTGCAAAATTGTTTTTCGATCAAATTCTTCTTCTTCATCTTCATCATCTCCAAATGCAAAAGGTAAACCATTTTTCTTTTTAGACTTATTTTTTTTCGATTTATCATTCTAGAGGCATGCTATTTTTTTTTTTGGTTATAAATTCATATCAAGTGCCATCCAAGCTACTTGTTCCTTTTCATTTTCGAAAACTTTGCCTGTTCCAATATTGGCTGCTGCCTATTCAAAATTTAAAATGTTAAATTTATTTTATTAAAACTATTGACCTTACTACTAAAATAACGATTAGCAATTCTAATTTCCAGAGTTAATTGATGCTTGATCATCGATATTCATTTCTTCAGGCATGTTCTCATATTGCTGATCTTCGACTTGAAAATCCATATTCATTCCTACTGGATTCATAACTGCCATAAAAGTTTTCTCTTGTTTAAGATCAACTAACCTTTGTCCTTTCTAAAAAATATTTTCTCTAAATTCAGTTAGTTCAGGGCAGAGTCTTAAGTTATTAAGGTTTTTGAGCATAGATTTATAGTCTGATTTAAATATGAAATTTACTTTCAATATTTATGGTGCTTTAAATCGGTTTTATTGGTAGAACTTCGGAATCTAATGCAAGCATTAAATTCTCATTGATTGTTAAATTATTCATCAAAAGCCCTTTAGCTCCAGCCTCATCGAATTTTGCAGAAGTTTGTTAAAATAACGGATCAATCTCAAATTCTAAATCATATTTATTTGTATCAATATTGGCTTGATTTTTTTCTAAAGTATTTTCACCTCCTGTATTGTGTAATTTTTTTTTTCTCAATTACTCTTATTCGAATTCTTATTCAACTTCTTAATTTTATTTATCAGGAATCTATGTTCTATGTAATCCACCCAAGACTTTAAATGTGTTTTAATGGACCAGATCTACTCTAAATCCATATATTTTTGAACCTGCATCTAAGGATGCTGATATATGTTTCCAAGCATCTCCTTATTCAATTTCTACAATAATTTTATTTATTACATTTAAAGGCATTCAAATCTCTAAGATTAATCATAGGGATGTCAAATGAATTTTTTTCATTAACTCTCTAATCAAAATACTTAAAATAATACATTTTTCTATATAAGACCCAACACAAATCGAGATTGTTCATCAGGATCATCTTTATTTTAAACATCAACTTCTTCATCGCTTGAACTTAGATCTGTTGGTTTTAATTAGATTTATTGGAATTTATTGCTCTGCTATTATTTAGTTTAAGCAAATTTGACAATATCATTTTCTTCATGCGTTGCCAAATCATCTACGCCACTTGGCATTTCTTTTTTCTTTTTGAGATACTTAGTTTTTGCAGATACTTATTTGTTCTTTTTCATAATTTGAATATTAAAACAATTTTTTGGCTCCAAACAAAGAATAATAAAAATAATAATATCAATCATGATACTATCATAAGTTGGCACTACTATAGGATGACTTCTTTACAACAGTATCTACAAAGCTTCCTATAAGGTTCATTTGCCAATATTATATAATTCCCATCATTTAATTACAATGGATTCTCTAAAATTAATATTGAATCATTTTCATTTTCACATTCACAGATTAAAGCACATTCAGCTCTTATAATAACAATTTTTTCTAAATTGCTAGCCACATAAGCTACATGAGCAATCTAATTCTAGTAATTATTTGGGTTTTTATTATTATCTAATTAATTTAGTGCATTTACTATGAAAAAAGTCTATCCTTATATTTTAGTTGCAATGATTAATCAATATAGCTGGTGATTAGGTCTATTTTATGAAATTTGTTTCAACTTAAATTATTTATTTACATTTAGAACATTGCAACAAAACATCCAAATAAAGCAGCCTAAGCCTTTTAACACTCTTCTGAATCGTAAACTTGCTCTCAATAATTCTTTAATTAAAGAACTTTTAATCCTAAATTTCTTCAGTCTCATACAGTAATTAATTTTCACCAAAATGAACTAGCTCTGTTGGGGAAAATAAGTTTTGCATCTGCACTCGATTAAAGATTAAAATATTTTCCGAATAAATTTAAGTTGAATACAACCAATCTATTTGGCTTTTTCTCCTTCTAATAGTACTTTCAGATGATAATTATGAATCATTCCTCGAATTCATTAATGTAAATCCATTTTTTTAATTTCTTTTCTTTTATTTTTCCTTTGTTCTTTCTTAATATTCTGTTTATTAACGATTAATTCTAAATAAAATCATGATTGTTCTACTGCCATTTTTAAGGAGCATATTCTTTTGACACTTTTATACTTTGATCACGAGTATCCTTTTAGTTATCATTATATTCAGTTTTTTGAGATAATAAATTTTTGTTGCTTTCAAACCTTGATTCATTATTATACTTTGAATTCTTTAATTAATTATTTCTTTAGTCTTTTCGCTTATCTCCATTATAATACGAATGACAGTATGTATATAATTCATTGATCTGATATATACGCGACATTTTATTGAATAATAAAATAAATTAAATATTTACTAAAAAAATGTTTCTTAAATGATTAATATAAAATATACCTCATGAGTATTTAATAGATAAATTGGGATTAATGTGAAATCAGACAATAAGTAGTTTTTTGCCCTTAAATTAATTAAATTATTCATTTAAATTACCTCTTATTGTTACAGTTTATATAGAAGTATATAAAGAATATAAAAGTAATTTTCAAAAATAATTTTCTATTGTTATTGAAAATGATTATATTGAGGAGAAGAAATTACAATCAAGAATCATTTTTAATTTATTTTCAGCTTACAGCTATTAATTTTACTTTCCTATAGTTTTCAAATTGATAATTGTAAATTGATCCAATTTTATTCTGGAAATTTAGACTTTTATAACAATTCATAATTTAGAATATAAGTACATTTATCAACCATAAAACTTTCTTTAACCACAATTGTTAAAATAAATTAATTTTTTTTATATATCTATCAAATTCAGTTTTTTTCACATTAAATATACAACCTTAATCCTTCAAATTTTTACTCCAAAAAAATATAAAGCATCATCATTTACTCACTTGAGCATAATTACACAATTACAAAATTCACTAGTCTAAATACCTCTCATATAAATTTTCTACCTCCACATCCTAATCGTAGCAAGCATCATGCTCATAAACTATATCAAATATGAATAAGGGGAAGTTTACTACGCATGAATCGAAAAATCATCCCCAGCTAAACATTCTACATAATAGGTGAATCTTAGAAACGACACGTTAATGGGAAGATTTCTGATCATTTAATCAATCCAATTGGGAATAGAAAAGTTTACTCTAATTTGGAGCAGTAAGGTTCAGATAACAAAAATTAATTCTAAAGATCCATTAGTTACATCAAATTTTAAAGTGCTAATGTTTTACTCCAATCAACTAAAAAATTTCTTCTTTCTCTCAGTTTCTCTATCCAACAACTGAGCCTACATAGCACCTAGTAAAATTTTTGTCTATGAAAATTTCTTCTTACATTTCAGTATAGAATTAGAATACATCAATTGTTTAGTCTCCGAATAAGGAATTTTTTTAATTAATTAATCCATTACCTCTTACTAAGAGATTTATACTCTGAGGTTTTAATTTTTAAAAGGATTAAATAATATAGCATTTTTACTCCAAAAAGACCTTTAAATATGAGATATCCCTTTAAACAATAATTGAAAAGTCCAATTAATTAATTTTTATTGTTTCATTAATTTTGTTTTATTCTTTATTAATCTGCTATTTTTTTAATTCCTTTTCGTCTCCATCAATTTTTTTTCTCACTCTTCATTCCTTTTCTCTACCATCATAAATTCATGTATTATATTTTACTCATTTCTTATTAATTTAAAATTCTCCTCTCTAAGTTTAGAAATTTATATTTTTTAATCCTTATGAAATTGCTCCCGAGATCCTTGAATATCTTAAAACTAAAATGATATAGTTCTCCTTAGTCCATAAGCTGCTGACTAGGTTCCAAAATCAGTATTCAATATGTGTCTGGCAAAATTAGGGAAAACAAAATGGCACCACTATTCATTTTGATATGATTAGATTTCTTCTAGCGTCAAAATGCTTTCTACCTTTTTTTCGATTTAAGTTTTATTTTCAAAATCAACTTTCTTCTTCCATCTTTCTTTTAAAAGAGAGAGTTTCTGAAGTTTGATACATCCTTTAGAGTCCTTTCTACTTTATATCTTGATCCAATATCTCTAACGAAAAATTTAATAAACTAGAATGTCCAATTAACCCAAGTTTTTGCTGGCTTAAAACTCAATCTCATAGGCCTTTTTTATCGAGACTGTTTATCCTCTGTGCACACTTAATAGTTAAAGGGATGAAAAGTCTAGGCTCTAGTTATAAAAGACCAGCCTAGTTATTACCTTTTTTTTAATGATTATTAATAATCTTAAATATTAAGTTTCATTGTTTTCATTATTTTTGTTTCGTTTATTATTCTCCGATGGCCCCTGTTTTTAGCTACGAATCATATTTACTGTTCCTAAAGATTTATCATGTGTTATATGTACATAGGAGCACCTTCCATTTCTTTTAATCCGTATAATTACAAATTTAGTTCCACTCCTATCTCAGAAGCTAGGGTTTAGATAACTACCAATTTCTTTTTTCTAGGGTTTATCTAAGCTAAAGAATCTGAAACAGAGTCTGGCCAATTCTTTTATGCTAACACTGAAGACAAATTTTGTTCTCAAACATCTTGCTAGAAAAGAGTTTATATTAATTAATATTAAGGGGGTGAAATCAAAAGCACTTTCCAGCATCTTGCTTTTATTTGAGTTAACCTAAACATATGTGGATTTAATAATTAATTAAAAAGATAGAAAATGACAATGTAATTCTTGAAAGATGGAGATTGTACTTTGATTAAAATATAGGCTGAATCATCAATTTACCAAGCATAGAACTTAGATTCATTTTCAAGTTCCAATGGCTATATTGAAATAATAGATTCAAAGATTTCTGTTCGATAAAATGGTTTATTTTTTAAGAAGAAAACATTTGCAATCTCAAAAAAAACCATAAAATCTTAAGGAATCATATGAATTAATTATAAATGGAAATAGAAGATTATTGAACAACAAGTTTCATATATATTAGAACAGATTTATTAAATTTTTGTATTTCTTTTAGATTACAGCAACATTATCAAAAGTAATATTTAACTTTCATATAAATGAATGAGGAAATGTTTTTGAATTTTGAAATTTTGTAAATATGTTACGAATTAAAAGAATACTAAGAAAAAGAAAGAAATGATTTGTTTCAAAATAAACTAGAATTATTTTTTTCCAACGAAAACTCCCTGGATCGCTCCAAATAACAGCAATATAATAAATTATTTTTTCGATATTAAATATGATACCTGATTTGATACTACTTGAAAAATTTGAGTCTTCAAACTTTTCAAAAATCATAATAATTCAATTAAGGAAAGATTATACGAAATCTATTCTAACAAAACATGTTATATTGGGAGGTGATTAGTTATTTTAAATACGAAAAATATAATTATGTTTAAGATAATATTTTATAAAATCAAACGATATATGATATATGAATCAATAGTTAATAGTTCAACGAATTGGAATCATCATTTATTCTGGATTTAATGATTGGGATAATCCTTTGTTAAGCAATAAAAAGTTAAGTTAATTGAATAGTTCTTGAATTTTTGAAAAAAAATCAATCAGATCAATTTGGTAGGATTTTATAGCTGAAAAGCTAATAGTTCTTAAATAATAATAATGATATATCTAATAATGAATTGGAGATTTGAATTTTTATAGTTTTTTGTATCTTTTAATGAACTTGAAATAGAGAAATCAAAGATATTCAAATTTAAGTTATGGCAAGTTTTGCCTATTGCATGAACATCAAATTATCTATCTATATCTTGAATTGTGCCTTGAAAATGTTCTGACAAATCTTGTTTTAGCATTTTAGCCAGTGACTATGTTATGGAGCTTAGTTTTTAAATGAGTTGTTAGAAATTCGCTCTCTTAAAGGTAGGAATGTTGTTTTTTAACATAAATGAAATTAAGACATTGAAGACTCAAAGCTATTTATATAAAATACAAAAACCTTCAAAGTTCTAAAGTTTAGTTATCTCAAAAAAAATTATTCAATTATTCAGGAATTTTTTTCTGACATTCTTATAAATAGAAATTCTAGTATTAACTCAATTGAATTGGCTTAATCTGTAAAATTCTTAAAATAAGTAATGAAATAAATAAGTAGCTTGGCAAAAATCGAAGTAGAGTTACTATGAAAACATAATATATTTATAACAAATACTGTTATTTTGGATAATAGTTAAAGAAAATCAATTAGAGAAAAAATTTAATAATGTTACACTAATAAAAAATTTTTAATTTGTGAGATCCACTAATTGTTCTATATATTCTCTCAAATGCTATAAAATTAAGTAATTTACAATATCCATTTCTATCCTTATGCAATCGAAACTTCTCCATTAATACTATTTATAGACTTTTAAAAGAATAGAAATGCAATTAGAGAATGAAGAAGACATTCGATAGGATGGAGGAATCCTTTGTTTAAAATTATAAGTACTTTATAGATATTGTTTCAGAGTTAGAAGAGGAAGCAAATATATTATCAGGTTTTTCAAATAGGAAAATTGATTAATCAAGGTAATTTTAAAGTAATTTAGATAGAGAATAAATTTAAAAATTAATAAAATTTAAACAAAATTGGAGTAATTAACAATAAGTATAAAGAAAAATTCTTTGATATTTTTCTTGAAAAATTGTTTTTTTTAAATTTAATAACAGAAGTATTTATTTTTGATGATTAAGATTTCTGCAATTAAATAGGCAAGTAGAAATGGAACCAAAATAAAGAGAACTAGATAAAATTAAAAGATTTTGTTTTTAAATATTTTTCAGAAAATAGAGTTATATAACAATGATAATTAGGGTGTGAATGACTACTGCAAGAATCTTAGTCCTAAGATGATAGCTTAGTACCTTTGCAGTGTTTGGAGTAGAGTTATTAACCTCCAGACCTTTCCTTAATGCTCTGTAATTTACTCAAAAGGAGGAAGAATTAATCAAAACATGAGAGGTCTAAGATTAACAAATTTACTAATTATTTTTTTGCTCCTATTCCAAATTATTTGCCTTTTGTTTTTTTGATATCTTTTGATACAATCAAACCTAGTTGATTATAGTCAATTCAATTATCTTGAGTGAGGGTTTAAATTAGTCCATATTATCTAGAGGTAGGGTGATTGTTTCAAAGATACTCTATATTAATACTTACACAGACCCTCATAACCTAAGCAAATTGAATATTATTAATAGCTGAAAGCATCCTCCTAACAGATACCTAAAAGATAGTTAGTCATAGAAAATGTAGTAGTCTTCTTCTGTAATAAATGGAAAGAACATTAAAATTTGATACCTTTATAGTTAGTAATTATGTAATACCTGGTAACAGTTATTTATTTTTTCAACACTTAGTAATAGGAGGTCTTTTTATTGATAGTGATATTTTTCTTTAGTTTTTACTGTCAAAGTAGTTAAGGCGTCTAATTGACTAATCTCCCTTGCCATTGCTCTAGTTGCTTGAGGAGAATCCTTAACTTTAGACTTTAGAGATTGAATTAAAATTAAACCCTAATAAAGGAAATTTTGAAGAAGTAGAAGAAAGAAGACAAAAGAGTACTAAGTGAAGAATTAGTATTAACAAAATAAATAAATAATTGTTTATAAGATTCATTATTCCAAATAAATTAATAGATTTAATTAAAAATAATTATGAAAAACTTGAAGTTTTTTGTTATCAAAATTTTGGGAAATATGAGGATAGATAAGAAGTGGAATTTTAGGATATCATTTAGCACTTTAAATTCATAAATAAAAAAGATCATTTGCAACTTTGAAGTAAATTTGTTAAACATGCTTTTAGCTAAATTAGAAAAATGAATAATATCTTATAAATTTACAAAAGAAATGTTAAAAACTCAAATATTTACTTAATCGAATAAATATTAAAATAAACTATTTAAGAGATAAAAGATGAAATTGATCTTAGCAACAACAATAAAAAGTGGTGAAGCTAAAATAAGTAATATACTTTAGTTTTTATAAACTGAATTAACTGTTTTTTTCAATAATTTATATAGTAGTTGCTTAATAATTTCCAATAGTAAACAAAAAAATAAAAATGTTATTATTGAAGAAGCACAAATAATTTTAATACTAGAAGCATAGGGATTCTAGCTAATAATTTCGTACAATTTTGTTAAATTTGAATGGAAAATCATTAAAAATTCTACAAACATCAAAATGAAAAATTTTTAATAAATATCTTTTATTAGTTAACAAAAAAATTATTTTTCAGTATAAAATTGAGTCTTTTGAACAAGAAATCTTTTTTCCTTTTAAAAATTAGAATTTTAATTTCTCAACACTCAAATTATGGTTCGTTGATTGTTTATTACATTTTAAAATATACATTAGCCTTCAGCGTATCTAGTTGTTAGATATAATAAATAGAGATTATTTTTTTTGATGTCTTCAGTAATAAAAATTTAGCAAATATGCTCATAGTTTTAAAGCTGCATCATAATGAATAGAAATAATCGATGACTTTTAAAATAAATTATTAAGACCAAATGGATAAAAAATATGTTGAAATTCAGCCCAATTGTGAAGAATATTTTTAGTGAATTAGAAAAAAAAGTGTTTAATCTGGTATAGTAAAAATTTAGAGAATTATTTCATTTCTTCGTTCAATATGTTTCATATCTATCTGTTTCTCTTCTGATGGAAATACATTAGCTTCTGGTAGTGATGATAAGTCTATCCGTCTATGGGATGTCAAAACAGGATAATAAAAAGCCTAATTAGATGGTCATAGTGGATATGTTATGTCAGTCTGTTTCTCTCCTGATGGAAATACATTAGCTTCTGGTAGTAGAGATAATTCTATCCGTCTATGGGATGTCAAAACAGGATAATAAAAAGCCAAATTAGATGGTCATAGTGAATGGGTCTAATCAGTCTGTTTCTCTCCTGATGGAAATACATTAGCTTCTGGTAGT